TACGTGCGCTTGAACCCACAAACTGGAGGTGTGGTCATGCTAGGCCGCAGCGACGGCGTACTCAAGCCATCCGGAGTGCGATTTGGAAGTGCCGAGATTTACAATATTCTACTCAAGCATTTCGCCGACGATGTGGAAGATTCTCTTTGCATCGGTCGGAGGCGAGATGGCATTGACACCGATGAGACTGTCGTTCTGTTTGTCCGGCTTGCTTCTGGCAACGAGTCTGGTATGCCGGCGGATCTCGCAGCACGCATTCAGTCCACCATTCGCAAGGAACTTAGCCCCCGCCATGTCCCTGGCATTATTGATGCATGTCCCGAGATTCCGGTGACTTCCAATGGCAAGAAGGTCGAGAATGCTGTCAAGCAGATTCTGTGTGGGCTTAACATTAAAATTGGTGCGAGTGTTGCGAATGCTTCATGTCTTGATTGGTATAGAAACTGGGCTTCGGAACACCCTTAGTTATTTTAACTCTCTTGTTACATAGAAGAAAAAAAAAAGCCTGATTCGTTTTTCTTTGCTGGAGATTAAATGATATAGATATTTCGCATTTCACATTTCGCATCCGGAGTATATATTCGGGCCCTATAGGCCTTGGCCCCGGGGTAAGCGGATTACACCTGGGCAGCCCTGCTGCATCTAGACACGAATGGAGACAAAAAGTTAGGAAGAACACGCTTCTGTTTAAAAACATTAATAACATGATAGTAAAAGATTTATCTGCTATGTTACAGAAGAACATCTGGCCCATCATGCAACGGATTAGCTAAGCATCTCGGATCGAGGCTCCATTATGATTCTTCGCCGACTATCCGTCCGAGCTACATCACCTCTTCCGGTGCACCAAGAAATCCTATATTGATCACGCTGTGTGAATTTGTACGAAATTAACCATCATGCGCCGCACAGCATTGCGGGCTCTTGAGTCTGCGAAGCCATTGACACGAGCTCCTCGCGCCGTGTCAAGAAGCCTCTCTACCATCAATGACTCGACCAAGGTAAGAGAACATTTTTAGCTCCTACAACATAACGTCATTTGTAACTGACAATTCATTTCTTTATCTACAGGATCCCGCCGAATTAGAACAAATCACTACACTTCCAAATGGAGTTCGCGTCGCCACGGAATCATTACCAGGTCCCTTCGCTGGTGTCGGAGTCTACGTCGATGCCGGATCTCGTTACGAAGATGAGAGCCTGCGCGGTGTCAGCCACATTATGGACCGTCTAGCGTTCAAGTCTACCAAAGCGCGCACCGGAGATGAAATGCTTGAGATTCTTGAGTCCCTAGGCGGTAACATTCAGTGTGCCTCATCCCGGGAATCGTTGATGTACCAGTCTGCCAGTTTCAACTCGGCAGTTCCTACCACGCTCGGTTTGCTCGCGGAAACCATCCGCGACCCCCTTATCACCGGAGAAGAGGTTATCCAACAGCTCGCAACCGCGGAGTACGAGATCGGCGAGATTTGGGCGAAGCCGGAACTCATCCTTCCGGAACTAGTGCACATGACTGCCTATGCCGACAACACCCTTGGGAATCCGCTATTGTGCCCGGAAGAACGGCTGGGCGAAATTAACAAGGCAGTGGTGGAGCGGTATAGGGAACTCTTCTTCAACCCGGATCGGATGGTGGTTGCGTTTGCCGGAGTGCCCCATGGGGAGGCCGTTAAGCTCACAGAGCAGTACTTTGGCGACATGAAGCCGAGTGACATTAGCAAGACCAAGGGTCCTGTACTGTCCGGTAGTGGAATCGAGACCACATTGTCTGATTCCCAAGCGGCCGCCCACGAAGGCCAGGTGCCGACCGTTCCTTCCTTCACCCCCTCATCTACAATCACCAGCCCGGCTGCTTCCCAAAAAACACAAACCTCGCTCTTGTCGAAGCTTCCATTCCTCAAGAACCTCTCTTCATCCAAGAACTCTACAGTCGAGCCTCTCCACTCATCCCTGGTTAAGCCATCCGCGCTAAACCTCCGACAACCTGCTCACTACACTGGTGGCTTCATTGCCCTCCCGTCGATTCCCCCGCCAGCAAGCCCCATGCTTCCTCGCCTGAGTCACATCCACCTTGGATTTGAGGCTCTCCCCATCTCCTCGCCTGATATCTATGCTCTCGCTACTCTCCAGACCCTCCTTGGTGGTGGTGGCTCATTCTCAGCTGGTGGCCCTGGAAAGGGTATGTACTCGCGACTCTACACTAACGTGCTGAACCAGCACGGTTGGGTCGAGAGCTGCATTGCTTTCAACCACAGCTACACTGATAGTGGAATCTTCGGAATTTCCGCCTCCTGCAGCCCGACCCGGATCACGGAGATGGTCGAGGTCATGTGCCGTGAGCTCCAGGCCCTGACTTTGGACACCGGCTACAGCTCGCTGCAAGCACAGGAAGTCAATCGTGCGAAGAACCAGCTCCGTTCCTCGCTGCTCATGAACCTGGAGTCTCGCATGGTCGAACTCGAGGATCTTGGGCGTCAGGTGCAGGTTCATGGCCGCAAGGTCAGTGTCCGGGAGATGTGCGAGCAGATTGAGGCCCTCACTGTCGAAGACCTCCGCCGTGTGGCTCGCAAGGTCTTCGGTGGCCAGGTCGACAACGAGGGCAAGGGCACTGGTAAGCCTACTGTCGTGCTACAGGAGGGCGAGTTGGAAGGTTATAAGCTCCGGAGATTCCCCTGGGAGGAGATTCAAGAGCGCATCGCGCGATGGAAGCTTGGCCGACGGTAAATAGATGATTCTATGCCTCTGGACTCGCTTGGATATGTCGAACATAAGATGTGGTAATGGTCGCACCTAGAGGATAATCTGTAATTATAGACTATGGCCAGCATTTTGGCTCTGTAGAATACACCTCTCTCCCAGGCTTTATATGACCACCTAGCCTTTCTCAACTCATCTTTTCTTTTCGTCTTTTCATCCTTGGTTATCTGTACTGTTCATGCTTTTTACCGCCTTCGTATACATTTTGAAAGACACCCAACAAGACATTCAAAAAGATATCTACAAAAATACACATAAAAAATAATATCCAAAAACATGTCGATGTCTCCTCTTAATAAAACGTCTCTAACATCGTCTTGGCCAAATCTTTCTATGTAAACATCAGTCAGTCTCACAAAAAGAAACAAATGACATCGTTGTCGGTGGGTCCAAGGTCCAAGCTCTTCGCCGCTTTTCGGCAAAAAAGTCGGAGCGAAACCAGAGCGTCCTCCCATCATTCAACCATCACCTCCAACTAGACCCCCTTCGTCACTCCCATCTAAACCGCCCAAAATGGTCAAGCTCACTGAAGTCGAAGACGAGCACTTCACCGAAAAGCCCACTGCCACCAAGCACGATGCTCTCCTGGTCTCCGATGATGAGGATGACTACTCAGACACTGGTTAGTACCGAATCCCGAACGCCCATACCCGGAACTCGCATTGCGCCATTGTCATTTGCATGGGGGATTGCTTCGATGGGAGTATAATTTGCTCCCTGAATACCTTCCTATCCCAGTCCTCAACCCCAACCCCCAACAACGCGACCTCGGAACCCCAGAAATGAACACATTAGTCGCAAATAAACATCAAGACCCTTATCTGACATGGACATCAATAAAAAAACAGACTCCGAGATCTCCGACGATGAGGATGTCGAGCTCGAGGCTGAGTCGCTCTACGAGCGTGTCGCCGCTCTGAAAGACATGATCCCTCCCTCCGCCCGCCGCACTGTCACCAACACCGTCTCTTCCATCACAGACCTCACCAAGGCCAGCTTCTCATTCAGCGGCAAGGCCCTTTGGATTATCAGCACCAGTTCTTTCCTGCTCGGTGTGCCATTCGCCTTGGCCTACGCCGAGGAGGAACAGTACATCCAGATGGAGCGTGAGCAGGGAATGATCAAGGGAGCTAACGAGGTACGTGTCTTGTGTTTTCTTCTGTTTTCTTTTCTTGGTTTTATCGAAATCGCAACTATTATCTTCAATCCCCGATTCGTGCCGTCATTCGCACAATTGACACCGTGTACATTGCCTCGGGTATTCGCATCTCGGCAATCTTCAAAATCCTTCTTTTTTCTCAACACTATCATCACATGCCATTTTCGCGCTCTTCAGCCAGTCTTTGCGAATTTATACTGATTATAATTCCTACTCACAGATGCTCACCCCCGGCTCCGAAACCGAGAAGGCGGCTCAACCCACTCTGTAAATTAATACCACTTCGGAAAGCAGAGAGATTGGCAAATGATCCAGCGACACGGTTATCGACCACAAGACTTGGCTGATGCAAACATCATACCCAAGTGGATGTCGACGCGATCCTGTTACATCCTGCCAATCACCCTTTTTTTTGGCCAGATCTCAAAATACAGGACTACAAGCACTCGGAAAGAGTTGGTTTCCGGATTCACTTCTTGTCTTGACTTGTTCGGATCTTTGTTATACTTCTTGTTTTTTTACTTCCTTTTTTTTTATCTCGCATCTCTCATGCTTTCTGACATTTTGGCTCCGGCAGCTTATGCATGCATGTATTTGTACAACCCCAATCATCTTTCTTCCTGTTTCTCTATTCACCTTTTTTTCTTTCTCCACGTGCATGTCCAGGTAATGAAAACGGATGGGTTTGGTTATCTTCTTTGCATTCTGTAGTCCTAGTCTTCTTACGGGGGCTAAAGAAAGAAGGCCTACGATCACCTAAAACTGCATTGGATGTAGATATCAAGTAGGCTCCTTTGTGAAGATGATGTCTTGAGATGACCATCTTGCCATTGCTATGCTAAGCCCGCGGGTCCTTATCATGGTAGGCTATGTAGCTAAAGGTGACCCGAAAACATGAGTAGGAATGTGCAAAAAAAAGGGTATCATCGTGAAAGCTCAAGCACCGGAGAAAGTGTCCGCAGGAGGAAAACAATGTCATGAAACTAATTACAAGGGTCGTAGTCTTCATGGGAGCTCATAATAAAGCCATCCGAGGACAAATACTCACCTTCGGGTGAACTGGCTCTTGGATATGATCATCTCATCATCCGTAGATGGACTAAATACAAGAACAGGCCTGATTAGCATCATGGAAGCCCCGAGACAACACCCACACACAACAAAAACATACCTCTTTCTCGCGAGCAGACTTAAGATTAATGTGGAAGTCCCGCCAAAGATTATCGACTTCACCAGTTCCAGTCATGCTATCGAGAACATCGTTTGCATTTCGGGTCTTCTGCTTGACGCTCAAATCATTCCGTCGGAGGATCTCGTCGTCGTCCATGTGGCCCGTACGCTCGAGGAAGTCGATGACCCATTCATTGAGATGGTAGCGCCAGTGGGTGAGGGTGTGGGCGAGCTGGGCTCTCGCCTTGCATTGCCTGTTGAAACAAAAGGAAGTGGTCAGAGAGGTGAGCTCGATCAAAATGACTGTCCAAACGAAACTTACTTTCCTAGGAAATACCGGACATTCTCGGGAGGAATGACATGGCCATCCCGGTCCCGCTCCTTTCCATCGTTGTCCTTAGAATCCTCATCACTGTCATTGCTGTCATCATTCTCATCTTCCAGTGGCTCTAGCGTCTGTAGGGAATATGCTTTCCCGTAGAGCTTTATATCACTGGAAGCTGGATGGCCAGAGCGCCTGCAGGCATCACAGGGATGGTTCTCCTCTGTGGGGAAGGCAGCGATTTCAATGTGTGGTCGGGCCTGGAGGGCATAGACGAAACTGGAGTTCCAAACTGAGGAGATTAGCTGTGAACCAGCCCGACCCTTGACTTCATCTTCCAGTTTCATGAAGGCCATCTTGTACATGTCGTCAGAGCGAGGGAAGGCCGGGTTTAGCTTGTTTTGCACCATCCAGCCGATAACGTCGCGGAAGTATTCCTTCGGCTGCTTATATGCATGTCGGGTGAATTCGAAGGGAATCTCTTCGGTGGGCACACCGAGGTCGTTGGTCTCGTCGTCAAGGACAAAGTCATCCTCGTACCGATCAAGGTTCTCGTTGGGGTCGATGGCTGATTCTATGTCGCTGTCATCGTCGTTATGCCGCCAGAGACCACGACTAGAGGGACTGGCATGGCTGCCGGGTCGTTTAATCTCCTGCACATCTGAATCCTCTTGGTCTTCATCATCATCATCTTCTTCTTCGTCACTCTCCTCTTCATCTTTCACACCAGCCCGTCTGCGACGGAGAGCTTCAAGATGCTTCATTCTCCTGTCTCGGGCAGATTCGACATTCCGGCCGCGAGTTCGACTTTTCTTAACAACTGCGCATGATTGGCATCAGCATGAATAAACGAGCCTCGTGCACCAATTGATTCCTACCTGAATCCTGAAGGTCCTCCAAATCCTCTGCAATATCAAGTTTGGCCTGTTTCGAGATGTGGCGGGGGGGTGGGGGAGACTGGGGAGTCTCTTTCTCCTGTCCACGTCGGAGTCTCTTTATTGGCGAGGAGGCCAATGGTTCATCCGAGTCATTGTCGTCACTTTTGGACACGGCAGCTGGCCTTGCTACCCTGCGCCTCTTGGCGGTCAAAGGAGCTACTGAATCGTTTGAATCGTCGTCGCTGAGTATAACAGGTGAGCTTGAAGAATTGTCACCTCGGGTAGACCTGCGCCGTTTGGCGACTGAAGAGGCCACTGGCTCATCTGAGTCACTGGGATCAATCGGCGGGCTTGCGGCCTTTCGCTTGAGTGTTCGGTGCGGCCGGGATAGCTCCTCCGAATCAGAACCATTTGCGTTCTTAGTCTGTTTATCTGAGAATTGTAAGGATCGCTGTGATTTCCTGGTGCGGGATTTCCTCGCGTCTTGGAGGTTATCAAGCTTTGGTGGGTTGTGGATCAACACATCGAGGTTATCAGGTGGCGCGGCTTGCTTTCTCTTCTGGCGGGCGGGGGCGATAGCTTCGTCTAGGGATTCATTGTCCGATTGAGATTCTACAAACAGTTCATCTTTTGGATCTTAGCTTTCTAGTTGCATCGACGAGGGAGAAAACACCATACTTGCGGGTTTATCATTGGACCTCGTCTTGGTGGGGAGCTTCGGCCGTTTCTTGTCGAGTGAATTCTCCGGCTTGCTTTTGGAAGTCTTTGTAGGACGGTATGTACCCAAGCTTGGGTTGTCGTATGTGAGTGTTGCGTATCGGTTGTCTTGCTCCGGGCTCACATCCGCTGGGGGTGTAGCGGTTGAAGTAGCAAAGGCAAGCCGCGTCTGCTTTTTCTTCGATTTGCGGGGTGGCATTTTGAGTGGTCAAAATGACAGAATAGGCAGGATTGGAAGGCGGAGTGTCGTGTTCATATAGCTAGGTATGTCATAGCAAAGTCAAAGAAAAATAAATATGTTCAAAGAAGAGTAAAGGTTGAGTCTGGTCATAGATCAAAGTGGGACCTTCGCTGTCGCGGATTGCGCGTTGGAATAAATCACGAGAGCACGTGATCAGTATACTTAGACGATCAAACCACATTGGGGAGCTTTGGGAGCAATATTTGAGAAATCTATTTGTCAGATTTCTTAGTTTCTTTCTCAGATTTGTAGCTTAATTTCTTCAACAATTTATCAATACCACATTGCACTATGCATATCGACGTAGTCGCTTCTAAACAATATTCTTAGGCTAAAAATGAACTACAGGGTGCATATGGTAGCCACCAATGTTTCAGACATTATAGCAAATCGAATAATTGCCCAGAAATATCTTTGAATATGTTATGTTGCCGCTTTGGCTGGGGTTTTATATACACGTAGCTCTCTGTGCGGCATGGTTTGAACAAACCTGATCCTATGCAATTATCCATAGAAGGCAGATCAGTCTGTTCTTATAAACACAAAACAAAGGTCAAAACTATTTAAAATATACAGGAATAAATGGTCAGTAATGTGGCCTTGTGGCCATTTTTGGTTGTCTTTTTCAAAGTCTTCTTAGATGTCTCGGATATTATTTTTAGAGTCACTTTCTATAGACCCCTCTCCTCCTTATAACTACGTTATATAGCTAGGAGGATAAGAAGAACTAGTCAAAAAATATGAAATATAGGCCATAAAAAGTCACTTATGACTTTATGATTGGGCTATATATAAATATATATAATTCCAGCTTCAAGCAACGTAATTTTTGATACCGTGATAATGCAGCTTTTCGATTTTCTTAAAATTAATATATAGTGTTTGAAATCATTATCCATAGCTATCGAGTAAGAATTAAATCAAATAATAACGTAGTTGTTGTTATATGAAGTTGTAAAATGTCGCATTTACTATAGTGTTTTAGGGTTGGCCGCTCGGTGGTGTTGGCCACTCGGTGGTGAAATACGTTAGTTATAGTTAGTTAACTATGTAGCACATGTTGCCTTCTGTTCCTCGGTTAAACTCGGTGCTCATAAGAGAACCTAGTTATATATAGCCTAATAGACGACATTGGAAGATTCCCCCTCCTAAAAAAAGAAAAACTAATATCAGCAAGATATACAAAGGAGTTAATAAAATGTTGCCCTAACTTTACGTCTCAAGAGATAAGGATAAAGTCAGCCCTATCTCCAGTCTGAAAGTATCACGGAAGTCTAGTCGCCTATTATCTCTTGCTTGGTTAGTCTAGCGCCCTTGTCAAATGTCTTGGAATCTATCTACAACATACTCCGTACATCATTGTACATACTGCAATCCTTCACCATTTACCCTATTGGTGGACTTTGGCTTTCTCCCAAGCCACTACCACCCACAGTTCCCCGATTCGTGGAAATTCCCCAAACCTCATCACGCCGGAACGAAAGCTTGAAAAATATCCTCGAACCCCAGACCCCTATTACCCCAGGTTTGGCTCGCGCATTTGAGGCTCCAAACCAATGGGAAATCGAATGGGCGTGAGATACGCTCTACCCATGTGACATTGACTCCAGATTCCCCACGGTCCCCACCACTCAGCGATCCTGGAGACAAGGGCGACCCGTTATCTAAATGGTAAAATATGCTTAGCGTGTCTGGGGTTGTGAATTCTGGGGATGGTCTGATCCACCCCATGTCGTTTCTTTTGCTCACATGGGCTGAGGTTGCAGTCCCGTCCCCGGAATGCCCTTATCGTGTCTGGTCTTCTTATATAGCTGCAGCCTCCGCCCACTCAGGTGTCACCGTGGAGTCTAGCTCATTCTTAACTGTTCTCTCATATTACTCGAGGGCTACTATCACTGCCCGCTTTCTTAAATCATTTTGTGGAGCGTGGTACTATTGATCTGGTAAAGATCGCCAACCTCAACTGTCAAACCTGTCCCATCCCATCCCATCATAATGGGTCTTTTAATGACCCGCAAGAGAGCGTACAATTGGTTAGTACACAATCATCTACTCCGAAGAATATACTCTAATCCGACTTTCTAGGTACATCTCTTGTGTTGCCGCATCATGCATGGTGCTCTACGGTTACGATGCATCTGTGTTCAACTCCGTCCAGGGCTCCAAGAACTGGCTAGCTTGGATGAACAACCCCAATGCAGCCACAATCGGCTCAATTAATACAGCATACACAGTCGGCGCTATTTTTGGTGGTTTCTTCCTGGGAGGACCATGTGCAGATTTCCTAGGTCGCAAGCTTGGAATGGGCATTGGTTGTATTTTGGTTATTGTCGCCACCTTTATGCAAACCTTCGCTCCTCACCACAATCTTGCTTGCTTCCTTGCAGGTAGATGTATCATCGGTATTGGTCAGGGTATTGCATTGAGTAAGTCTTGTTGATCGCGTGGTTTCAATGACATGAACTAACGGAGTTATTTCGCAGCTGCTGGCCCTATCTACATTGGTGAACTGGCTCCGCCAGAGATCCGTGGTAAGATCATGACTTTCTGGCAGATGTTCTACTCTGTTGGATCATTCATCTGCTTCTGGATCAATTTTGCTTGCACTAAGAATGTTGCTAAGCTGGGCGAGTGGGACTGGAAGTTGGTTGTCATTTTTCAGCTTTTGGTTCCTGCTTTGATCCTTTTCCTCTTGCCGACTATCCCCGGCAGCCCTCGTTGGTAAGTCGCTTTTGGTAATTTTCAATTGACCGCAAGCAATTCTAACAATCACTAGGTACATCCAGAGAGGCAACAAAATTGAGAAGGCTCGCGAAGCTCTGCAAAGAGTTCGTGATACTGAGGAAGAAGTCGAACAAGAGCTGTTGGAGATTCGTGAGGCCATCGAATACGAGAGGGAAGCCATTTCCAGCAATTACTCTGCTCTCTGGAAGGACAAGTCTCTGCGCAAGCGCATGGCTCTGGCTCTGGTCCTCAATGCCGGCCAACAGATCACCGGACAAGGCTCGCTCAACTCGTACTCTACGAAGATCTACCAGAAGGTGTTTACCAGCGACAGTAAGATTGCTCTTATCAACGCACTGAATGCCACCTTTGGAATTTTCTTTACCCTGAATGCTGTCTGGATTATCGATCGTTTTGGAAGAAAGTTCCTTCTGATTGTCGGTGGTATCGGCATGGGTCTCTGCATGATCATTGTCTCTGCCGTCGAAACAGAAACACCACAACTCGCCAACGGAGCCAAGTCAGAACCAGTTGGTATATCAATTGTGTTCCTTATGTTCTTGTTCATCTTCTTCTGTAAGTTCCCTCCACTCACTATCTCCCTGCAAACGAAACTCTACTAACATCATTTCTTAGACAAACCATCTTGGGGGCAACAGTATGGATCTGGACGTCCGAAATTTTCTCAATGAACGTCCGCGCCCAGGCCGTGGGCATGGCATCGCAGACGCAGAATGTCGCCAACGCCATCGTGCAGCAATTCTTCCCTATTTTCCTCGACAATGAGGGCTTCTATGCCTTCTATATGTTTGCTGGTATCAACTTCCTACTTGCACTCTTTGTTTGGTTCCTCATTCCGGAGACCAAGCAGGTTCCCCTTGAGGAGATTGATACTCTGTTTGGTGGTGCCAACCACGTTGCTCAGGGAGAGGAGGTGCTGGCACATCAGAAGGGAGTTCGGATGAGCCACGAAGGAAGCGAAAAACCTGAGGCTGTTACTGTGGAGCATGTTCGGAGCTAGGTATTATTTTGATATACCAATTGCGGTGGTTGTTTCTGAAAATGTTATAAGCGATATGATACATGTGTTTAGCAAGTAGTCTCCAATGCAAGTGCGCCCAGCGCGCTTTATGAATCCCGTTTCGTCCTTAGATTTTTACTTAGTAGTTATATCATCTTTGAGTAAGTAAAAAATAAATAGTTTTCTAATTTAACAAAATTCTTGGATTACTTGAGCTAGAGAACGAGCGGAGCATCCCCATCTCCATCGCCAGGGACAGCGTACCATTCACTTCTCCTAATCGATCAGGTAAGAATAACCTCATTACCTTCCAAATACAGTTTCGGACTTGACATTTTCCCTTCTAACCTTACGCCTCAGGTTACTTTATCCACCTTTATCCACCCACCCTTGACTTTATATCTGTTCCATCTCAAAATGGAGATGCCCGAGAATTTTCCACCTGGCTTCGTCCTAGGCAGAGTTGCTGAACAGCTCAATCAGGATCACAGTGATCTTCGTATAGGTCTTTCTACCAACTTGGTCACCTATGGTGAAGCTTTGACGGCAAGTCTAAACTGCGTAGGCGACATCCCTGGTCATGTCCAATTACCAACGACGAATCCAGTCCGTCGAGCACACCTACGTAAGATGGCACTTGAAAATATCGGATCGCTTAACAGTCCTACCGCTTCAACATCACCCGGTGTAATTCGCACCCAGGGAAAACTAGATATGGAAGATTTTCCGCGACCACTTTCCCCAAATCGCCGTGCTTTGCTGAAGAAGAAATTCCAAAATGAAAACATTCCGCCGTATCGGGATCCTTACATCCTCAGGCTCCTCTCTTTAGAAGAAAAGTTGGCCGCTATTGTTGGCAACGTCACGGTATCCGCTATAGATTGGGACACCAGCATGCCAACATGGAAACTTCCGGAAATGGAAATTCTCTGGGACACAGGCGCTCAGCATACCATTATCACAACCGATATCCTCGGCGAAGACTTTTCAGCACACCTATCCGACCCTGTCCACGATTTATACCGAAGGGGGACGGAACGCGTATTCTGGTTTCGTTCCAACTTGAATTCACAAATACGCTATTTGAACTGGACGTAATGGCAGTGGCTGTGGATCGACAAGCCGTGCCAAATATGCGGTCGGGTATCATCCTTGGACAGATGGGATGTATTGATTCGATGCAATACCGGTCTGTTCCACGATCGACAATTCTAGCCAAAGGGGGACACATTGATGAAAAGTACTGGGGAGAGATCGTTCTAGAAAGCTACGTTGATGTTGACGGGACTTTGCATGAGATTGTCCCCACATAGATCCCCCATACGCTGTTATACTTGCAATGTCCTCGGCCTATGACTCTGTGCTACCGCGTGAAGGCCCATACACCCCCATGTATTCTGTTCTAGCCTCCAATTCACTACTATTTTAGCTCTCCAAGGTCTTTTATATTATAGAACTATCTCAATTAGCTAACTATAAGCTTAATTTTAAAGTCGGTAGGCACTATAATAATAAAGTTATCGATATAAATCATTATAATAGTGATTTGCGTGCCTTTACCTTTTAACGTAGAAATTGTCTTTAATTAGGTAGAATCCGATCTATCTTAACTTACTAGTTATCTATCTCTTTATTCTTTAAAATTTAGAACCCGTTAATAAAGAAGCTTACTACGTCCCGTGATATTAGGTTTTAGTAGCTAGGGGATAATCGAGAATAATCGAGATAACGAGGGCAAAGGTAGAAATATCTTTAGCTCTAATATAGTAGGCTTAGGTCTAAAGCTAGTTAACCCTTCTAATAATAATAATATAGTTTAGCCTGCAGTATCAATGCCGCTTTCGGAATTCCACCAGCTTTCATGCCAATTGCGCCAGATGAGCTCATTCTCAATTGCCTGAACAAACTCCAGCGGCTGGGGTGCTGTCCGAGCTGTATCAGCCCCCACGGGCTCCGGTTCGTTACCTCCAGGTTCATAACCAAACGTGATCTGATTCTGAAGCTGAAACGGTACACCGAAAGTGCCGCTCGGATCGTCCCCTGGCTGAGCGGGCAAGATGGACGAAAGGTTCTGGAGGGAGTCAAATGGTGTAAATTGCTGCGCCGTGTTCGGGAACAATAATGCCCCTTCGCTTTCCCGTGGGACTTGCTGTTGGAGGGCCTGTCCCCCCTGCGAGTTAGAAAATCTTGTTTTAGGGAGCGATTTCAGCTGACTGGGTGGAAAAAGCATTGTGAGACCCCGAAGGGGGTCCGGGCTAGAGTGTACTGCCCGAGAGGCATCATTCAGAGCACCCATGGCGTCTACAATGGGCACAAAATCTCGCCGGATAGAAGCTATTGGAGTCATTATGCTCACGACTTTCTCCAGATTGGAGAGATCCTGTTCGTGTTCGCTGGGATCAGTCGAGGACATGATGTGATAGTATAGCGTGAAAAAGGCGCAAAACGGATAAAAGGTGACCAGGCTTCGAGCGGTTAGGGCTGTCATCTCGTGAACTTCACAGAAGACTTACTGCGGATTGAAACTTTGTTCTATTCCAGACGGCAGAACATTCTTCCCAGCCCATTCGATAATGGTGTTAATCACTATCCTCGCAGCATTTACAGCTTGCGGGTGCGGGGATCTATCGCTGTTGGACGCCTTCCGTCGCATTAAGATGATGAAACTGTAAAGGGCAATGATAGAATCTGCATAAAGCCAAGACTTTACAGGTTCAATCCTGGGTGATCGTGCAACTGATAACATATCCCAGTCCGTAAGCAGCTCCCATAACTCGTTACAACAGTTGTCTGTTTTGCTGCTGACTTCGGCGTAGGTCTGACCATGCGAAGATTCCAAAACGCCGAAAAACTCATCCAGTAGAAATAGCGCGCGCGACCAAACAATGAACAAGGTGCAGTGGGCGGGCTTGGGCTGCTTTGTTTGGGGCGAAATTTCTGCCGGAAGCTTGACTTGAGCTATGGGATATTCTAGTGCCTTGGGCTTGTCATACCAAAGCCTGAATAGGAAGTCTAGTTCGACTAGATACCAATGTAGCCGGCGTTTGATTTCCTTCTCCTCCTCCAAGCCTTCATGTGCAGTGCCGGGCGGAGACGAGTCAACATCATGTATGCCTAGGAGGCCTCCGAAACGACACGCCTGGCAGTGGAACTGCCATGCCAGGTGGTAATCAAAATTATTGATCGCCAGCCATGCCTTGATCGGGGTCAGTTGTACTCCGTGGTGCGCTCACAAACCGAACGAAAAGCTTACAGTCAAGGAGGCAGCGAGAAGGTCTAGTGGCGACCCTCGCGCTGATTCGAGCCACTTGGGGACAGACTGGAGACATCTGTAGTACGCTAATATCGCCAATCCCTGTTCGTCTTTCCTCCCGAGCATTTGACCGAAATATATACCGCTGTAATAGATGATTCGCATCGCAGGGTCAACTTGAGCATAGGGCGAGTCAATGATATGGGGCAAGGCTCTTAGGAATCCCGGGTCCACAACATTTCTGAAAGAGCCAAATACATTAAAATGAGGCAGAATGATATCGAGGAAAGCTAGAAAAATAATCAGCTTAGCGCTTTCCCGGTCCGACTAGTACCATACTGTCTAAATATCGCTGCGCATCGCATGGTAGGAGATTGGGTTTCGAACCATCTACCGAATTATTGAAAGGTTGAGGACTTGGAGCAGCTAGTTGACCAAGGGCCGTGTCAAGGCGGTTGATGGCGTTGTTTACTGTAGATTGAGCCCATGGAGGCGGCGGGTCGAAGGTGAATTCCCCCTTGTTGGCGAGGCTCTCAATGCTGTTTTTAGCTCCACTGACCATCCGGTATATCCATGCTACAGCCGTCAGTATCCTACACTCACTACATGGGGCAGGGCTCACACATACTGTTAGCCCCTTGTTCCGATTCGGAAGCCTGTGGCACCGTTGCTCTGGCTTGGTCGATTTGACTAGGGGAGGGTGTATCGGGCGCACGGATGTCTGTAGGCACACTAGAGCGATTTTCCTGAGCCTCAAGCCGACGATCTGAACCGCGGATTTCTGCTTTCTGCCTAAACAAAGATAGGACGAGGGACGATTTAAAAATGGGTGCTTTGCAGGAGTGATTGAAGAACCGACTTACCGCTCTCCTCGGGGTTTTCGCCTGGCAGGATACGAACAAGGGAAACCGCTGGTCATGCACCTCTTGCACACCGGTTCGCTCCTGTCACATTTCAGCTTCAGGCGAGTCAGCAAGTCTCAAGTCCGGGCAGGTGTCATGCGAACAACAGACTTTTTTATCTCTGCATCTCGAGCACTACAACGGAAATCAGTTTATGGTTCATACTAGCGTGAAGGCCATTGATAATACCGAGAGCTTCATCCCGAAAGAACCCATGACGACTTGCGAGTCCGATTCTACGGAGACTGAAGAAGGGAGCGGGAAATTCGGACATTGATCGGTCCAATATAGAGGGAGCCAAAGCCAAGAGTCCGGTTTTATGGAGACATTCGGACATTCGACAAAGCCAAGGTTGGAAGAGTCCGGCGACGATCGGATTACTAAGCCGTTCCCGTGATTATTACTGGCAGGTTGCCGTAGGTATGCGCAAAGTCCGAGTTTTGGCTACCCTTAAGAATAGAAGCTGTATTACAGAGCTCATCGTGGCCTTAGTGGGACTTAATTCTCTTCTAGGTTCCGCCTGAATGTTTCGCGACTCAAAAGACCGAGACTGGGGCCCGCGGGCTCCGTTGTGGACTTTAGATATATATACTCCAGCACCTCTGCCTACCCAGAATGCTGTCTATACTCAACTGCCCCACACACAATTACTTTTTCCAAAACCGTGGCTAGGTTTGAGCTTTCGCTGATGAGTTACAATACTGCCGATCATGACTCCAAGAGCCCCGATGAGATGAGTTCAGAAGACCGCACCCGCGCCAACAGTTGCGACTCGTCAGGAGGAAAAGACATGTTGGCAGACAGACGAGTCGAATCTGACCAGGCTGTAACAAATCTGGCTCGCACGTTGAGCTCGAAATCACATCAATCACATGGACAGCTCCCTTTCGCTACGGAGAAGGACGGCTCACTCGACCCTCATAGCCCTCATTTTAACGCTAGAGCCTGGGCAAAATCCTTCTACGAAGTGCGATACAATGCTAATGACGGCGGTGCTCCGCGAGTTTCTGGCGTGGCATTTAAGAATCTCAACGTGGTCGGGTATGGGAGTCCGCTCGATTATCAGATGAGCGTTGGAAATGCGGTACTGAAGCTGCCGACTGTCCTCGGGCAGTTGTTTGGTGGGAAGAAGCAGAGGATTGATATCCTTCAGGATGTTGATGGCCTACTCATTCCTGGCGAACAGCTCTGCGTTCTGGGACCGCCTGGTTCAGGCTGCTCAACCCTGCTTAAGACTATCGCACAAGACACCCACGGATTTGAGGTAGCCCCCTCTTCGATCATCAACTACCAAGGCATTACACCAAAGCAAATGTCAACCTCCTTCCGGAGTGAGGCCATCTATACTGCAGAAGTGGATGCCCATTACCCACAGGTCTCCGTGGGCGACACCCTCTACTTCGCCGCCCTCGCACGCACGCCTCGCGAGCTCCCTGGTGGAATGACCCGCAAGGAATACGCCAGTCATCTACGGGATGTGATTATGTCCACGTTCGGCATTAGTCATACCATCAACACCCGTGTCGGCAACGACTTCGTGCGCGGCGTCAGTGGAGGAGAGAGGAAGCGGGTCACCGTTGCAGAAGCAGCATTAAGCTTTGCGCCGCTACAGTGCTGGGATAACAGTACTAGAGGGCTGGACAGTGCCAACGCAGTGGTAAGTCAATGCTTCTTTCTATCACCCTCTTCAAGTACTCACGCAACCCTCGATAGGAATTCTGTCGTACACTGCGGAACCAAGGCGATATTTTTGGAGTAACGTCATGTGTTGCCATTTATCAAGCTCCACAGGCAGCCTATGAGGTATGTATCGGCCTTGTATATCTGCTAAGACTTGTATGTTAACTCGTCTGGTAGCTCTTTGATAAGGTCACTGTTCTCTACGAAGGAAGACAGATTTATTTCGGCCCCGCACAGGAAGCTCGGGGATATTTCACCCGCATGGGGTTCCACTGTCCCGAGGCTCAGACCACTCCGGACTTTTTGACATCGATGTCGAGCCCTGTCGAGCGCATTGTCAAGCCAGGCTCGGAGAACTTAGTGCCTCGGACTGCAGAAGACTTTGCCAAACGATGGAAGGAAAGCCCCGAACGCCAGGACCTCCTGCGGCAAATCGATCAATACATGAGTGACCACTCCTTCTATGCGACGGACTTGGATCAGTTTGCATCCTCCCGCGCAGCTGAAAAGTCCACAAAGCAACGGCAAAACTCGCCGTATACCTTGTCATACTGGGGTCAGATCCGTATTTGTCTATGGAGGGACTTTCAACGGCTTAAGAATGACCCCAGCGTGACTCTCGCGATGTTGATTGGAAACTTCTTTGAGGCCTTGATTATTTCAAGCATCTTCTACAATCTCGCAAACGATACATCTTCATTCTTTTCTAGGGGCGCTCTGATCTTCATGATGGTCCTACTCAGCGCCTTCTCTAGTATACTTGAGATTATTGTCTTGTACGAGAAGCGAGTAATTGTCGAAAAACACGCCCGATATGCTCTATATCACCCAAGTGCAGAGGCTATATCCTCGATGATCATGGACATGCCATACAAGATACTGAACTCTCTACTCATGAATCTTGTGCTCTACTTTATGGGAAATTTGCGACGTGAGCCCGGGGCATTCTTCTTCTTCTTTCTAATTGCCTTCTCTATGATGATGGGAATGTCCATGTTTTTCCGCTTCTTCGCTTCCCTGACAAAGTCACTGGAGCAGGCTCTTGCCCCCTCATCCATCATCCTAATCGCGCTTGTCCTATATACCGGTTTTGCTATACCGGTCAGTTATATGCGCGGTTGGGCATCCTGGATCCGGTGGCTGAATCCGGTATCATACGGATTTGAAGCGGCGATGGTCAATGAATTCCATGGGCGGGAGTTCCTTTGTACCTCTTTCGTGCCCTCTGGACCTGGCTACGAGAATATCTCGAGCAATGAACGTGTTTGTTCAACTATTGGAGCGGTTCCAGGCTCCGATGTCATCCAAGGCACGGCCTTTGTTCGATCATTGTACGGTTACGAGAATAGCCATCGCTGGAGAAACTTTGGGATCATTATCGCTATCACAGTTTTCCTTGCTCTCTGCCATTTGGTCACATCCGAACTGGTTTCTTCTCACCGCTCAAAAGGTGAAGTGCTTGTCTTCCGTCGCGGCAAATCTCAGAAAGCCCGGGCAAAGCGATCTCAAAGTGACGAGGAACAAGTTGCATCCCCCGGGGGAAAGAGCGAAAATATGTCCGATGAGAGGCCTTGCATGGTTTCTAGTGTTGAAAAACAATCGTCGATATTCCACTGGGAAGATGTGACCTACGATGTCATGATCAAAAGCGAATCAAGGCGCATTCTGGACCATGTTGATGGCTGGATCCGGCCGGGAACTCTTACTGCACTCATGGTAAGTATCTTTCCTATCAAACACACTCTCTTCCAGTGTTAGCTAACGATTTCCTTCATAGGGTGTCTCCGGTGCCGGGAAGACTACCTTGCTAGATGTGCTAGCAAGTCGCACGACTGTCGGCGTCGTCGGGGGCAACATGCTTGTTCACGGCCGACCCAGGGACGAGACTTTTCAACGCAACACAGGCTACGTCCAACAGCAGGATCTTCACCTACACACATCAACAGTACGAGAAGCACTTGAATTTAGTGCTCTTTTGCGACAATCGCCCCAGTACACCCGTGCTGAAAAGCTTGCGTACGTGGAGACCGTCATTGATCTGTTGAGCATGCGAGAATATGCCGATGCTATCGTGGGAGTTCCTGGAGAGGGTCTCAATGTTGAACAACGAAAGCGTCTCACTATCGGCGTTGAATTGGCGGCTCGCCCTAAGTTGTTACTCTTCCTCGATGAACCTACTTCAGGGTTGGATAGTCAGACCTCGTGGTCGATTTGCAACCTCATGGAGACTTTAACCAAGAACGGGCAAGCGATTCTTTGTACAATTCATCAACCGTCCGCCATGTTATTCCAGCGTTTCGACAGACTTCTCCTCCTAGCCAAGGGTGGCAAGACAGTCTACTTTGGCGGGGTTGGGCAAGGATCCGAGACCCTGATGGACTACTTTGTTCGCAATGGCGGTCCTCCTTGTCCCCCAGGCAACAACCCGGCAGAACATATGCTCCAGGTCATTGGCGCCGCTCCTGGAGCACAAACAAGGATCGACTGGCCGACTGTGTGGAGAAACAGCTCCGAATATCAGGAAGTCCGCCGGGAACTGGCTGCATTGAGGCAGTTGGCTAGTCGGCCATCGCCTGTGTCTGATCCGAATGACAGGTCGAGCTATGCTGAATTTGCTGCGCCATTCTCTGAGCAAATAACTCATGTCGGACGACGTGTATTTCAGCAGTACTGGCGCTCGCCGTCCTATATCTATTCCAAAGCCCTCTTGACCGTGGGATGTGTAAGTCCTTTCTGTCTGTTGAGATGTCCGTGATATCTAACATTACTCTGACAGGCTTTCTTCATCGGATTCTCATTCTTCAAAACGGAAAATACTCAACAGGGCCTCCAGAATCAGATGTTTGGCGTTTTTATGCTTCTCTTCGTGGTCGTCCAGCTGGTTATGCAAATCGTTCCATCATTTGTTACACAAAGAACGCTCTACGAGTCTAGAGAACGACAATCGAAGACTTATGCGTGGCAGGCTTTCATTATATCCAACATCGCTGTTGAGTTCGTTTGGAATACGGTATGCATTCCATCCTCTATCCTTTCCTCTGTCTCCACTAAGGCTTTCCTCTAGGTCATGGCCATCTTCTCCTATTTCGTATGGTTCTATCCCGTCGGGTTGTATCGGAATGCCCAGTATACAGACACAGTCCATACTCAAAGTCTATTGACGGTGCTTATCATCTGGGCAACCTTCCTTTTTGCCAGCTCCTTTGCACACATGTTGATCGCAGGAATGGATAGTGCACAGCTAGCATCTTCCGTGTCGAATATTCTCTTCATCATGCTGTACGCGTTCTGTGGTATCCTCGCTGGGCCTGACGCTCTCCCGCGTTTCTGGATATTCATGTACCGCGTCAATCCGTTCACATACCTGGTGTCGTCCTTACTATCTGCGACCCTTGGGGCTGCCCCCATGCACTGTGCGGATAACGAAATCCTGTCATTTTCGGCTCCATCTGGAATGTCCTGTGATGAGTATATGAGGGACTACCGAACAGCGAATGGCGGATACCTTCTTAATCCTGACGCCCAGGGCAGTGAGCAGTGCAACTTCTGCACCTTTGATCACACTAACCAATACCTGTCGAGTCTTAACATTGACTTTGAGAACCGATGGAGGGACTTTGGCCTCCTATGGGTTTATATTATCGTCAATACCGTCGGAGCCATTGTGTTCTACAAGCTTTTCCGCGTGCCCAGGAGAAAGAAGGCTAAGAAGGCAGAGTGAGCAGCTTTATTGGCGGTCGTCCTTCTTCCATCTACATATTTTGTACTTCTAAGAACATATGTACCGGATAATGCCTGGCACTCGAGACCTTTCCCTTTCCGTTTTAGTGCTTACCTCTTGCCGCTTTTCGATCACCGAGTAAAACTAAGCACGTCCCTGAGTATTCTGACTTGATCACGGGCCATTATATAATCAACCTAATCTACTTACTAAGTATTACCTAATCATCCCTAAGTACCCGTGGACCCTAATCTACTTACTAATCATTATCTAAGCACTCTGATTTACTTACTAAGTACTCGTTTTATACTTTATATATTCGTTTTATATCGTTATAGTTTCTATAAAACTAGGTATTATTAGTAAAATATTCTATAGATAATTAGATTCTAATAGTAATAGGCGGGTTTACTAGGTTACTACTAGTTTATAAGTTATTACTAGTAATTACCGCCAACTGGTGACCTAGTGACCTGGTCAGCAAAACGCCGGTCTGGAAGGCCGCTAAAGGCAGGGAAGATCGCGCGGCTGTGAAGACCTACCTACGTCCCCGCACGTGGTGAATTCTCCCTCTTCCACAGCCAGTCTTCGAACTCTGTGGATCCAAGCGCGTTTGGACCATCGTCCACTGCCGTCTTCCATTGCATTGACATTCCGTATAGCGGTAGCTGTGAGGGATTTTGTGACAGTGCCCCATACTCAATCACGTTTTTGCTATCACTACCGTCGGAAATCCGCCAACTTCGTACCGCTCTTTCTGCAAAGATGCGTCCTCTTGCCAGATCACCATGCACAATAGCAACTTGCGCAGCATCCAAGTACACCCTGGACAAGCCTGGGTCATCTGGGCCCGTCATATTATATAGCTGAATCTCTCGGTCAAGGTAGCGCAGGGTTCGGAGGGGGGATGACAAGATCCCCTCGAGGCCACGCTGACCGACGAGACGATCCAGATGATCAGTCTCTTCCAGTATCTTATCATTCCTTTGTATCTGGTTGGGTGGGAACGAGCAAATACGACAGGAGCATGAAAACTTGAATTTTGCTCGTAGCGCCTCCTGTCGGGCTTGCCGGCTGTTGTGGACCGCTAGGTAATATATTGTGATTTCTTCACCTTCGTTGATATCTCGTAGCGCGTGGACGGTATGCCGCTTGATATTGTCGTTCCAACTCTTCTGGGCGTTGTTATCGCAGGCATGGTTGATGCGGCTTGCTTCGAGGAAAATCCCTCCTCCGGTCTCGCCGTCCTCAATCGGGAGGGCGTTTGTGCGGATGATCCCGATATATTGTTCGGTGGGATTCTTGTAGGGGTAGATATTGTGTAAAGAGAGGAATTCCAGTCGCTGTTGTTCAGTGAGCGCATTGACTTGCTGGCGGATGTATCTCTGTAGCGTTTTACAGCCCAGTTGGTCGTGGTTATGAGGGATTTGGATGATAGCTTCTTCGCAGAGAATCCGCGTGCCCTGTGGAACGTTTATGGTTGCAACAAGACCTTTTCCCTTCCCTGGAACATCCTTCAACTCGTACATTGTTAGGATCTACAGGCAGGTAGATGTGATCATGCAGGTACAATATCCAGGTGTGTATTGTAGTGAGTGCTATTGATGATGATGATGATGATAGAGGAGAGAAGGAGAGAGAGAAGCTAATCTATCTACAGTGGGTCACATGGATGCATGTGGGTCCCAAATCACGTGATTGGCTCTAACAATCGCATGGTTTTCAATTGGTTGACTACTTCTCTGTGCGCTTAGTAAGACTTGGCTAAGCTGTCTTTTTACCCTGTACACATTTGGCTTTTTCACTATGCATTTTGCTTTTTAATTGTGTCTGACCAGATCATTGAATTCAGATCATTGTTGTATTTAGTTAGAGAATTTTTACCATTGTGGATTTACCAGTCCGCTCGCCGTACAACTGATTTCTGTCAACATGTGTTGTTGTGATGGCCTCAGGCCTGAATTTGTGCCTTAGGCATCAACCCCTCAGTAGGTCGTGCATCATAGATTGTTTGTATCTAAGTCTCCATTTCTGAAACGGTTTTATCTCCATTTGAACCCAGCATTGAATATCGGAGCCAGGTTCTATATCTAAGTACAGCTATCACTGCCAGCAATGAAAGTACCATCCGAGTTCTCGCAACCACACTCTCCGGTGTCGGGAGACTTGATACAGGTCGTGCCGTATCCGGTACTCTTACCACCACTGCCCCAATAGAAGATCCAGTAGTCTGGGTTCTCCTCCAACTCACCACTGGTCGGGGCAGTGCAGGTATACGCACTGCATGTACCGTATGGAGCGCCTTTAACGGAGTCGTATTGGTGGTCGGTCTCGAAGACGGCGAATGTTTGGGTCTTGGAAGTGCGAGTGTTGTGGGAACACTCGGCCGCTTGGATGGCTTTAGAGACCTTTGTGGCTATTTTATGGCAGTCAGCACAAGAGCACTCCATCTTTGTTCGTTGTCATCACGCACCACTGCAGTTCAGGTTACTAGGTTTGTAACCCTTGGTGTTTGACGAAGCCGGGGCGAGGGTAGCTGCGACAATAGCTGGTGCAGCAAGCAAGCTGATAAAGTTGGTGAAATGCATTTTGAGGGATAGTTGTTTGAACAGGGTGGGTATAGAGAGATTGAAGAAGGGCAAAGTAGTTGGTGTACTCCGTAGATATATATATACCTACTCGTAAGACCCACAACTTTGATACTCCGAAACATATAACTACTCCGTAAGTTAAATTAATATACAAAGCCATTTTGATGGAAAGGAGGTTGGGAGGGCCTAGAGCTCGTGAATATCCATCCATGTACGGAGTATAGAGGATGAGTCCAATGTTTCTCTCAGGGGGAGGAGTAGGGAGGATCCACTTCAGTCTATTAAATTTCAATTCGAAACATCAAGTGACTTGTGGGGGACTTCTTCCATATCAACAAGACAGAATCTATAATTGAGTAGTACATTGTCGACACTTTGAACGCTATAGAAACTACTATAAAGCCATTGCTAATTAAATAGGTTTGAGTACACGCAGTACCCACCATTGGAGTATGGAGGCGAGTACAGAGTAGCCGTCACTCAGGTTTCATAAGGATGGATCTATTTTATTATCTATGTCTCAGGTCTACCCCTGGATGTGCCACACCCCATTAGGAAATGTCTAGGATATACCCCGTACAGCACACAAGCTTATTCTAAGGATATGATTAACTCTCATGATCTTCTTGGCATGATAATCCTGATCAAACAGCTAAATAATCTTCGGAAATTTTCATTGCAGGAGCTTGTCAGACCTAAAGGCAGCTAGGTTTAGGTCAGGACGTCACTGGTATATCGGTTTGTGTTCGTATGAGAAGGACAAGCATGGGTGGGTGACATTTAGATCGACATTTTGGAGACGGAAGCTCGATGGATAAATTAGATCGTTAACGTTGGAATTTTACGGGATACGCGGATGTTGTATTCCTAGACACGTATAGAGAGTGCAAGCTCAATCTATCGGGCGATCAGTGCCGATCTGTGGACAATCCTCTCCACTTCTTACAATTCTTTAGCGTATTCTCCACCATCAGCTTCATAGCCGCAAATGAAATGACGCAGGAGGCGGGGACAAATGCTTAATCCCGAGGATGGCACATTGATTTTAATTGATCAATGTTGCACATAGGACTAGCATTTATTGGGGTTCCTAAGGGTTGAGATTCGTCCGCTGGTCATGGGACCACCCACGGCCATAGTTACCAATTGCTAGGAAATATAAGAAGACGACCTCACTGTATGGAGGTATATATGGTATGGATAGAAGATATGTATGAATCAAACTACATTGACAATTCCGTTATTTTACTTTTGTATAGAGTACGCCAGCCATTATGGTGGTCTGTAGATATTCCGGGTTTCAACACCTTGCATTTCTACCATGTATACAACTAACTTAGTACTTGGGATATTCTTTCTCAGCCTGTTTATGTCGGTACAAGTTCCAGGGATTTGAAACTGACGGGAAATCTGTCTTAAGACACTAGGGCTATGTAATTGATAACCGTTGTTTAGATTCTGGACGTCTATTAAAGGCAACATCTTAAATCTGATATGTTGACGTATCTATTCAATCTTGTATAGTGGAGAGTCTAAGCGGACATGTGTGACGGTATTGCACCTTGGCTCCAACATAGAAAATTAGCCCTTTAACCATTTAGGCAATATTTTCAGCCTCATGATGTTCAGGTTTTACCATCTCTTTCTCCTGGGCAAATGTAGAGTGTGGGCGCCACTTGGCAGAGGTCCGAGGGGTACTTTCTTCCATCATTTTATCAACTTGCTCAAGAGACAGACCCTTGGTCTCTGGGACAAGGAAGTACGCATACACGAAACAAGCAGCGCAAAGGCTTCCCCAGACGAAGAAGACAGAGGACCTCATGTTGGCCTCACCAGGGTTGTCTCCTACCATGTAAGGAGTGATGACAGCAATGATGGTATTCCACAACCAGTTGGAGGCAGTGGAGAGAGCAACACCACGGGAGCGGATAGGAATGGGGAAGATTTCACCAATAAGAATCCAGGCTCCGGGGCCCCAGGTAGAGGCAAAGAAGAAGATGTAGATGGCAATAAGTGCGACTTGGGCGTTGACTGCCGAAATATTATTGGCAATAGTACTACCACTGTCACTGAGGTGGGTCTTGTTAAAGCCAATAGTAACGCCGATGATAGCGACGAGGAATTGACATATGAGCATACCCAACGCGCCGAAGATCAGAAGAGGGCGTCGACCTAACTTCTCGACAGTGTAGAAGGAGATAGGAGTTGAGAAAACGTTGACAATGGTGAAGATCATCGACGTCAAGAATGTATTGCTGATCGCACCAGTGGCCTGGAGGAAAGTAGTGGAGAAGTAGAAGATGAAATTGACACCAGTCCATTGTTGCATCATCTGGAGGGAGGTACCCAGGATGGTACGACGCAAGTTAGACTTCTGGACCCAAAGGCTACCAGTGAAACAATTTTTCCAGCTTCCGAACCAGCCGGCATCGGGGATAACGCTGCGCTCATATTCTTCGTTGGCGATGATCTCAGAGAGTTCGGCCTCAATGTATTCGGAATCGGGAGGCTGATCGCGGACAATGCAGAGGGCCTTCCTGGCTTCCTCGATGCGGCCCTTCTTGACAAAATAGCGAGGCGAGTCAGGGAGGAATAGAAGTCCAACACCCAGAACGATTGCCCAGACAAACTGGATTGCAATAGGGATGCGGAAGGAACCGGTGTCTGGGCGGTTTTCAGTCCCGTAGACCAAGCAAGACGCCAGCATGAGGCCGATGGTGACACAAAACTGGTAGCAGGCAACAATGGCACCTCGAACACTCTTGGGGCACTGTAAACGAAAGACAGAATGTTAGCATGTGGTTCAAAATGTCACCCATCCGAAGGCCGAAGGTAGCGACGACTCTTACAATTTCACTTATATATAGAATGACGATGGCCGATTCGAAACCGACACCAATACCAGCAATTAGACGACCAGCAGCAATGATACCAAGAGCGTTACCTCCAATGCCAGTGAGCATTTGAATGACAATGCCAACAGCGTAAATCACACAGCCGCAGATGACGGTCCATTTGCGACCAAACCACTCGGCTACATCGCCTGCCAGGACAGCGCCGAAAAAGGTACCAGCGGAGAGAATAGAAACGATGAGGGAGGAATGAGACGCAGTGAGCGTGGTACGACCGGGTTCAATGATGTCAACCCACATTTCGATCCCGTTGACACCATTGATATATCCAGAGTCATATCCAAAGTAGATACCTCCGAGCGAGGCAAAAGCGCAAAGCGCATAGGCCTTCCAGGTAATTGGTGCCTCAATGGAGTTGACATCTCCAGTTGCACGAAGAGCCATTTTGGAAACCTCACAGGGAATGGGTTGTCTATTATATGCCCAATGAACCTAGATATAGTTTGGGCAAGATAACATATGAAGTTGAAAGGAGAAATTCCATTAACACGGGGAAACGACGAGCATATTATATAGAGTTTTATCTCTATGTCAGCCACATCGGGTTTATGCCGGTGAAGAGCTTTTTCTCCTTTTGGCGCACGCCGCACCCCCTTGGCCTTTGCCAAGGACGAGATCCCACATGGGCCCAGGTATAACCCCTCCCCCAACGGGTTTAGGACCCATTTGACGGAGACTGGTATAATTACACTCTCACTCTGGATTTCAAAATTGCCGACCAAGAACAAAGTGATACCAGCTATGAAGTGAACGTAGAATAAATGTCACAACTAGCTAGCAATGATATCGGAGTTGAGATTATTCGTATGCTCCTCCCCAGCTTTTCCACGCTGAAACGTATTTCATTGCAGTCAGGCCACTTCTCTTTCCTCATCCACTCGGAGATAACAAGTGAGAGTGAGCAGCTTACATTAGGGAAACCTTATTTGGTATAAATTAAGTCTTGTCGCTCCTGAGAAACATACTTTCTTAAAACTTTTAGGAAAGTCGAGTCGACCGAGTTACGAGACAAACCGAAGTTTAGCCGTATGTCTACACAGTACGAGCCGGGGAGGATCGGACAGAAGTGGATTCAGGTCAAGAATGGCTTAAATTGCCCAGAGACATGTCCGATCTAAATTTCCGCGCCAACACGAAGCCGGAAAGGACAACTAAAGCTTCCTCCTTCCATGCCTTGCTGTCAAATGACACGCATGATTAGAGACAAAAACCAAAAACCCAACTGGGACTACAAATTTGACATTTCACCAGAACCAAATGGGCTCATTCCAAAGTTGAAAATTGCCAGTCTGGAGAAACCAGAAACCCCGGAGAGCGTGGAGCCCCGCTTTGCGGAGATTTCTCCCCGTGGGTTTTCCGCACTGGCCTTCTCGGGAGCTCATTGGCCAGGACGTCCGTCCCCCATGTCTTGGCAATTCCAAGCCGAGTGAACTGCCCAGGTGTACTCAGTACCTCATTTTGGAACGGAATTATCTACAGCTACACCTCATAGATCGGAGAACAAACTTATCCAAATTACAAAGCTTTAAAAACAGTGAAGGGTCTTGGCATTTTTTGTAAATTAGTATATAATGTTATTTTAGGACCTCGGGAGACCTCTGTTTTAAACCGGCAGAACCTAACGAGGGTGGTCACGTGGAACGTCAGCCTAAAAAGGTAGGGATGGATACTAGCCTAATTAGGTAGTCTTGGCGCTATTCCAAGTTCCACGGTTAACTATGGGATTATCTAAACAAATCGGTCTTCCGAGGTTGGACTGTATATTCTGTCAAATTACAAAGGGTTGCCGGCCAATCCCACTCGGAACACTCAAGGAATCGGACCTTCCCTTCCACAGCGCCCGGGACGGGGATGAACCCCCATGTGATTCGGTATAGGACCGGGGATGACGTAGGAACCAAGGCGCTAAAAATGTAAACATTGCGCCACATAGAAGAAAGGGATATCATGAGTGAGAAACCACTTCTAAACCGTATAATATGGACCGCCTCGGCATCAGCCGACCAGCTTTGGCTATCGCACTTGCATTGTCGAGCCTGCCTATGTAGGATCTAGACTATACTATGTGAATGCCACAGTGCCGACTCCACACGGTAATCTAAGCGCCGTATGGACGGCAAAGGACTCGGTAGTTACACTTCGCTCACTAACTAGTTGGAACGACTGGACGACTTGTTCTAAGTAAGGAATGGGCTTATAAGGAGTGATTTGTACCGAAAGATTGCGATAAGGTACAAGACGTTGTGCATGAGATTATCGGGGGAGGAGTGTATCACATCACTCACATGGTGGAAGCATAACGGAAATACATATGTACCTAAGGGACAACCTTGGATGTTCCAAGGTTGGACAAACTTGAAAAGTCTTCCTGAATGTGAACTACCAACTTTAAGATTGGATTCGAACAGAATTTGGTTTAGTCTCCTTGGCAACCATATAACTCCCCTTGTCCAGGGTGGGTAGATTCCGCTATGTTCCTGTAAGGTGGACGGACAACTACCATATTTTGTTCCAAATTCTAAATTGCCACAAACAAAACCCTTCAATGGCGAATCTTGGGACACAACGTAAACGGCAATGAAAGAAATGCCAATCGATTCTTAATTGAATTCTCATTGTAATCGATTTATATGCACTGGAGGCTAACTACCTATTACGTCCACTGTCTAGTTCTGGTACTTCCCTCTTATGATCCGCAGGAAGTTCCCAACGCATTTGGGTGTCCCCTCGCAGCTCAGAGCGCTGGCACCCACTGGAAGCTCAGCGGCCAAGAGATCTGCCAATTCAATTCAGATTCACTTTAGATTCACTTTAGATTCACTTCAGATTCACTTCAGATTCACTTCAGATTCACTTCAGATTCACTTCAGATTCACTTCAGATTCAATTCAGATTCAATTTACTTTAGAAGTCCCTATGTCCATTTTATAAGGCATTGATTTTATTAACCATATTTCCTCCTTTCTTCTTTTTCGACACTCAAGTCTCTTTCTCTCCGTGTTTTACTGAAAGTCAAATTGGCTTCTCCAACCAAGCAGTCCAAGTACAAACGCAAAGGCCTGACCGATGATTCCCAAGGAATCGAGATAAAAAGCACGTCTCCCTCACCTGCTCCTCATATCAACAACATCAACATTGTGAAGTTATTGTATTAGTACATGTAATCAACTTGCCGCGTGGGCAACGGCACTGTCTCTCCTCGCAGAGTACGTGAAATCCAAGCCCAATTTACTGTTTCAATGGACGAAGCATACGATTACAAGATTGGTTCGAACGAGTTCGACCCTGGAACCATCTTTCCGGAAATCATTACCCTCAGTGACAACCTTTCAGCAATTCTACAGAAGAAATTGACTCCTACCCACAATACCGAATTTGAGGACCATATCCTCAAGTGCCTTGCAACTATGGTTTATGGCTCAGATATGATCGAGCGTGCCCGTAGCAGTCCCCAAGGTACACTCAAACTTTGCCTAGCAATCTTTTGAGGAGAAGACGTACCAGAGGACATTGGAGAAACGGAGAACTGAAAAAGCTATTGCTAAAAGAGGATTTGCTTGACCCTGTTGCTTTTGCTTCAAAGTACACCCACATTTTCGTCAATATATATCCCTTTATTGATAGAAACGGGCGAATGTGCCGTTTGATCTTGAACTCAATACTTCTGAAACTTGGCAGTTTTCTTGTGTCCATTGGAGAGAACGAACAGGATCGTGTTCTTTATATGAGGTCGCTAGCAATAGAGGTGCGCTTGAGGAGACGTACAAAGAGCTTGATGAAGATGAGAAACCGGTTTTGCATAAGGAGTTGGGCAGTTTGGTTCTGGCGCACGTGAAGAAGAGTATGCGCAAGCTGGTTTCTACTCTGCGTCTGTGAGGTCTCCTGAATCTGATTTTCGTGAAGCTGAAAATGAACATGAATTTCCAAATAAAACATGTAACAAGAACCTATGTACACCGGAAATCCCACGGCCTGACACGCCACTCCCGGACAATTGCGCTGATATAAGATGATACGATTGAATTTAGTAGTTAGACTACTATATGCTACTGTAAAGGCTCTCCAGTGCTGTTTAAGTGGTGAATGTTGATTTCGCGCTTTGCGGGGTTAATGTCGTGACAGCCAGCACATTCTGAGTAACAGCACCTCATGGCGCGATCACCAGGTTTGACCACGCAAAGCTGAACAATCTGCGCTATTTAAATGGTCTTTCACGTCTGACATTCCGCCGTTCCTCCCCTTGCATTTTGCATAACCAATATGTCTGCTGTTCAGACTATCACTGTACCCGCTCAACCCGATATTCAGTACCACCCTGAATATGAAAAGTACAAGGAACGTACTCGTCGTCGGAAGGAGACTGAGACACTCCAGACCACTTTGCCGGTGGGTTTCCCGCAGAAATTGGTATCGCCGCTGGTCTGGGAAGGAAAAGATGTTGAGAAGCGGGATGACTGGGTTTATCAGTTGAGCGATAATCAGCTGGATGAAATCGACGCTGCTTTGAAGAGCTTCAAAGGTAGGTAAGTATGACCTTGGTAATAAGATACCATTACTAATTTAGCAGCTCTTGATTTATCTTTAGGGCATATCAATCAGTCGACTTTCCCTCTACCCACCCTTCGGCCTGTTCTTCGAGACCTTTCGAAGGAGATCCACACCGGTCGAGGATTCGTCGTTCTCCGGGGTTTGCGCATTGATGATTACTCTCGAGAGGAGAACATCATCATCTATACTGGTGTATCTTCTCACATTGGTAATATTCGAGGACGTCAGCAATACGCTCGACTGGCCAACGGCACCTCACCCGTGATATCCCATATCAAAGACCTCACTAGCACCACCCAGAGGGAACTCATCGGGGCCCCTTCAAACACGCCTGACAAGCAGGTTTTCCACACTGACGCTGGCGATATCGTCTCACTCCTTTGTCTCAACCGAGCCGCAGAGGGAGGAGAAAGCTATCTTTCTAGCAGCTGGCATGTGTATAACATCCTGGCCAAGGAGAGACCCGATCTTATCCACACACTGTCCCAGGATTGGCCAGTCGACGGGTAAGAATCACCAAGTACCAAGGAAGCGTGTTTACAAATTAACACTGTTCAGCTTCAATAACCCGGCCAACCCTTACACCCTCCGCCCACTTCTATACCACCAACCAGCCACTGCCACTTCTCCTGAGAGGGTTGTAATTCAGTATGCAAGAAGATACTTCACTGGATTTTTGGCCCAGCCCCGGTCGAAGGATATCCCTCCTATCACGGAAGCCCAAGCCGAGGCACTCGACGCTTTGCACTTCTTGGCAGAAGAACACAGTGCCGCTCTGGATTTCCAAAAAGGCGACGTCCAATATGTGAATAATCTTAGCATTTTCCACGCGCGGAATGTGTTTAGGGATGAGCCCGGTAAAGAGTACGTCCTTGTTCTTTCACATGTGCTGTTTTTTGATGGAGATGCTGACGGTATGGCTGTATTAGGCGTCATTTGTTGAGACTCTGGCTGCGAGACCCTGAAAATGCATGGGAAACACCCCAGCAACTCCAAGAACGATGGGATATAGTCTACAAAGATGTTGTAGAGGATCAGCAGGTGTTCCCGTTGGAGCCGACTATTCGCAGGAGTGTTTGATCGTAAGAATATCAGCATGAGAAGGTCAAGTTCTAGTCACCTTCAGCTTAGTATTTGAATTCAATATTCGGCTATATTTATATCGGCTATTCCAACTGTCGAGCTGGCTGTAAACAGAAAAGGCTCCTGCGCGGCAATATGCGGCCTCATTCCGGGATCCCGTTCCGTCATCTTAAATAGGATCGGTTTCACTGGCCACAAACTTAAACATCTCAACGCCACGTCAAGTCCTAAATTACGAAGGAATACCCCGCTCTTAGACTATGGAGTTGGGTATATACAATACCAAGACCTCGATCTAGATCCCTCTAACTCAGTGAATAAGTTCGCGAGGGCCTGGTCCTCAACAAACCTGCGATCAAATACTCGATATAGACCAAGCCAAGCCTAGATACCAGGACGGGCACCAAGCCAGGCACTAAATCGTGTATCGTGTATTCCTGGCATTCCTGGGGGCGGAACCAATGCCGACTGCGATCAAAGAATGCGGAATGAATCAACACAATGTCTCGTGCGGGGACCCCGGATTTCCCCAGACGGGGCTATAGCCAAATCTATTTAAAATGAGTTTATATTCCACCATATACTAATTCTTAGTGGCTATTTGTGTTAGTTTAAGGACGATCTGAAATGGACCAGGAAAAAATATTCGACGAGACGGTTGAGGATCTCAAGTCCGCGGTTTCCCTACCAGACATAGATACAGCGGCAGAGAAACGACTCTTATGGAAACTTGACCTCCAGGTCGTTCCCATTCTCACGTTTTTGTTCCTACTCGCCTTCCTTGATCGTATCAATATCGGTAATGCGCGAATTCAAGGTCTTGAAAAGGATTTGGGGATGAAGGGACATGACTATAATATCGCCCTGTTTATCTTCTTCATTCCCTATATCCTTTTTGAGGTTCCTAGCAATATCTTCTTGAAAAAGGTAACGCCGTCTTGGTGGTTGAGCGGGATTATGTTTTGTTGGGGTATGTTTGAACCGACATAGATGAAGGGACTAGGACTAACCTCCATCGTATTAGGTGTTGTTACAACATGCCAAGGTGTCGTGAAGGGCTTCGGTGGCCTCGTTGCGTGTCGATTCTTACTCGGTTTGTTTGAGGCTGGATTTATGCCAGGTTAAATTGCCTTTGGTCCATTGATGGTACAGCTGCTAATGATCTAATGCAGGCTGTATCTACTTGATTGCTATGTACTATAAGCGCCACGAGTTACAATGGCGACTCAATATTTTCTTCAGTGCTAGTATTATGGCAGGTGCAATTAGTGGAGTATGCATTACCTGCGCGATGATTTGGTTCTATACTAAACCATGATTTCCTAGCTTCTTGCCTATGGAATAGCCCAGATGGATGGCGTCGGAGGATACAGCGGCTGGCGCTGGATATTCATTATCGAAGGTCTAGTTACAGTGTTCACTGGAATTGCTGCCAAATTCATCATCGTCGATTGGCCCGAAACGTCCACTTTCCTAAATGATGAGGAACGTGCTTTGCTGCTTCGACGTCTATCGGGAGACCGCGGTGAAGCGCAAATGAATCGCTTTGACAAGCCGGCAATCAAGCGCACATTCTCAGATATCAAGATCTATCTTGGGTAAGCTTAAGTATCTATCTGTCTTCCATGAAGGCTGTCCACTAACAACAGAAAATCACTTTTAGTGCTATTATGTACTTTGGAATTGTCAATACGGGCTACGCAACATCATTCTTCACCCCAACCATCCTCCGCCAGCTTGGCTGGACATCTGTCCGAGCTCAAGTGATGAGTATCCCGATCTACGTCGTTGCAACAGTAATCGCACTAGCTACAGCCTTCGTTAGCGACCGACTTCGCCATCGGTTCACCTTCACATTGATCGGATGTGTCATCGCCACAATTGGGTACATTATTCTCATATGTCAGGAGTCAGTGCCAGTCGCTGCCCGATACTTCGCCCTATATGCGATCACGGGCGGAGGATATATGACGCAGCCGATGTTGATAGGCTGGGTAAGTAACAACATGGCTGGTCACTACAAGCAATCTATCGCCTCAGCCATGCAGATCGGCTTCGGTAACTGTGGCGGTCTGGTGGCTAGCAATGTTTTCTTTGACTCGGAGGCTCCAACATACAAAACTGGGTTTGGTATCAGTCTAGGGATGGTATGGATCTGTGGTGTGGCATGTATTGTGTTCTTTGGTTATGTATATCGTGAAAATCGGCTGCGTGAGCAGGGTAAGAGGGATCATCGGTACCATTGGCCCAGAGAGGAGCTTGAGAATGCTGGGGATGATCACCCCAGTTTCCGGTTCACTTATTAAGTATGGAAATTGAACTATCTACGGTCTACCAGTATAGATAGATGTATGGATGTGATAAACTCTGTCACCTGCTGTCACCTGCTCAATTTTGGTTTTCATAGTACTTTTGCATACAACATACTTTCCACTGCTTATAACCTGGCTAAGGATGATTGGTTTATTAGATTTCCTCGTTTCTTATTCGTCAAGAAGAATCCATCTTTCAAAAGATTTCTCTGGAACAATTTATGCCAAGACCATCCTTGATCGGCATCTCCCTCCCGAATGACGTACACTATATCACCGTTATTTATTATTTGTGTAGGAGATCAAATTCCTACCGGTGAGCCCCAATAGTAGATCAGTCTTAGTTCACATATGCATCTGCCGATCGTGACCCAGAAAAACTTGTGGGGGAAGTATAGCGACTTGACTACTGCGTGTTAAATGAGGATATAGCCGGGGATCCAATGATACAACAAGGTACGACCTCGCGGGTCCCGCGGAGTTAGTTCGATGATATTCCCAAAGTAAATTAATTACCTAACTATATATTCTACCTACTTCATCAAAATCAATCCCCTCTCTACACATCCTAATCCTCCCAACTCAAATCATCTCAGATGCTGGAAACTCCCTCGATCTCCACAAAATGTCGAGAACACTGTCTCCACAGAAAAAGCACGTCCAATCCGTGACTCCAGAACACCCATGGAGATCCGACAACCCATTTGGTCCTCCTGAAGTACCATCATCCGTCCCCAGTGGCATCAAACGACTCCGAAACACACTATCAAAACTATCACCATCCGCCTTCACGGAAAAGGAACTTCTCCGCAAAAAGAACCAGTACAAGAGTCCCCTGACACAGAGAAACGTCGATACCTTAGTCACCGAGCAAGAATGCAACGAAGCCTACAAGCCCAATCTACACTCACCCCAAATCCAAGTCACTGAATGGTTACAGGGAGTCTCCTGAGCCCGAAAGTACCATTTGCACACAAGTCCCTATGGAAATGAGCACAAGCATAGGGATGTAAACGTCGATGCGAATACGACAGAGTTCCGCTACGCCTTTTCTCGAACTTTTCTCTCTCTTCCTCCCTCTGCCGCCACTCGCACTCCAGAGCGTCCGTCAAATACAGGGAAATACAATCCTGGCACTAAAGTGGCCTTGGTCTTTTTCTGGGGGCCAGAAAAATGACCCGTTCATGGGTTGCCCCATGGGGAAATTCATGAACCCCTGGTTGCTGTGGTCTTGGCGCTAACGTCATGATTTACTGGTATGCATGCCGAGAGTAATATGCTCCGCCTTCCTTTTAAGAATGGGAGAGATGTACAAGGTACAAAGTACATCGATGTATACGTGTCTAAACAGTGTGTTTGGATTATAGATGTTATGCCCGATGTGGATATAGCGACATGGATGAGGTTTACGCCAGTTGGTTCATGATGTACTTAATTTATTATTTTTCGCAGGACTTGGAATTAATTATAGCTGTTATACAATGTACTACATCTTATTCAAATTGAATATTTATATTTAAATATCTTGTACACAAATAGAAGGAGACCCGAGCTGTTTCTCAAGTGGATATAAGCGGGGTAAGTTTAGCGACAACTAGAGTCTGCCTTGTATTACTCCCAGCGTTAGGATGTATATCGATTATATTGAAAGGTATTTATGAGACACATAGAGAAGTACAGCGCTCTCTGTATATTGAAATCCTCACCTCCAGCCCCAAGATGTCACCCAAGATGTCACCCAAGAAAGTAGCAATAATCGGCAAGTCTAGAGACCCCGCAGGCACAACTCAATGTACCCAAGTGGTATATCCAACCTAACGTTAACATCACATCCCACAGGCGCCGGTCCCTCAGGCCTAGTCACTGCCAAAACCCTGCTTCATAATTTCCCGCACGGGACATTCTCTCCAATCATCTTCGACAGTCAAGACAAAGTCGGAGGTCTGTGGTCAAGTCACCATCATTCCCCCAATCAGGTCAATACACCCCCGGTTACACTAGACCCTCGAATGCGGACGAACCTCAGCCGCTTCACGGTTGCTTTTTCGGATCTTGCCTGGGAGTCTGTGATACCTGACGGGGATGTTCCGGTTTTTCCTCAGGCGAGACAGGTTGGAAACTACCTGGCCTGTTATGCGGAGCGGTATATTCCAACCCATGTGCTTCGGCTAGGGTGTAGAGTAGTAAAGACTATACGGAGGGTTGAGGATGGAGGTGATCCGAAGTGGAACGTTCAATGGGTTCAGGAGAGGTATGTTGGAAGTCATTATCCTCGCGTGTCGCTGTACTCCAGATGGACATTGACTCACAGGCACATATAGCATGAACAAAGCTCAGTCGGAATATGGATTACCGGACGATGGAGTATCTTCAGAAGATTTTGACCTGATTGTCATCGCCTCTGGATACTTTGCCCAGCAGTATGTTCCAGATATACCAGGTCTAAAGCAATTCCAAAGCCAAGGCCAAATCATCCACAGTTCTTCCCTCCATTATGAGCGAGAGCAGTCACTTTTTAATGAAACCAAAGATGTGAATGGCCAGGTCGTTATCATCGGCGGCAGCATGTCAGGCGTCGAAGCCGCGTCTGCTGTGGCTCTCCGCCAATCTTCATCTACACATTCCACACACATAATCCCATATACCCAGGAGATAAAAGTGCACCATATACATTCCAGACCCTTCTGGGCTTTACCAACTTATCTCCCACATGAATCCTCCGATGGGAGTCCATCCTTTTTACCCTTGGACTTGGCCATGTACGACCTAGGCCGCCGACCCCCGGGTCCAATAGACTACGCCTTGGGGCCGATCCCGGAGGAAAAGGCAGTCAAAACAAACGGTTACTTCCACTCATTGCTCGGGAGTGACTATGAGAAATACGCGCATATGGATTTACCACACGCCGCCGAAGAATCCAGAACGCAGCCACCATGGGTCGCCATAGGGAATGATTACGCCGAGTTCGTCCGATGTGGAGCGATTCAGACATCGATGGGCCGGGTGACTTCTGTGACTTCTGATCCAGATACTAAGCAAGCTTCAGTTCAGTACGAAGGGCCGGATGGGGTCACCAAAACGATAGAAAATGTCACGACGATAGTCATGGCAACCGGATTCACGCCGTACAAGTCATTGTCATTGCTACCAGATGAAGTGCTGACGACCCTTGAATACTCTAAAACGGATCCCTTCTCACCGTTGATTCTCGACAAGGGAGGCACCATCCGTTCGGAAATCCCCGATGTCGGATTCGTCGGATTCTACCGTGGCCCGTACTGGGGCGTGATGGAGATGCAGGCGAGGTTCCTTGGGAAAATATGGAGTGAGATGAACAACGGTGTGCTCTGTGAAACAGACGACCAGAAGCAAAGTCTTCGCAGTCTCAGATTGGCACACCCGGATCTAGCCCGCGGTCAGTTCCCCATGGGCGACTATGTCGGATTGATGGAGTCGTTCGCCAAGGATCTAGATATTAGCCGCTCGTCACTGGAATCAGGCGATGGTCGGTCTGGGCCCGCTGTTCCTGCGAGGTATACTTTTGGCGATACCCAAACGCCGGGTACAGAGAGTGAGGCGGAAAAGACAATGGGTGCTTTACGCGATGCCCTTGTTCCTGGTCAAGATATGGCACAGAAGGCCGCGGCGTCGGCCATATTTCGGGCTCTGCATGGGACTTGGAAGTCTTCGCAGAAAGCAGGTATTACTGGATGTGGAGCATCTGGGGATCTGGCATTTTACCCGCGGTACCCGGCTGGCACGGCATATGATAGGGAATATGTCTGTGTGGAGACGGATGCGGGCTCGACCGGGCGGGAACAGCGTTTGCAAGACAATGTGCGGTTCATCATGCGCCTGGCAGAAGTGAAATTTGAATTTGCCACTTCCCGAATCGAGATATGGTCATCGGGCTTGGCAGATAGGTTATCAGCTGATCAACTGATCCAGATTTGGGAGTTGACGCCTCTATGCCCGGAAAGGAAGGAGGGAGGGCCTATTCCTGGGGAATATGTGATATCCGCGAAGAGTGTTGATTCGGGTACTGGAGTCGAATATTTGTATACGTTCCATTTCAAGGGGGTTTCCATCTCGTCCTGGGAATACGTTGAGACGGTCCATTTGGAAGAGAAGAGGGAGCTGGCTTCCTATTTCTACACAAGGGACTAAGGATAGAACTAAGATTGGACATTTGAGATTTGAGATTTGAGTACTAAATACAAGAGCAAGCGAGGTGATGCTGAGCTTCCGGCCGAAGAGGGTGAAAATGAAGTTGGAGAGAAGTTTTATAACAAAAAATATCCACTTGATGTTCTAGACCAATGTACCCGTCACTTTTCAATGTGATCTTTTCTTTGCAATGCAAAAGTTTGATCTGACAAGCATTTTAAAGGCCTCTAGGCTCAACTCTTTTTAAGCCTCAAGAGACATCTTAATCGATCTACAACAATATTTCACCGATTTGGCAGGTCGGAAAGAATGGAAAATCCGTGTGGCGAATTCCCGGGTACAGCCATGGGAGTATGGGGAATGAAGCTATGAGCTGAAAGAGTCTAGGCGAATCTGTTTGGACGAGAAGGCAAAAGAGTCATGATCCAGCCAATTACTACTATGAAGGCCGAGGCTTAGTTTAGTCTGTGGATATCTTCTTTTGAATATCTGGGTCTTCGGCCGGAGAATTTTCTACATTTTTTACATTTCTACATTTCTATATTCTACATTTCTATATTTATGTTTATGCCCTTCTACACTTCGACATATTCTCATTTATATCTTCCTGAAGACACAAAGGATTTTAACTAACGCAGTTCAATCACATCTCCAATTCTAATCCGAAGAGCCCAAGTTAGGGTTGTGAAGCCTATACTTCTATACTTTTACATATTCGCCAACACCATTCTCTCGAGTACATGAAACATACTCATATTCATTGAAACCCTCAAAAACTACACATATCTCCAATCCAAACCCTACTCCTCAACTCAATCACAATGTCTCCCAGCAAACTCTCATCCCCAACCCCGGACCCCCTGGACCCGATCTCCTCATGGCGCGCCTGGCAAACCCTCACAATAATCTACACAATCCTCCTAAACCGCCAAATCCACCGACGCTGGCTCCTCGAACAAAAAAGCATGCAAAATACACCACTACGCGAACGCTTCCAACCCTTAATCTTCCTCGAACCAGTCCCAACCCTCCAAAAGCCCAACACAACCTCAACCCCATCCAAAAACGCAACCAACAACCCCTTCAACACAACCACAATGAACAAACTACGCATGAAAGCCGCTCTTCTCCGCGCGCGTCGAAAAGGGCAAGGAACTCGCCTCCGAGATCGAGCGTCGCATGGTCCAGAACCCGCCTGTTAGATTTCCGACGCATTTCTGTCATACTTGTGTCCAGGACGGGGAGAGGGTTGAGGTTTTGCTTACGAAGTGTGGACATCGGGTTTGTAGGATTTGTCTTGGGTATGGGATTGATGGGCATGGGGTTTATGAGTGTAGTATTTGTTTTCTGCCTACGGGGTTTGTGGCGCGAAGTCCGTTGAGGGTGGGTGGTGCTTCAGGGAAGATTTCTGCGGTTTTGAAGGAGGTGGGTGAGGATGGGGGAGATGGGGATGGGGAGTGGGAATTGAGTGAGGTTTTGTTTCCTGGTTGTTGAGTTGGACATATGAGGGTTGGACTGGGAGGTATATTGCATTATATATGGGCATTTTGGTATTTCTAGCGACATCTATCATGCTATTATACTTGGATATAGAACTCATCATGAAAACAAAAGTATAAATTTATGTGCAAGGGACAATTTATAACCAAAATAGCCCTCCTGGGCTGGAGGAAGTTCATGTCCTTCTCAAAGATCCAGTCCAGGTCTAAACCAAAAAAAAAAAAGAAAGAAAGAAAGAAAAATTCCCCCGATGTAGAACACAATCTAGCGAACCTCTATTGACTAGAGTGGACAAACACCAAGAGAAAATCCAAAATGCATCGTGAGCTATAGACTGGCCATCTAAGCCATCCAGGCCATAGGAACGCCTTTTTCGCACCGAAATTGAGAAACAGGAATCCAAAACGTGGGGACATGATGCCACCGGGGAATGAGAGAGGGGGGGGTCATTATACAGTAATTATGAGAGCCAATGCAAAACAAATATGCATCCGCCCCAAAGCGTGCATGAATCCTGGAGATGGCAGGAAGAGAAGAGGGTGTGAGGGACTGAGTGACAACGTCCAAGACACAAATTGCAGCAGCAATTCTGTGAGAAATTATATATAATCCCTGTCTTCAGCGGTCCTCTGCTCTCTCTCCACCGTCAATGACTACATTCACTTCTTTGACTGGATGCAACAGCATAGGAGGAAGACACATACGGCCCTCGCCAGCCAGCTCCTGCTGCTCACCGCCGTCATTGTCGACACGGAGACCAAGCCAGCGGCGCCAGAGGTTCGGCGAGAAGCCCGCCGAGTAGAACCAGGTAGTACCACGGAAGTTGTGTTCACGATCGCCGAAGATGGATGTGCGGGCACCACCGGAGGCTCCATTGCGACCGGCGTTAAACACTGATTCCAGATGACGGGTCGGCCAGCGGCGGTCGATGTAGACGGCGTGCGGGACGAAGACGGCCTTGAAGCCGTGGTGCAGCGCGGTGGTTGCGGGCCACATCTCCGAGAACATGCTGTGGCGCTTGAGGCTGCACTCGCGATGCATAGTAACGAGCAGTTTGCGGGAGATTCGAGACGCGGTGATGATTGCAGTGCGTCGTGGTGGCATGCCCTTTTCCTTGTTGTAGCCTGTCACGTCGTCGCGCAGCAGCCAGGTCGTGCCCTCGGGGTCGTAGAGCGGATTGAAAACGACTAGGTCGGCGTCCTCACCCACGCCCCATTGGTACTGATCCTTATCCATGCTTGTGGGTGGGATGCCCTCACCCTCGACCTCAAAGATGTCTCGTTCATCGGGGCGCTCGGGACCCCAGATGGACTTGTCACCTTGTTGGTGCATTGCGCTCCGTGTGTTGCCTGCGTGGCCTGCATTGCCTGCCGAACCCTTGACGGCGCTCCACATGTTGTTGGCGGAGTTAGTACCGCTCTCGGTCTGCACACGGACCATCTGCCGGAAGTCTTCCCATGAGCCGTGGACGGACGGAACATAGAAGCGGGCATTGCGTTCCCAGAGACCCTTCCGTGGCTGATTTTTCGCCCATTCGCCGACCTTGTCGAAGAGGTGATACCAGTGGCCCGTGTAACGCGCATCCATCTCCCAGTTCCAAAAGTAATCGTACTCGGGATGTTGGAAAGCGAAGTACTGCATGGGCATGTACGTGCTGCGGTAAACTCCGTGGATTGGCAATCCGCGAGTCAAGGTCTCCTCCAAACCGGGATACATTAGGGCCATCTGCGGCTCGGACCAGAGAGTTCCCATACCACGGAACTCCTCTGGCAGCGCATCATCAAGGACACGCTGGTATGTCTCATCATCAGACCAGATCTGAAGGTTGGTATCCTTGACATGAACCAAGAAGTGAATAGTATACTCGCCACCGGACATCAGCGAGAGCTCTGAGATGACAGAGCGCATATACATAATGTCCTCCGGGGTATAGTGGAAGTCGTGCCATGTGCGGATAACCACTGCAGTACGTGGCAGACGCTCAGGTCCAACCTTGGGCGGTTCCTGGCGGCTATCTTCGGCAGGTGGCAGGGTGTTCACTTTGGGAATTCCCACAGGCATAGAAACAAAGCGGTTGAGACGCGGCTCCGGCAGCTCGTTAAAGCGATGGCGATTGGCCGCGTGGCAGCGATGTTGCGCAGCAGCCCAATCCACCTGTCGGAAGTCCACTGGCGGGATATCCTCCCACACACGGTCGGCACCCTCACGATGGCCATCCATGCCCGCGCCGATGCCGCCTTTCTTGACCCCGTATCCCAACCCGTATGGACCCAATCGGCCAAATCGATCGAAGCACATGTCATCCCGAATACCCAACATTGTATTCGAGCCGAGCGCTGGGTCCGGGAAGCCCTTCGGAACTCCGGGGTAGCTTTGGATAGACGGAACCCGTAGGGAGTTTTCTGCATTGAGGAAGCACTCGCGTTTCTCGCCATGTTTCTCGATGTACTCCGGCGACTGGTAGTCAGGATAAGGATTGAACACATTACTCGACATCTTCGGCGCCAAATCCCTCTTGGTCACCTTGTTGGCGTCCTGCTCCGGCTTCGGCTCATTGTGCTCGTCGCTTTGGTCGGTCCGCAGCCCCAGGTCGTCGGAGTCATCGCCGGGGTACTCGGGGACATTTTCAGAGCGTGGGACCAAGGCAGATATACCGCCCTCATATCGATTGAGGAAGGGGAAACTCTCCCACAGTGGCGGCTTCGGGGTGCCGACCTTGGGCAGTTCGACGGCGACTTGTTTAACAGAGGTTGAGATGGTAAAGCGGAAGAGGGTGAGGACGAAGACGACGAGGGCAGCGAAAAGAGCAAAGCAGAGCCAGCGCATGATCCGCTGGGGCACGCGAAAGCCGACGTTAGCTTGGGGGCGGCGAAGACTACCGCCAGCTATGACGGGCGGCGGGTAGGAGCCCGCGACATTGTTATCGTCCAGCGACTCGTCGTCGGAATCAGGGTCATCGCTCAGGTGGTGGTGATAAGCAAGGCGCCCGGAGGTGGGTTGTTTTTCTATGTCTGTTTCTCGTGAATTATAAGGTGATGGGGACTTGTAGGCTGCGGAGTGCCTCCTCGCCTGGACGGTCATGATGCCAGACAAGGTGTCAACATTGAATGAGTGGGGGTAATTCCAAGGTTGTCCAAAATCACTCAATCAGTGGCGCATCTATTTAACAAATGTAGCAATAGAATAATCGGTCTAATAATTCCCAAATCAGGGGCGGTTGTTGGAGAGAGGGAGAGGCACGCGATGACCTGTGTTGTTGATCGTCGGCCTGGCAATGGGACGGCTCAGGCTTTGTATCACTTTAGAGTGATGAAATAGGTTAAAAAGAGGTGGAAAAAAAAATATGAAAACAATGAAAAAGAGTATAAAATAGTCGAAACTGTGTTGAAGCAAACAATATTCCCGAAGAAAAGAAGAAAAACACGAGATAAACAGGCCTCAAGGGCCTAAGCCAGCATTTTCAGCAGATAAAGTGCCAAGACCGTTGGCGCTCCAAGAAATGAGGGATTACGCAGTTGTCTCCTCAAATGGACTGGTCCCAGCCCTAGCGGGTCATTTCTTTTCATTTCTGTTTTGTTTAATCTATTTTAGTTCGGATTGAATGGGTTCGATTGGGTTTAGGGGTTTTATGGACCTTCTAGACGAATCTAAATAGTTAACTAGTCTTACTTGGTTATATTAATGCTACATTGTGATCACATTCTAAGTAACTATCTAGTATCTACTCCGTACTTTGTAGCTACAACACCATTAGGGGGTGAGTATATCTAAAAAGTATACTAAAAAGGTTTACTAAAAAGAGAGCTGGAGTCTTTGGGTAAAAATGTCCATAAAAATACATGGTCAATCCCATGAATCCCTAAACTTCATTGACCACAGCACTAACCAACCCGGTCAGACTCTTCTTCACATGAGCCAAGACATAACTAGCCAGTTCTTTATACAACTTCGGCTTTTCCTCTTCCTCGGCATCTTCATACAAATCTTCAAGGGCTCCTCCATTAACAGCGACATCCTTATAGATTGACCGGTCATCTTCGTCTACCCCGATACAAGCAATGAAAGCCCCAAATATCAGTAGCATCGAGTTGAGAATCAAACGGCACATTCGGCCATTTCCGTCAATAAATGGATGGATATTCACGAAAATGTGTGCATACTTCGAAGCGAGGGCGATAGGGTCGATTGTCCCATTTGTTCTAACTTCTTTCAAATCGCGCTTAAGCTCGTGGAACATGGACTGCATTTTGTATGGAACCAGGGAGGGATGAGGGAATGCATGAAGGCCCGCACTAACTTCGTGTGATCGATAAACGCCACTGTACTCCGTCCAGGGGGTAGCCTCGGCATCCACTTTATAGGTCAGAATCCGATGGGCTTCGAGGATGATTTGTTCGCTAAGATCCTGGCCACGGATGCACAACTGGTCCATCATAAATTTGGCAGCTTTAGCATGTTGCACAACCTCTCGGCGACTACGTAGGACAGCCGAAGTGTCTACAGGAAGGTGTTGGTGGATCAGACTCTCCTTGAGAGACAAGTACTCTCGACCTTGATCTTCGATCTCTTCGGGGATTTCTTCACCACGGAAGACCGCAACACAGAGTTCGAGAGTAATGCCTGGGCTACTACCAGCTTTCTCAATTTTTTTTGAGCCATACACCATCCATGCAAGGGAGTGCAGGATATGGTTCTTAAATGCCACTTCTTGGCGAGGGGTCAGTTCGATTTTAAATAAATCGGACGGCTCATTTGCGAGGGTGGCAACCTCGCGAAAGACGATCTCCGGCTCAAAATCATCGTGGACTATCTTGGACTCATAGGAGTCCTCCATGACCACGGTGGAATAGGTCTCGACTCCACGCAGGGCACAAGCAGACATGGTTGTTTGACCGAGTGGAGGTGTAGATTCCATGTGTTGTATAGTGTTGGATAGATTTGATGGGGCTTGGAGAAGCTGGTGATTATGATGAGCAGAAGATATATACCTAGGTAAATGTAGATTTGAACCTAGAAGTCTACTTAGATAATGCTAGGGACAGTCAAAATAAGGTTATGAGCCTCCGTAACCGTCCAAGGTTAGTGCATTTTCCACCGAAGTTTCCTGCTTTTATAAGCCCTGGGGCGTCCTTAGTAGATATGTCAGCACGGGCTTAACTTACCTAGGTAGCCCCTTCCCCAACCTTCGAAGCCCCATCACACTTTCATATGGCACTCCCCAGATTACTACCGGCGAATTGTGGAACGGGGTAAGGAGTGGCATGAATTTGGATCGTGGTCCCTGTGAGTCAAAATAATAGACAGGCTAGTGTAAAGTCCCTAATTGTCTTTCTAAATAAGGGAATGACCCCAGTGACTACACACTCGCATTGGGCCGCAACGAGATTGCGTATATCGGGTCATATGCAATTGCCCGAATGAACTATTATCGGTCACTCAACACCCAGGAACATCCCGAGGACGGTCTTGCCCTTTCGACCCAATATATGAAAGTTGCTCCGTATCTTATTCCTCGATCTACCAATGAAGCAGTATCCAATGAAGCAGTATCCAAAAACGTTTTAACACACCCCGATCTTCATCTGGATAACATCTTCGTCGATCCAGAGACCCTTCAAATCACACGCATCGTGGATTGGCAATCGGCATGTGTTGCACCGTTATTCTATCATGCTGATGTTCCAAGGATGTGTACCCACCGTGGGCCTCTTCAGGAAGGCTGGGTCGTGCCCGAAAGACCGGAAGAATTTGACACCCTAAGTGCAGAGGAACAACGCAAGATTGACGATGATCTAGAGAGTCAGATCCTTCACAAATACTACGAGGCCCAGATTTGTAAACGATCACCTCGTTACTGGTCTGTCCTCCAAAATGAGAGGGTCTCCATCATTCGAAAACCAGTTTGGCTCGTCACGGGAGCGTGGGAAAACCGCGATTTATCTTTTCTTCGCGAATCACTCATGTCACTCTTCGCTCATTGGGAAGAACTTGTCCCAGGTGTACCATGTCCGATCAGTTTCACCAATAAGGATGTTGAGCTTCATTCCAAGGAAGAGGAAAATATAAATGGTGTCGGGAAGTTGTTGACATTGTTCCTGGACAAATCCGTACTCCCAGTGGATGGCATGGTCGAGCCCAAAGACTATGAGATAGCGCAAAAGAATAGCCGGAAATTCAAAGACATCTTCATCGGATTGGCCAGAGATGACGAAGAGAAGGAATTATTTACGAAAATTTGGCCATACCAGGAACCCGCAGACACCGAAGGTTTGTAATTATACAAAGGCGATAATCGTACCTCATAATAGAATGAATAATTGCCCTGGTTAAAAGACCTCAACATATGTGCGCTGCTCTAGTACTCGTGGAACGTAGGTCAAAGTGTCCTATGAAGAGTCCGCATTAGCCCTAATTATGTTGATAAATCTACTGCAATGTATATTGTACATGTACCACATAATCCCAAAGTCCTTGGCTAGACATTACAGCAAGATAAAATCTTTATTTGCTGTACTTTAACCGCAAGAACTAAAATATAAACCACCTTGGAATGGCTGCCAAACCCTTGAGTGTTATAGTCCATCACGTGATGGTACCTGAACCCGGACTGAAATTTACTGAGCCCGACTCAGCCCTACAGGCCTCCTAAAGCAGCCAAAATAGGAAAGCAGATAGAAAGCAAATGGAAATTTCGAAGTTTCTGCTCATTTGTCCCTTTCTGTTCCCTCGTTCTCTCCTTGCCCAATCTGAGATTCTGAGATTTTACAATTTGAGTACTTATACAGATCTCTGGGGGGGGGTTCCAAGGCAGAGAAGTAATTTTCGAGTGGCAACGCCAGAGAGAAGAAAAAACAAATGAGGCTAATAGCATAGCGTAGAGGAAAAAGAGCCGTTTGAAGAGAGAACATCAAAAGAAGTAGCGAACCAGTTGCAGAACCCCTTTCCTAGCAGAGATCAATGTCATGTGTGGCCAAAGAACTCCCCGCCATCGTCATCATCAATCCATCATTTGCAGATTTTGGTATTCTCCATCCAGCTACACGTCCGATTCGCATTCGCATTATAGACCTTAATCGCGGTTGGTTTTCCGGAGGGCATCAGCGAGCCACTCCAGACCCTCGTACAGACCGTCACCAGTAGTGGCGCAGGTAGATTGGATGAACTAGACCGCTCGTTAGTGAACCTGTAGACATCAGATGCATCAAGGATGTCACTTACCCAAGCACGACGGGTAAGGCTCTGAAGACCAAGCTGCTGCGTGATCTCGGCGGGGCTCATGGCGTTCTAGACAAAAGCGGGGGAGGTCAGCATAACATTTCATCTAACAAACATTCTCCGATAATCCATATCCTTACCGGCAAATCCTGCTTGTTGGCGAACACCAGGAGAAGAGCATCCCGGAGCTCATCCTCGTTCAACATGCGCTGCAACTCCTCACGGGCCTCGACGATACGATCGCGATCGTTGCTGTCAACAACGAAAATGATACCCTGGGTGTTCTGGAAGTAGTGGCGCCACAGAGGACGAATCTTATCCTGACCACCGACATCCCACACGGTGAACTGAATGTTCTTGTATTCGACCGTCTCGACGTTGAATCCTGCATAAGGCGTCAGTTTCCGGGAGGGGGGTTCGACATTTCTCCCACACGGCCTTATGAAATTGCGAATAGCGCATCACGGTATCGGCGGTAAATGGGTCGGGGAGCGGACTAACCAATCGTGGGAATAGTGGTGACAATTTCACCGAGCTTGAGCTTGTACAGGATGGTGGTCTTACCGGCGGCGTCAAGACCGACCATCAGGATGCGCATCTCCTTGCGACCCCATAGCCGGTCAAACAACCGCGAGAAAGTGATACCCATATTGTCGGTAGCGAGAAATCCCTCGGATCCTGAGGAGTGGATAGGTCAGAGAGATATCGAGTTGACGTGGTTGAAAGGGGAGAAAGCGGAGGGGTTAGAAAACGTGTTGTGGACTTGTCGGTCAGAGATCCAGGGGGGGGCAAGTCTGGGCACGAGCCAGTCAAAACCGGATCAACCACTTACCGGCAGAAAAAGGTATAAGATTTAGTTTTGAGATGTAAAGAGCACAAGTTCAGGGGAAATATAGAAAAGAGAATGTCAGAAGGGGAAATTTGGGGGTTCGTTTTTGTTTTGAATACGCAGAAATACGACGGCGGTGGGCGTAGTATTCGTCACCTGTTTTTCTGGAGAGCACGCAACACTACCTTGGGCACGTTATGAAAATGAGGCTGAGATATAAAAGAAAACAACTTATGATTTTACAGATTCTTTCAAGTATATATGTATAGTTAGTTAGTACTTTATTTTATAATAGTTCTGCCTATATAGATAGAAACGTATATATTTTCTGGGAAGAGGACACCGTGTTGGCCCCGTAAGTGAAATACCAAAGGGAGTACCCCCCGGCCTATGACCCTCAAAAAACGGTCCCACAGTGTCTGATAGGCCGACTGATAGGCCCGAACTTCCACATTTATCGTGCCTGCGTAATTTCTCTGGGTCCTCTCTCTCTTTCTCTCTCTCTTTGGTTCTTCCGTGGCCTCTATTGTTCTGATCGACGTCGTGACATTTTCTGACGAGATGTTCGGAAGAATGTTCGTACCATAGATCGGTAAATCGTCTTACCTTCGACGGTATCGCTGGCATAACCGAAAACGGTCAAGAGCAAGATGGATGTAACGAAGATCACCGCGAAACTGACCCAGTACTGTGTCTTAGTGTACCCATTCTTCACACCAATAAGTTCCGTCGAGAAGTATGCACTCATCAAGCTAACTGGCAGGAACAAGATGGTCGCCTTAGCCAGCAGAATGGTGATCCGAGTGAGCTTCTCAACAGCCTGCGAGTCCTTAAGCGCAATCAAATTGAAATTCTAGGCCGTGTCAGCACTATTCTCGGAATAAAGATCGGCAAAATACCCACCAGGAATGTCAAGGATTCTTTCTCATTGAGGCAGTTCTCAATCTCGCTCAAACAGTACAGATTGATACGATCAACCAACCGTTCGAAGCGAGCCACCGCCGTCGAGCTCAGTTGCACCCCAACCGATTTCTCAGTTGTGTTATGAGAGCCGGAATTGCTCACGACACTCGACTGGCGCATATCCACAAACTCCATATCGCCAAAGGTGGCTCCATACGAAATCGCGGCTGGTTGCGCCGAACGCGCTTCGTCGCGAAGCATACGTTGCCGTTGCAAGAGTCGCCGCATGATAAGCTCATAGCTCTGGTACAATCGTTTGAGAACTGCGAGTCGTCGGCCCAGCCAGTGTAACTCGTTCACCAAATCCACTATTGGACGATCGAGCATTTGGCCTCTCTGCGCGAAGTTAGCCGCAATCGGAACACATCAACAAAACGCGATACGAGACAAGGACGATACTAACCAATTCCTCCAAAGCAACACCATATTTGTGTTCTCGCTTTGCGATGAGTCCATAACTTGACACCCAGTCATCGAAGATATAATAGAAGAGCAAACTCGGCCCATCCTCTTGTTTAATATTAGCTTGATCCGGTCCGAGGTCACTGAAATGTCGCACCCGGATGGTGATTAGCGACTCGCTCTCGGACATAGCAAAGTGCTGTCTCGAAACCCCAGCGAAAATAAAGCGAATATTTCTGCGCACAATGTCGAGGACTGGCTTGGCTTCGTCTATCAGCACTTCTTCCTGTCTTGCGAACGGGTTCTCTTGAATTGATATTATTGTGCCTGCAAACAAGTCAGCACTGCACTCGAGGCTCGGGGAATGGGGTATTGCCGTTCGGCTCGCACCATCATCACATTGGATCAGCCATGTCCAAAGCCGTTTTCCGTCCGGGGAGATCTTTGCCATTGGGTTGTGACAGTGTGGGGATCACAAACAATGTATTATAGCCGATGCATGTGTCTGATGGATTGTTTAATGTTCATCCGACTCAAGTTTGGTATGATATACTTACATCGAGGACCATGATCCACGGAAGAGAAATGCCAAATTTGATCTGTGACTTGCGCAAAGGTGAGGTTTTTGAATGATGCCGATTCGCGCGATTTCTCTTGATCGGCGATATGCTTGAGTGCATTCTCCGCATCATCCACTTCGTGCTTGAACGACGTCGCAACACTGGACAATTGCGAAGTTCTTTTGGTTGGTAATGGTGTAGGTGTAGTTTTTGGTGCAGGATGCACTGGCTCTGTACACATCATCCCCTGCAGTCGTTCTGACACTCCATAGTGTTTGGTAATCGCCTAGGAAATCCATGGTCAGTCATAACCGCTCTTGGGAATGAAATCGAACATCTTACCCTTATGCTTTCTTTCTGCTCCTCTGGCGCCCATATATTACTATGATCACGATTAGTATACCCTCAGATACATCTGAGTACTTAGCTCTTACATCCACCGTGTACCGAAACATTTATCTCTCTGTATCATGTCAGACCTTGAATTTTGGACAGTCTTTACAATCGACCAAGTTTAATGTCATGAAACAGACTTACCGGTTTACTCAGCAATAGTTTCAGTTCATTGGTGCCTAGATCAGATGCACACCATGCCTCTTCATTCCCGAAATCGAGCACAAAATTCTGAGTGAGAGGGTCCTCTAGGCAGCGCATAGCAGTGTAAAACTGCGTCTTATCGTCGATATTCTTGAACTTTTCCACAAGCGAGCCCTGATCGTCAAGACTTGAATAGTAATCCTGAGGCGCTGTTGAGTCGCGCGAATCTGTTGTATAAGACATGATGAAGCAAAGCAAACTACCAAGGTGGTTTTCCAGGCGCTGGGTTTGGATGGAAAGCTTGTATATAAGTCACAAGATCAATAGTCAACAGTCGAAAGACCAGCTGTCAAATCAGGAGGGGGTATCGGATACGGATGTGGTCAAGAGTCCGGAAGTCATATAAACAACCTTATGTATATCATAAAAAGAATAAGCAGAAAGTCAAGTTTAAATATTCTAATCTGACCGGGGTGCAGCCTCAATTATATCAAAATCCAAGGCAATAACCCTTAACGTCAGAGGGGGGTTGGGTGACCAGTCATCTGAGGCTGACACTGCCGCTGGTCACGTTTAAGCGCTGCGATCATCTGCAGCCCCCGCAGACTATGTCAAGTTCGTTTCACCTGTCGAGATTTATCCTAAAATAGATAAAGTAGCTCCCTATTTGTTCATTTTGTGGGCTGTCATGTTATGTCCTCGTCTACTTAGCGAAAGCTTGTGTGTTTATCGGTCATTCGAACTATTCAATATATATGGTGCTAAGGTCACAAGGTGCTAGTGACGAGCACTCTTGAAGATCTTTCTTGGTGGGTATATATATATTCAATAATCAATGCAATGTAGATCAGTTGTAGAAATGATTTTATCTACTTGATAACTTACTACCTAGGTATGTTCCTATTTAATACAGACTCGTGCTTGCGGCTGATCTAGATCTTCAGGGATATCCGCAAAACAATGTAACTACATATCTAAGCACACATAAAATCGAACTCCTAACCACTATCGCCACACAATATTATTCTTAAATGACAGAGTCCCTTTCATGAATAACAATGACATAGGATAAATAATAAAGTAATAATCGCTACGATGTAAGCGGGTCGGCCATGTGGCGGAACCGATGCTTCTATGTTATACATCCACAGTACAGTAATGAATGAACGCTGAATTATGAATTCCTTACGGTATATGTCCTCATCTAGGGATTGGAATCATTCCTGTTGAGAGTAGCAACAAGGATTCCAAATATAGTGAAGGCTAAGGGGTAATAGGCAAGGTTGGGGGGTTACTTGGAGCAGCAGCAACGTTCACATGGCCAGGCAATACTGAGAAATGTCAGGGTTACCAATATTGTTATCCAAGCCGAGTCGACGGATGCTAATACGCTTATTTGTATGAGCGAGGGGAATTGGAGTGAGAATGAAGTATCCGTGCATGTATGTATTGACCCGTCAACGAGATGATGGCGCAAAAGTTGCTCTATGGGGTATGTTTTAATACCTTTAATGATACCCACCTAAGAAATAATCATATAGCAACGACAAACGTTATCCTCAGTCATTCAGCGTACGTCTTCTATGATTGGATTGGGGAGGAGCATTTCCTGTTTATACCTCAGGCCATAACATGAGTCAGCAGGCAAAACTCCCGTCTAGGGCACCGCTAATCCCAATTTAGACTAGCGCAAGTCCACACCCACAAGCGGAGAAATTCACGGCCCTCGACAATTTCTTTTCTCAAGCATTCAGCGCAGAGCCATACCATAAGAATTTCAACTTCTTTTGGAAGACTGTAGCAATCATGTCCAAGATCACAGTCGGTACGTTTCATCTCATGCTCTTACCTACATGATCTAACCACTAACTGCTCTTGTCTCATTACAGCCGGAGTGCGCCAGAATGTCGAGAACCTTCTCAACTACTCTCTCAATGAGAAGAAGCGTAACTTCAACGAGACCGTTGAGCTTCAGATCGGCCTGAAGAACTACGACCCCCAGCGTGACAAGCGTTTCTCCGGCACCATCAAGCTGCCTACTGTCCCCCGCCCCAACATGGCCATCTGGTGCGTTTTCCATCGACAACCCCTCCCGCTCCCGCGGCGCAAAATTTTGCATCCGTTTCCGATGCGCAACGGCGAAGGAAATCCACACCATGAATGAACATAGAAGCTAACAGATGCAATCTACAGTATTCTTGGTGACCAGCACGATCTTGACCGTGCTAAGCACCACAGCATCGATGCCATGTCCGTTGACGATCTGAAGAAGCTCAACAAGAACAAGAAGCTCATCAAGAAGCTTGCTCGCAAGTACGATGCCTTCCTTGCTTCCGAGGGTCTGATCAAGCAGATTCCCCGTCTCCTCGGTCCCGGTCTCTCCAAGGCCGGAAAGTTCCCTACCCCCGTCTCCCACGCTGAGGACATGGCCGCCAAGGTTACCGACGTCAAGTCCACCATCAAGTTCCAGCTCAAGAAGGTTCTGTGCCTCGGTGTTGCCGTTGGTAACGTTGAGATGGAGAAGGAGGCCCTTGTTGCCAACCTGATGCTCGCCATCAACTACCTCGTCTCCCTCCTCAAGAAGGGCTGGCAGAACGTTGGCAGTCTTGTCATCAAGGCTTCCATGTCTCCCCCCACCGTGTGTACTAGATTATCTGTCGCTTAACTGCGCCGGTGTTTTCTAGTTTGAGCCTGAAAACTGGGTTTATGTCATCGTCTCACGACTGAAAAAAATATGAAGCTCATGATCGGTCTCAATTTTCTATCTCCATATCGTAATTTCACTTCTGGTACAATGTAGCTGTAGATAATCTTATAATTGTATTGTACATCGCTCATTACGTGAAATAAGTGACTCTTTATGATATACATACAGGGAATCAAGTTACTCCATGCCTTCCATCAATTCGGTCTTATCCAGAATCATGCCCCGCATGCCAATGAACTCACGAAGACTTTCCCACTCTTCGCCAACCTCCTCGCCTCTCATATAAGGGTCGGTGAAACCCCACGCGACAGCAACTCTATCCATGGCGGCGCGCTCTTCCTCGCGTAACCATCTTTGCCGCAGAGGGATACCAGGAATCCAGACCACACGCTCCATCTGATCGTTGGCTGTGGTAATGGCCAATATTCCCATGGAGGATGTCCCGCCAACATAAGCCAGTGTAGCAGCGAACGCAATACCAGTCGCTACGTTTGGATCCATTGTGTTCTGGAACGTTGCGGCCCATGATGCGAGAGCATAGCAAGCAGCCGGGGCAGCCGCAAGGCCGGCCAGAGGGACACCGGCTTTCTTGAAGATCTTCGCGCGGTGGAAGGCGGGGGCGCAGAAAGTGTTATCAATGATGGCTAGCACGAGCGAGAGGTTTTTCTGCGCAATGGCGACCCCAAGAGCCATATTAGCCAACCCCGCCGGAACGGCGCTGTTGATACTCTTGGGATTAGCCTTCAGCAACTTCACTGGAGAGCTGCCCTCTTCTGGAACGGGCTTGTAGGCGTAAAGGTGGAAGATCTCGGGGAAGTGCTCGGCCCGTCGCAGCAGAGTGAGGGTTTCGGTGCAGGAGGCCAGAGCTTCGGGTGAAATAAAGACCTTCTCGTCCTTCAAAAGTTCAATGGCAATTTGTGAGACTGAGTCAGCCAGTCGTGGGTCTGGATGTTGTGAGGATTTGGGTTTGCCTGTGTTCTTTGCGGCGGTTTGCTTCTCCTCAAGGTCCAGCAAAGAAGAGATCGCACTGCCCTCGCCCTTTGAGGAACCCTCGCTTTGATCCCGTTCTCGCAAGACAAGGGACTCGGCGACGCTCTGGCATCTTTGTAGCAATTCTACTACCACCTCGTTGGAGGCCACAGCGTTCGATTGGTGCAGGGCAGATGCATCCTGCGCAATTTCTTTGATTGCAGCCTCTGGGCTTATCCTAGTGGTCGCAGAGGAAGCGTATCGGCGAGAAATAAGCAGAGGAGAGCCCAATACCAATTTATCAGTTCGTTTCCAGGGCTGTAAGGGGAGGTTGGAGGCCGCAGTTCGACTTGCGCGAGCGGGTAGACGCGCGATAGGGAGACCACGACGGGGCGTTGAAGTCGAGAATTGACATAATTGACAGATCGGGCCCTGTGGCCGGGAGCCTTTATTGGCTGTTAGAGCAACTCTTTTCATGGCTGTGGTGATGAGTAACGTTGTGAGGCAGCTGTATTTTTCCGATGGGAGAGTCCAGGCGGAGACTTCGCCCCGACGCTGTCCACTTCCCCGTACTCGTACCCTGACGTCTTCTTACTTATCCGCCTAACGTTCCTTTTATTCAAGGAACACATCTTTCCAACCTGACTATTTATTAAATTATATGCAATCAGCTACCTGATAATCTCAACATCTGATCCACAACCATGCCACCACCTCCTCCCCCCCGCCGCCGCCGGGAGGTTTGGGTGGTCCTCCCCCCGCCGCCCCCTCCAGGAGGTCTCCCAGGCAGGCCTCCTAAAGGACAGGCTAAAGACCGGGTATGTAGATTTGGCGCTTAAATTCTATTGCTGGAAGCAACTTGTCGCTCAAGGAATTTAGTAGCTAACCTATAGATAGGGCGCACTTCTTTCTGATATTCATAAGGGCGCCAGGCTGAAGAAAGCTGTTACGAATGATCGATCTGCGCCTGCAATCGCAGGCTCAGGAGGCGTCTCAGCAACTCCTCCCGTCGCGGGTGCGCCACCTGTTCCTGGTGCGAGGCCGCCTCCAAGCGGGCTTGCACCGCCTGTACCATCCGGTCCAGCCGCGAATCGATTACGAAGTAACAGCGAAGGAGTTTCTGGGACAGACGGTGCAGCCAGTGCAGTGCCACCTCAATTAGGGGGTATATTTGCTGGTGGAATGCCCAAGTTACGCAGTCGTGGAGGTGTCGATACAGGTGCCAATCGAGACTCCCCATATATCTCTGATTCCGAAGGTGCACGTCGACCACCTGCTGCGCCAGCCCCAAAGCCTCCAACAGCTCCCAGACCTCCTGGATCCAGGCCGCCTCCTCGTCCCTCATCGACCGATTCGCCACCTGCACCACCGGTCAATTCTCTGGTGGCCGGTTTGAAGAAGCCTCCCCCAAGACCTGCTTCACGACCCTCTACAGTTCCACCGCCGGCTACAAAGGCCCCTGAAGCGCCGCCTCCACGCGCGCCTCCTCCACCTCCAGCACCAGGCAAGTTTCCACCACCGCCTGCATCGAGAAAACCGTCCGGACCCCCGCCTCCTCCCCCATCAGCCCCCGCGACTCGGGCACCTCCTCCCCCGCCGGCTGCTTCTAGATCGACACCACCCCCTCCCCCATCAGTAGCCCCGCCATCAATTGCTGCGCAGGCTGCCCGTTCCGCCCTGGGACATTCTTCACCTTCGGCACCTCCCCCGCCACCCCCATCAACTGCCCCAGGTGCTCCACCACCGCCTCCTCCCACTTCACTTCCTGCAGCTCCGCCAAGCGAGCCGCCATCCCGACCTCCCCCAGTTTCTTCTCGCCCTGTCTCCCACGAACCATTTACAGCGCTGGACCCGAGCGCTTATACACTTTCCAATGGCGGATCGGCTGCACCAAGCTCACGAGCCCCTACAACACAAGGACATGGCCCAGTCCGAATAGAAGACCCACGATTCAAATTCCAAAGCGATGGGCTGCTCCCAAAACCACGGCAATTTATTGGCGGGGACCGCCGATACCGCGCTGGAAGGGGCAGCAGTGTTCCTTTGGATCTAACTGCTTTGCGAGGCTGATTAGAGTGCATGGGAAATTGCGGGCGATATCGTGCACACATAGTGAATTGCTATGCATAAATCCTTTTACATTAGAGTCATCTATGTAGCTTATTGTCACTGTAGCAAAGTTTGTACAACAAACCCCACCTTGGCATATTTTCCAGCTTACAACATATAAATCTCGTTCATCTCCTTCCATTACACAGTATAAGATGATGTGGTATCCACCGCTCCCATAAGCTTCGGCACGTGATCAAATCGGGGATGTCAATCGTTCGTCGTGGAAAACAACCATGAGGCACCAAGACACGCGCTGCCACCAATCTCTTCGCTACCAGTCGAAATCACCGACTCGCCGTTATTGTTATCAACCAGGAGGGTTCTCGCAATCTTCACTTGAGATTCGGCAAACAGCACAGACCCGCTCCGCGCCATTGCCATCACTTCATTCAATTGGCCTCGAACGTGAAACGGAGCTCCTACACATTTGATTTCCCTCAGCCAGCTTTACGGTTCTCAACAAGTCGACATTGCCCCACCACGAACAACCGCGATCAATCCAGCTCTTTACCTCGGCGAACACTTTTTGCGCGAAGTGACAGATTCCGAACTGATCAAAGATCCACGAACTCTCCCTGTTTACGCAAAAGAAGAGAGCTACCCCAAGACGTGTGTTACAGCAACACCACCGAGCTCGAGACATAGCGTGATCCCGATTCCGCGGTGCATCTACCTGTACTCGATCAACCGCAAAATTGAGATACCCTTGCACCTGACCTTGTTGAACTGCCGCTCTCCCATCCACCATGTCTCTCCACTTCTACGTCAATAGTAAGTTTTGCAGTTAGCTGATATGCTTATACATGCCATCTCCTACGTCCATAGACCAAGAGCTGACCAATCTCGACCGAACAGAAAAAGTCCTCATCCTCACAGTTGACGGCCGCACACTCATCGGCGATCTTCTGTCAACCGACCAAACAACCAATCTTGTCCTCGCTAATACCGTTGAACGCATCATCCGCACCCCAGACGACGACGAGCCCTCCGCCCAAGTTGAGCATGGGCTGTACCTGATCCGCGGTGACAATGTCGTGGTGTGCGGTGAAATAGACGAAAAAATGGACGGGGATATCGACTGGTCCAAGGTTAAAGGCGAGGTAATCCGAGACACGAAGAACGCATGAGCGGGGCTTGCACGGTGTTATTTTCCATTGTCATTTTTCGGGGCGTTTTGGGGAAACCATTTGCATGCGATACAATGATTCAGCAAGCCGATGAATTCTGGAGTTTTCCCGCGTTGCGTGTGGCCCTTTACTATTGAATCCGCCGTTGTGGGCTTGGCCCTTGGCCCTACAACGATGCGCGCAGATCCCCTGGGTGTTGAATGTTGATCCGCCATGTTTTGATTATTTTCCGTTGCGAACCTACACCGATCTCTCACGGGTGATTATGTGCTCTCTTGACATGTCTGATGTGCAATGATGCAATGGACAAAGCATAAAGGAGGGGCTACATATTGGGATTTGCTATCAACTCGGCATTCTTGCCCCTCGAATGACTTTGCGGGGGGGCTAAGAGCACAGACGACGCTGGGCACACAGATGAATTTACAACAGGGGGCCGGATTCTACTACTACCTGCCTCTCCCGAGTATGAGATGGTGCCCCTATGTTCCAAGGGAATGTGAATTTACATCAACAGTATGATTCGATATAGGGGCGTGAATCACCATTCTAATTTTCTACATTCTCTCTTTAAGAAAAGGAGTAATTTCCTACCGTTTGCAGCCACATTCCTTCTTGACTCCACGCGGGAAGATGCCAAGCCTATCTCGTCCAACTGACTATGTTGTTAGTTATGTTGTACGGAGTATCAGAGTACCGAGTACCGTAGAAAGAAAGAAAATATAATAAGACAAAGAGAACCAGATATAGAGAACTAGGCAGTCATGTTACAGACATTATTAATCAGCTGGGTAGAGAACTGTAGTATGACATTGTACAACGACTACAACGAGTAACTATGGTCTCATAGGGTCCCCCTGTCGGGCCTTGGCGCAGTAAGTTAGGAGGCTAATGTGGCAATGTGAGGTGTACAGAGTACAGAGTACAATGTAGGGTAATAGGTTTTGAATATTTAGAAAAAGAAGTCGGTCAGTTGAATTTTATTCATATACCCTGCCTTTGCATAATATGTATATACCCAGCTTAGGCCGCAAACAGTCCGAAAATTCGAACAAAAACTAAAGGCGAAACACAGGCAGAAACCACCGCCCCCTCAGATCTCTCTCCCCTGATTGCCATCTCATCTTACTTCAACTTCCCTTTTACTTCTCTCCCCCAACTATTTTTTACCCTCTCTTGGCCCTATAGATCGCTGGGCGATCTCCAATTCCTACAGTTTACCTCTTTATATCCCCCTTTTCGCAGTTTCCCCCCTTTATCCGCTCAGCCCTTCATGTGTCCGATAGTATCACTACAACACAACGAGCGAATATTGGATCAATTCCAACAGTTTTCTCGGGCAAATAGCCCGTCGTGAACGACGGTTTACACCTCTTAGCCACAAGCCAGCCCCAATAAACCGATATTCCCCACTCCCCCCCGCGCCAGCCATGTGGCTCTATCGGGGCGCCCAGTCCGCGGTCTTCTACTATGCCACTTGCACCCCCTGCGCCGAAAATCTCGATCGTCGGAAACGTAGAAAGGATGCTTCTCGGATTCAGCGAGAAAAGGAGAAGGAGCGACGCAACAACGAAGTCATCACCGACCAACCCCGTCCATTCGCACAGCCAACCCCTTTCAGCACCAATGTAGGTTGGCGAGAGGAAATCTCCCTAGGTCCTGGTCCCCCAGCCCGTCGGGGTGGTCATCGCAATGTCCAAAGAACGGACAGTTGGAATACCGACCAGAGCTCGCAACTGAAGAAAGACAAGAGTGGTGGTCTGATGCATCCACTCGGCGAGAAGTGGAAGTCGATGCGGTACCAACGGGAAGATGAGCCTCTTTGGGGACAACAAGAAGTCCGTGGATCGTCCATTGGATTCTCTGGACGTGGTCGTGCAGACCCGAACGAAACATCCAAGTACTACATCCCCCGTGTGCCGCCTGTGAACGACCTCCACCCGCCCATTGTTAGTGGACCGTGTAGCCGTGCTGAAACCAGATGGATGCTCCAACCGCCACCAAGTGCCCGAGTGATGGCCGGTAAAGCAGACATCAGTTCCGTCACTTCGCCGACCAGTGATAATTTTAATTCCCGGGGATTTGGCACCGCATCCCGAGCCCCTAAGAACGTGGCTAGGGAGAATGACACTGGAAGAATCAGTGAAGAGACTGGTGACGGTGCTATCGATGACACCACTCAGAACCATCGACCTAGTCGGCCATCGCTGACTCGACTCCGTATCGACTCAGGTAGTCCAGACCCGGAATCACACTCTCGAACTGACTCCATGTTCTCCACCACCAACTCGGATAATCCGAGCCTTGAATGGAAATACCCCGACACTCCGGCATCCCGTCCTCAATCCAATGCCACAGATGACATTGATAAGTTCTGCCGCCCACAAATCTCGAAGACTTTATCCACAATGCACCGGGACAACAAGAAGGTCCACATGGTACACCTAGAGATCAACGACGACGACCGTGATGAGATTGGTCTGGGTCAATTACAACCCATCCGCCCATGGCGTTGGAGCATGGACATCTAAAAACCTTTCGAACTCATATTCCACAACACTCGTCCTCGAATCCTTAAAAAACCCCTCCCTTCCCTTCCGTTCGGCTTTCCCGGGTTTCTGTTATACGGCGTTTGAAGCAACAAGACCATTCAGCATTTGCTTTTTTTTTGCGTTTTATTTCCTCAAGGTTTCCCGAGATCCCCCTTTTCCACCTGATCTCTTGAAGCAAACACCCTCTCGCTGTCGGGCCCATGCATCCCATATAGGAATGTACCTGGCTGGTCCGGTGCATAAAAGCAAAACGCCTCACATCCTGAAAATGACTCCTCTGTCGTTCCTTCATCACAACTACAAGAGAACATGCGAGTTTACCATAACAGCGCTCCTTCCTATCCTTTCACAATCCTTTCACTTTTCTCTTGTTTGTTTCCCTCGGCACTTTGTGGCCCTGAAGATTTCTCTTTTCTATTCTTCGTCTTTCCTTCAATACTATATATTATCTCTTCTTGTACCATAATCACTCCCTCTGTTTTCTTTTACCAGTACATAGCGTTTGGCCAATTGATGTTTTTCTCTTTTTAGACATTGTATCAAGCTAAACTATATATAATGCAAAATATATTCCAATGCTTTTTCCAACTTAGTGTTCTTAGACAAGTCATCCAGCAGTTGATGTCTTTTATCTAGATCAGGGCCATGATGTTCTCAGAGTATATTTGCAACACTGATCGTCTTAACTATATTACAAAATTTGATACGCAACATATTTCTAGTAAATCATAGATCCCTTACTCAGCAGTATATAAAAGGGCGCATGGCATACTAGCCAATAATTCTTCAGCAAGTAATATTTCACACGGGAAGATGGATGTGGATTTGAACAACGGGGCAAAAGAAGGATATATAGAAGGGTTCGAGCTGGGCCCAGTACTTCTATCTGGCGTCTCGTTAGACACTGCCATTGTACGCTACGATTTATTACATTTCAGAGGCTGCAGGTATGCGTCGCATTCAGCGTTAAATCTTCGATTTAACTTGTCTTCGTGATAGATGCAATTCAAATGCATATCAAAAACTTCATATGCAGAGAACATGTGTTTTTGACCTCGATAAACAAGAGACCAGGATACAAAAGTTCCAAGTAGAACAGCTCAAAAACAAAGACGCGAGAGAGTAGATCGTTGGATCTCCTCGGCGTTTCAAAATTATCCCAAATGCAAACAACGCCCAACCCGGTCACGCATAGCCTCTTAAACCAGCCAAGGGTCTAAGGGGGCCCGTATTCAAATGCTCAGAGCCCGCGGAGCACCAGCTAGCCGTCCTTTGTTAATTTCTTTCCCTCTTCGTTGTGTTTGCTAGATGGATGCAGATGCCGGGAGATATATAGAGAGAAGGAGAATCACCTTTCGATCTCCTTCTGCTCTAGTAGACCTTCTTCTTCTCGTCCATGCTCAATTGGCCGGGGCCCATGTTGACGAGTAGAACCAAGCCGCCGCTGTAGGATTTATTAGCGTCGTACATGTTTCACTATTTGGGAGAAGGAACGTACACAATCGACAAGATTTGGAAGAAGTCGTACTTGGCGAAGTCCTTCTGGGGGTGGTGGGCATGCAGCTAGAATAAATTATCAGTAACCAAACATACAACCAATTGCCTAGAAAACGTACCGTCCAGAAGTTGTTCACAAACACGTTGAATAGACTCAGTAGGACCACAAGAATGATAGCGCTCCACTTGGCCTTGAAGCCAACAATGACCATGACGCAAGCGACAAGACCGAACAAGCTGACCAGAATGCGCCAGAAGCTCCACTCGCCGGAGAAAACGAATCCGACAAAGAGGAAGATCAGCAACACACGACCAGCAAACTGGACGTACATCTTGCGGTCCTTCTCATCAAGCTGGGGCAGACCGGCGGGGACGAACCTCTTGCGCACCCAGGAATCAGACAGGACCATAAGCAGACCACCCACAACACTCAGATTGCGAAGGAAGAAGTTCAAGTCGAAGATGAGACCGTATCCAAGACCCTGTGTAATGACGACGCCGAGCAACCCCGCGACAGCGAACTCGGTGCGTTTGCGGGCGATGACCAGAGTCGAACAAATGGCCATAGCAATGACATTAACGATAAGGAAGGTGTGCGTGATCCCCCAGGGAACTAAAGCGAGCACAAAAAGGCGCGTTAGACGTTGATATAGAGGTAGTGTGGGACTCTGGACCCTAGATCGCGCGGGCCAGGGTCCGGAAGCAAGGCATTATCTTACTTTTGCGGAAATCACGGAGATAGAGGAGTTGGTCATTCCATTGTGTGAGGATGCGCAGCGAGTCTTCAATGAAGGTCACTACGATCAGGAATCGGCCGATGGCGGGAAGGTAGCTAGAGAGCGAAAGAACAGGGTGTTAGTGCATGCCTCAAATCCCTTGTTTTGAGCTCTCTCTCGCGACTCGGCCCACGACACGGGTAGACCAAGAAGACCTAGAACAAAGAGTGAAATTGAAACATACGGCTTCACTGGATCGGCCAAGGTGTCCAACCAGTCCTCAATCTTGCTTGTCTGCTCGCGAATTGCGTCCAGTGGACTTGGGTCGCTGGTGGCATCTGCGCTACCGGGCCCGCCAAACGGGTTCTGGTGGCCGAGGTTGTAGCCCGCAGTGCCACGAATTTGGGCCATGGCAGAAGAATGAAACAAAAAGAGAGTGAGAAGACAGAGAAGGAGAAGAAGAAGGATAAGAAGAAGAAATTGGAGTTGAGTTCTCACAGGTTGGGGGAGAAGAAGTCTAAGACAGGAGCAAATACCAAGGAGTTGTATACAAAGCAACTTCAGGCCACGATAACCGGAACTGGCCGCTAAACCACTTTTGGAATAGTGACGACACAAGACTTCTCTATGGATGATCTATAGTTAACGAACTACGTAGTTAACTAGTTATAGTTACTAACATTGTTAGAATAGACTCTACATTCTTGCCCTTTATTTTGTTTTAGATCAAGCATTGGTTATGATTTCATTGCAATACAGATTTTGTCAGTTAGGCTAACAAAGAAAAGAAAAAAAAAAAACATTGCACAAACACAGCGTCAGATCCATTCCCGCAATTCTGCTTTTGTTTCCGCAGTGCAGTTCTTCCTCCTTGCACAACTTGCAAGGGGAATCTACTAATTCCGCTCCTAATGCGTTGTGGCAATCTCCCAGGCCCCGATTATTGAGGGGAGGGAGAGTGCTCGAATGATGTGACACCCCCAGAACGCCCAAAAAAAAAAAAAAAAAGAACAAAACAAAACAAAGACAAAGACAAAAAAAGGGTAATAAATACATTTCAAGATGAAGAGAGAATATGAGAGAAAGGCTTCATGGCAGAGGGAAGTACTCAAGCGGCCCAATCAGAGTCAAGTGGGTGGCCCTTCTCCCGCGAGCGCAAGATATCGGGGAGGTAGGTTGGGGTCACGGTCACACGAGGCTCAATGGGGGCAGGAGCGACAGGAGTAGACTGGTTCTCCGAGGCACTGGTCTCGCTGACACTCTCGTCAGACTTGCCGCCCTTCTTCTTAGGCTGCTTCTTGGAAACGGTGGTCCATTCGTCATCGCCGTTGGCAGCTCCCAAGAGGCGCATCTGCTCCTCCTCTGAGGGAAGGTTCTGAGCCCACTTAGTAGGGGCAGGGGCAGCAGGGGACTCGAATGTGTCCAGGAGACCGTGAGAGGCGGGAGCGGTAGGGACAGTGGGAGCAGGGCGGGACCCGCCGTTGACAACATTGGTCTTCACTGGCGCAGTGTTCTCCTTCGTCTGCCAAGCGTTGGCAGCGGGTGCGGTTGATCGGGCAGCCTCGCGGCGCTCAGACTCGCGAGCGGTGTGCAACTGCTTCTCAAGCAGCTTCTTGCGCTCAACCTCAGCCTCCTGAACTTGCTGTTTGCGGGCCTCGTTCTTGAGACGCTGCTGGCGCTGCTTTTTGGTCTCCACCTCCTTGAAAGTCTGGACCTTCTGCTTCGTAGGCTGGTTCTCAACATTGCCAGTAACGCGGAGCACAGATGCACCGGGGGCGGGGGCTTCCAGCATGTCGGAAACATATCCGGCCGAGGGGACAGTGGCGTTCACCGCGGGGGACGCGGCGGGAGACAGATCGTCATCAGCCTCAGCGCCAGTGGTCGAGGAGGCACGGGTGTCGCTGGTCTCGAGCTGCGCAGCCTTCTTCTTGTTCTTCTTCTGGCTCTTGGTGGGAGCGGACTTGGCAGGAGCGGGCTGAGCGGGGGCGTTGGTCTTGAGGCCGGCCATGCGGCGGGCCATCTCCTTGCGATCGATTTCCTCATCTGGCTTCTCTTCCTCGGTGGTCGGGGGCGAGACGACGGTCTGCACCTCGGATTTCTTGGCGGCAACCGGCTCGGGGGCAGGCTTAGACTTGCGCTTTGACTTCTTGGGTGCTACAGTGGCCTCGGATTTCTCCACGGCAGCTCGGATCACATTGGGCTTGGGGGTTGTGCCATTGGTGTAGTACCAGCCGAGGCCACCTGCCACGACAAGCAAGATTGCCCAGCTAATGTAGGGATTCATGGTCATAGAGCTGTGCACTCATAAGTCAGTACCATCAACGTTGTCACGGTGGTTGCCAGCATGGAACTTACTGTCGGATTGAAACCTATGTAGGCGGAGGATGGGTGTTGGTTGAGAGGGGAGGTAGGACCAAAGTTGCCGGATGAGAGGGTAGGACAATTGCGCACGCGCACTTTCAAATTGACACGCGCACCGAAAGCCGAGACAATTGCGCTCAGCTACAGAAGCTTTATCCGAACGGAAAGTGTTCAAGACGAGACTCCACGTCGGTCAATTGACCGGAGTGCGGAGAGGATTCGCGGGGTGACGAAGCCGCGAATAGGAGTGATAGGAATAGCGCAATGGCGCAAGAGAAAGGTAGGATAAACAAGAGAAGAGGTTGAAGAGAGTAGAGGATGAGAAAGGAGGAAAGGCGAGGAGTAGTGGAAAGGGCAACCGTGGCAGATCCACTCGTACCGTGACCGTAATGGTAAGTTACCAAGATCTTGGCTTTGAAATTGTACATATTCTGTCCCTTGTCTACTTGGCGTCTTTTTTATTTTTATGTCTTAAATTATTGTAGACTTCATATATCATCTTAATATTAACTTGATTTTCTACTGTACCGTACATTGGTGCCTTGGGACTAAAGAATGTGATGGTCAGATGGAGTATGGAGATTCGAGCATTGCCGTACTGCAAGCTGTCATCATATATTCAAATGGGTTGTAACTATTCAACGTATAACTATGGAGTACCTGGGGAGAAGTGCTCTTCCCAGGCTACAAATGGATTGTGTACAATATAACTACTCCGTACATATGTAATGTAATGTATGTAATTAGTTAGTTAACTGGTTAATAGCTCCAAGACTTCTTTCACTGAGCGAACAGGCCACGTCTCTGTCTCTCCTCTCTCCGCCTTCTACGTTCTAAACCGATTTATATCTTACTAGCGCGTTCTGGGTAAACCTCCTGAGCATTTGTTTAATATTCGATTAATCGATTTTTCCGGGAGCCGGGAAGCTTGGAGATTGCCGATCCGGCAATCTCTCATCAAATGTCCTTTTTACCCCTTACAGTAGCCCTCACACCCACCACGAGGAAACCGAGTTGCTAATAACAGACAACCCGGTCCAATTGGTGGTCCAAGTCATACATTTGATACCTGTGAAGCCTATCGAATCCTGGTCAACAAGTCTAAGACCTGCATTATGCAGCAGCACCTTCAAAAGGAAGGCTGGGATTGGTTCGCTGGCCATGCACTCCTCCAGGGCTTCAATGCAATCTGACTAAGTCTTCGATATCAGACTAGTTTCTTACTCTTTTGTATCCTATTGGCTATTCTGTACTCCTTATATTCTAGTTATATTCTTCTTTGTTCCCATTTCTGCCTCCTGTTCCACTATTTTTCCTTTTTCCAAGATTGGCTAGGCCCTATGATTCCTTTGACCGACTGACTACTAAGATCCACGAAGCCCTGGAGCCATTGTGACTACTGCTAATAGCCCTTCTATTGGTTTCGTTTGTCGTAACAAATATATCTTAAATAGTCCATTTATAAAGGTTGAGTTATGCAAATATAAACATCTAGTCTCGAAATTGCATACATTTGCCTCAATATCCCAGGCTCCCTCGGGGCTGCGCTCGCAGGGTAGCAGGCTTCACTGCCTAATAAATTTTCGTTAGATAGCTCGAACTTTTTATCTTGAACTATATTATAAGATGAATATCTTTCTAGAAGCTTGACTCCCCACTACCTTCCTGTGCCTTTTAAAACCATTGCCGAAGTCACGATAAGATTTCCTAGAGGCAATATAGACGGCTCAAGTTACAACGCATTGGCGGAGGCCGTCGGTCACCGGGATTGCAGTCCTAAGCCGGGATTAGTATATTTTTTGTTCAATCTGTATATATATCATGGTGCTCATCGGTTAGAATCGGAATACAGCTTGAATATTATTTTAATAACCGTGGAGTCTCTAATATAACCGTTGAAAGTGTATATGAGCTGCTCACGAGGGGTAAATAGCCAGACGAAACCCCCGCAGCCGATAACATTGATAAGCTTCCACTTCTGTCATTCACCAACATTTGAAGGTCAACATTCACCATGGGAAAGAAAATTATCATTGACACTGATCCGGTATGCTCCTTCAAATTCCATTGCTATAGCTTCGGTACTGATTGTAGCACAGGGCATTGACGATGTCCTCGCTCTTTTGCTGGCTCTGTCCGCCACCCCAGAGGAGGTAGAGGTTCTCCTCATCTCATTGACATTCGGTAACATCGAGGTGGAGAAGTAAGAGATCCTCCCATCTGGAAAATTACATTGTTTGACCACATATCTAGCTGTCTCCGCAATGCAGTGTCGATGTTCCACATCCTCGAGCGGGAGATGCAGTGGCGTCGTGAGAACGGCCGGCCTGAAGGCTTTGGCAGCTTGAAGGCTTCCCGTCCTATATTGGCTGTCGGTGCAGAGGACCCCCTCGAAGATCAGAAAATGCTTGCGGATTACTTCCGTATGTATTTCTCTACCATACTATAGATGCCGTTAACTGATATCCCCGCAGATGGAATCGACGGACTTGGTGGTATCCACGCAACGGTATGTGACGCTCCACATGAAACCGGGCTTTTATTATGGTCCTGAAACAAGTAATATATACTGACTTCTAAATAGCACCCACATCTCACTGCTGATAAAGCATGGGTACACCTCTTCGCTAAAGAACTGGAGGGCGAGGGAATCAAGCCTGTTGAGGATTGCCCAGGTTCCGACGGCCACGCATTCACCCCGTCCAAGCTTCCGGCATATGAGGAGATTCTCCGCGCGCTACGTGATAATGAGCCAGATTCAGTGACTCTGGTAGCAGTGGGCCCACTCACTAATCTGGCTTTGGCTGCAGCAGAAGACCCAGAGACATTCCTCCGGGTCAAAGAGGTAGTCGTCATGGGCGGTGCTATAAACGAGCCAGGAAACGTGAGCTATGCCCTTTCCAGACATAAGAAATATCGAGACTGGTTGGCTTATTTTGTTAATAGGTGACACCAATGGGCGAGTTCAACGCCTACGCAGATGCCGTGGCAGCCGCGCGTATTTTCGCACTCACCTCGCCCAACCCGCACACGACAATTCCACCCACAAAGAGCGATAAACTCCCACCGTACCCAGAAAACCTCAGCCAGCAACTGACTCTCCGTCTTTTCCCGCTGGACATCACCCTCCGCCACAATCTATCACGCGGTCAGTTCCGGGAGGCCATCACGCCTCTTTTGGCTGCCGGCTCCCCGCTCGCCGAGTGGGTGGATGCCTTCATGGGACACACATTTAAAACCTTGGAGCGCCTGCACCCTGGACATGTCGGTGATGATGCTCTGCTGAGTTTGCATGATCCTGTGTGCGTCTGGTATGCTTTGACATCAGATGACCCGAAGTGGGTTTACTCGGCGAACTCGCCTGAGGATATCCGAATCGACACCCTGGGCCAATGGACTCGCGGTATGTGCGTTGTCGACCGCCGTAACCGTCACCGCGTTGAAGGTGAGGAGGAGAGCTCTAATGACCATGGTCTCTGGCTGAGCGGCCGTGCTGGCAATCGCATCTGGCGGATGGATGGATCGCCTGGGGAGGAGAACTTCGGAAATGTCATCATTGAGAGACTCTTCAAGTGATCTCCGTTTGATAGACAAAGGGAGCACATTTGACATTTGCTGGATATAGATGCATATGGCTGCTGATTTCTATAGAGATTGAAATATACATTCTCCTTTTGGACTGAGTATACTCCTCATGCTATCCCAGTACACGGGCCAGATAATGTCATTCGCATACCTACCTAGGTACCTAGGTACACCTATATGATTCGGTGGGTGTGTCTTCTCGCATTCTTTCCAAATGAGAGTCCGTTATGAGGTAATTAGAGTCATCTTTCCAATGTTTAGGTAGGAGCGACGTCCCCACCTGCGAGTATAAACCTCCCCTCTCTCCCCCTCTTCCCTCTTCATTTATTCGTGTCCTATTTGTATCAACTCCCACTTTCGTTATTACTAGCCTACTAGAAGTACCTAGGTAGCTACCTAGGTAGTAGCTAGCAATCCCCCAAAGCTCTAGCAACGTCATCCGTGGGAGTTAGTCTGTGCTTACTCCTGTCATATCGGACCTATCCACTATAACGCCGGACGAAGTCAGACGTGATGCCAAGCTTTTTCTCCCATGAAGCATGACTGGGTTAATATGAGATCGCCGCCTACTGGAATGTGAGGACTATAGGGGGTGTCGAGATGAAATACACCGAGGCGCGCAAGACATGGCCTGTCGCACCCATGCCGATAACTGCAATCCACCACCAAACCCAGAACCACCAACCGGCTAGATCATCGGAGGATTCGATTTTGTTTAACACATGAAGCCAATTATCAAATTCTGGGGCGAGGCGGGGATCTCCAGAGTTCCCAGGGATATGGAATGTCATAAGCTTGGGATCGACCGTGGCACTTACTGTTATAGTCCTATCAAACTCACCAATCTGCAACACTACACAATCCAGGAGGCTTTCCCCAGGCCGCTCGGGAATTGACGGCCAGCCCCCCAGATCATCAAAGCCGTTAGACCGTTTCTATATAAGACAGGTTGGTTTAGGGGTAATACCCTCATAGCAACTGATCTCATCTTGAATCTCAACATCAGATCAATCCTCACGGACCATCCACTTTCCTGAACTTATTCTTATTCTTAATATCCTTCCCCTACTTCTACAATTTACAAAATGCAGCTCACAACCCTCCTCGCCGTTTGTGTGGCTGCCCTGACCAGCACCGCCGCTGCAATGCCCCGTCTCTCGGGGGCGTATCACGGTGCCCGCATCTCTGTTCGTGTCCCAACCAATGCAACTAGTTCCCACAATGCCACTACAACGGGTACACGGGGAAAAGTTCCCCTGTCGACGGGAGCGTCTCATATGAACCGCGTTAATGTCAACCGGTGTCATGAGCTATGCTCGTTGCAGTCTCAGACTTGCTCGATTGCTGTACCGGATGATGATAAGTTTTGGTGAGTTTCCTGTCTTGTCCTAGGATATTATTTTTCTTTCTTTCTTTTCTCTCTTAGTGAATTGGGCTAATATACTGTTTCTAGCTGGTCAATTTACTTGCAATGCACGGAGAAGTGCCACCCGGAGAATTTCTACAAGTAAATATAGAATTGGGTATGGAAGATATTTGGATAAAAGAGACTGTTGAGTGTTATGGACCATGTTATATGAATGAAGGATAATTATTATATGAAAGTGAATTGAGTGTCTTTATTGAATTTTTTTTTCATGTTATGAAGATTATGTAGCCATCAGCGTCACCAAATCCACTCGTATATGCAGGCCAAAACAGGTAATGGGTTGGTTTTGTCAGGAGTAAATGGCCTTAGAGCAGTTATGTAGTTAGTTATTGCGGTTCAACGATGATGCAGGAAATGTTGGAACAAGAGCTATAGTCAACCCCCTAAATCAAATTGAAATGTTGGGGTTATGTCTGAATCTGAGCTCAATGACATAAGATCCTCCTCCTTGAGCCGGCTTGCCCAGCATTGGATCCACTGACTATGACAAAGCGCGGCGTCCCCAGAGAGGAAGCACGTGCCATATGTGGATGAGTCGAGAGGAAGCGGGTACCCGAGGAGTGTACGGAGTAGGGAGGTGAATGCCCTAGAGGAAGATTCTCAAGTTGTAACCGTGGCTTGAAACAACCATGGGACTCTCATAACCAATAGAAAGATATAAACGTTTACTACAAAAAAAAAGGCACATGCTCTCGAAGCATAAAGGTGCCCAGACGAGTCCGTGTAATTACCAAAGAGCAAGATTGTCCTCCAATTGATGCACGTGCTGGGCTACCTCAATTGAAGTGATGAGTACCAAGTACAATGGATAAAGCCCCTTTTCTCACTGTAAAATAAGTACTTAGTACGTACCAATAAGCTCTCCAGGCCCCACTTGCTACTCCAGCAAATGCCCGTTGTTCCCTGAAGCACGAGTCTCCGCTTCGACCAATCAGCGTCGTCCATTGTGGCTCGTGGGCACAACGTTTGGAAGCACGCGACACTTATCTATAACTTGGGAAGCCCTGGACGACGTTCACGGTTATATAGTCTGCAACCCCTTGCTGTACAACTCTACTATTCGCAACTTCACTCCCTAATCCATTTTTCACACAATGTCACGTCTTCCAACCCCAGCCATGTCGGGTGGCTTCATCATCAAAGACAAGCCCGACGGGGATGCCTTCACATTACCTCCCGCTGCATTGAGCACTGGTAGTCGGAGGTCTTCCCGATCAGACCCTTCCTATATCCCAGCATCCCCGACATCCCCAGAACTCTCTGGTCGCCGTACAAGTCACACAGCGCGGTCGGGTACATCTATCAAACGCCCACTCGAGGATTTTGATTTGCCTCCGCCACCAACTAGAACTCGCAAGATCATCCAGATGAAACCAAAGTCACCTCCAAAACCTCCTAAGACTAGGGAAAATGGCAAGGGTTCACAGAGCTCAGAGGACCCAATGCCGAACCCCACACCGAACTCTAAAAGAAAACAGCCAAGTGCCACTAGTGCTGCAGGACGCAAGATCGCCCGCAAGACCGCACACAGTCTAATTGAGCGGCGGCGACGGTCCAAGATGAACGAGGAGTTCGGCACATTGAAGGATATGATCCCGGCATGCACCGGACAGGAAATGCATAAGCTGGCCATTCTTCAGGTACACCAGTCACCTCTCTTTCGGGAATTTGCAATATACTAACTATCCTCACAAGGCAAGCATTGACTATGTCAATTACCTAGAGAGATGCATCCGTGACATGAAGACTGGGGGATCCACGCAAACCCCTGCTGCACCACCCTCGCCAACATCCCCCGAGTTCATCGCAGAGACAGGCGAGCCCATGCAAAGGGAAAGGGAACGCTCTTCTACTTATTCATACTCCACCTCTGCATCACCGGAGTTGTACGCTGTTCCCACAGAATTTCCTGATACTTCCCCATCTTTCTCCCCACGCACCCAAGTTCCCTCAGCCAATATCCCACAGGATGCTTCATCTATCCTTCCTAGCCCGGCACTGGGCCCAATCTGGGCATCCAGCGAAAAGATGGTTGAGTTTCAGGGCGTTGACCACGAGGCTTCAGCTGCCTTGCTCATGTTAACTCAGGATCGGAGAGGGACTGCCGATTCGATCAGTGAGAACTTTCCTGGGAGTACGACACTTGCACAGTCTGTGGAAGATACTTCAGCAGTGTCTCCTGAGATTCAAAGGAGGAAGGGCATGAGTGTCCGCGATCTTCTGATTTCATGATCTCCCTACTTGGGGGGTTCTTTTTGGTTCCTTTGGAATATTGGTGTCTAATGCTTCTGGAAATGGCGCATAGGTTGTTTTATTAGCGTTGTCTATATTTAGCATTGGTTTTCAGGATTGTACACGGTGGACCAATGTCTACACGTTTTGATGCGTGTGTTTTGTTACTTGCCCAACTTATGAAGGTGGGATACTTCAACTCGGAGAACAACATGTGAATAAAAAGCGGACAAGATTGATCATCATAAAGATCTGGAGGCTATTTTATTCACATCATAAATAATTTAATTATTTGGTTTAGGACAGGAGTTCTCCTAATGAAATTGCCAGTTGCCAGTTGCAGTTTCGCCCCTAAAATGATCGGACCATCGGCAATTCGCGAATGACCGAACACCGAACTTCCGCCACGGAGAGTCCGATAGTTCGAGACTTGACCGCTAATATATGATAGAAGTCAAGGATCAGATAAAAAAAATTCTCCTTCACTTTATTACCCAAACTTCCTTCAATTTGCGCTGGCTTCCCTGTAGCTGCGCCAAGACAGGACCATGAATCACCAACGCCGCCGGTATAATGTAGAACGATCATGCTTACGCTGCCACGAGCACAAGATCAAGTGCGACAAGGGTACACCATGCAGCAAATGCATGCGACAGAAGGTAGCCTGCCAGTATCCAGGTACGAGCCGAGTCAAGCGCCAATCCCCGAAGAAGAGCACGACCGATGTTGCGGCACGTTTGGAGCAGCTTGAACAGTTCATCACGACGCTGGTCAACGAACGACCGACTAGCTTGAACGGTCAAAACCAAGGTCCAAATACAATCTCACCGATGCCGAATGGCCGATCCGACTATAGGCCGCCATCAAACCACCCAGCTGCAGCGGACCGTCACGCCTATCTGGGGTTCCTAGACAAAGACGGCCGGTATATAAATGAGCCTTTTCTCTCGCGAGTACTGGAGAAAGAGCAGGAACTAAAGTCCGCAATTGGATCTCCGATCGATGCAAATAGCCCGCGCCGATCACCAGCATTGAGGGCAGATGGCCTCTTCAAGAGCCCGCTCTCGGTTCAGATTGACACTCAGGGGCTGTTTCCAAGTCGCTGGGAGGGGGTTTTTCTCTGGCAGACATTCCTCAACCGTGTGGAGCCCTTTGTAAAGGTCATTCACGTTCCAACGGCGCAATTGCACGTCTTTGCTGCCATCAACCGACCCGAGAGTGTAAGTGCTGATCTACGTGCTTTGGTCTTTGCTATTTGTTTTACCGCTACAACTACGTTGCTTGCGGATGATACTCAGAATGAAGTTTGGCATGCCCATCTGCGCCGATATCAACAGGGGATGGAATTGTCTTTGTATCAATCCGAGTTTTTGGATGCTCCAACCCTTGTTTCGCTGCAAGCGATGGTAATATACCAGGTGAGAGAATGTTTCGTTAACTGTCCTTGGCCCTTCCTGTGCTTTGTATCACTAACATATCTTCGGTTTCTAGGCGTGCTTTCGATTTAGCAATAGCGGCCGCTCTGGCTGGACCTTACACGGCGTAACTATTCGAGCCGCACAATCAATCGGCCTCCAACGAGACGGAAAAAACTTCAAACTTCCACAATTGGAATGCGAGCTACGCCGACGAACCTGGGGACATATTCTATCGGCCGATAGTCGAGTAGCAGAAGACCATGGGCTCAGCGTCCCAGAAAACGACCACGGCGACACCGAACTCCCGTTGAATGTCGATGATCAAAGCTTATCAGAGACGAACATCGTCCCAGCCGTATCGGAGAACCGATGGACCGAGTTGACATTCTCTCTAATCATATTCGAAATAAACAGGGGACGGCCTGCTCTAAATCGAAGCCTAGTGGGGGCAGCCGATCCAGAGCGACTCATCGCCGAGTTTAGAGGCTCAATAGAGAATAAATACCTGCGACACTGCGACCCAGACATCCCGACCCAGCGCTTCGGCTTCCTGCTCGGAAGGCTACTTCTCATAAAGACCGAAGTGTGCATTCGACAGAAACTGCTACAATCACAGGGTCCAACGGCCTGCTCGCTAAACCACAATGTTATCCAAGAGACGCTAGCACAAGCTTGCGTTGGCGTGGAGATTGGCCTTGAGATACACAACGACGAATTACTCCACGGCTTCCGCTGGCTGCCGATGACTTTCACCCAATACCACCTCCTCACCTACATCCTCTGGGTTCTGTGTGTTTATCCCACCGGTCCACATGTCGATCGAGCTTGGTGCGCTATTGATATGCAGTTCAATCTGATTGAGGACCCCTCTTGGCCAGATCCCGGACCTAAGTGGCCGATGATTGTGCAGTTGCGGACCAAGGCACGGTCTATTCGCCAGGCACATGATTCTGTTGAGCGGAGTCAGCAAATTGTTCACGATAATTGTCCTCTTCGTGCTGATGGGACTGAGACTGGCGATTCTCAGCTTCAGGCAGACTTCCATAATGATAGTTGGGATCCGAACTCTGTTGATTTTTCAGATTGGAATTTCCTGGCGCACAATCTTTCTCTCTTGAATTGACGATGTACTGATTATACTGACATCTTAGTATTACATGATATAGTGTGACAAAACCCATAGACGGGCTCGTTCGGTGCACATAATGCCTTTTCCCTAAAGAACCCCTAAAGCGCCTACTTTTGTACATGTGTGTCAGTGTCTCTGTTTCAAAGAGGTATCTCAAAGGAATATGATGATTGCCACTTTGATATCACTTTTACCGCTCTCTCTACCGCTCCATCGCGTCTGCTCTATAGCCCCAGGACGTGATGCATCTCCGGCCGTCAACACATAAACATCCTGAACAGACAACTTCACCCTCATTTTCCCCTGCATTACTTACACATCATTCAGCAACCGCCAACATGCCTGTATCTGACGAGGAGCCAGATAACCTGTCACTCCTCCTGGAGGCAATTAAAAACCAATCTATCCACCGCTTGGAGGGCATTCTGCAGGACATTGTCAAGCACAGCCCAGAAGGCCGCAAAATCGCTTCAAAATGGCTACTCGCAGCGAAGAAGGATGTGAAATCTGAGCCAGCTGCCCCCGTTTCTCCCATTACTCCCATTACTCCCGTTACTTCTGCCCTACCCGTCAAGGAAGAGTCCATGGCCAGTGTCCCGATGACATCCCGTTTCGAAAACTGCATCTACTGCCTGGAGAATTTCGAGGTCACGCAAAATTCGGAGACGAGCTGCAGATATCATCTTGGTACGTATATTCCCAAAGCACATTTGTCAACACATGACACAGATGAAAATATAACTAATCTTTGAATAGAGCCTAACGTGGTCGACGAGGAGTATTTCAAAGCTGAGATTGCTGCTGGATATGCTGTTGATAGTGATGAATATCGTCTGGCTTGGCCAGAGGGGTTTTTCTATCCTTGCTGTGGAATGGGGTTGACCGGGGATATGTGCCAGGTTGGTTGGCATAAGGCTGCGGACCCGAATGACCGCCCCCGTAAGCGGACTCGTCAGAGCGAGTTCGAATGAAATTAAGGGAGTTTGGTTCTGGAGTTTGCGGTAGGATTTAGGATGTGTCCTTGTCTCTGAGGTTTGATGTCAGCGCGCTGATGGTGATGCTTCATCTTCCCAGGTACACTATTTCATCTTTTCATTTCGGATCTGTGTGTATGAATTTTCTTTCCGAACCAGCCAGCGAGTTAATTCACTTGATCCATTGATCTGTTATGGGAAACATTCACAATTAAATAAACTCAGCCCTGATTATTGCAATGGGCAGTCCGGCCGATACTCCCCCGAAGCCTCCTCATCCTCACCCGGACCATCTAGCCTCCGCTGCTCCTGCCGCTCATTTTCATCGTCCACTAACTGCCGCAGCCGCCCTGCATCCGGCTCCTCGCCTGGCTGAAGACGGAGCAGTTCATCGACCATGGCCGCCCGCCGCGGGTGACCCCGATGGCGTAAGTAACGCTGAAATTCGACGAGCATAAATGTGCGGAGGGGGTCGTTGGCGGGAGGCTCTTCGGTGGATGGTGTTGATGGTGGCAGAGAAGCGTCGCTGATGGGATCCTGTTCTGCTGCCGGTGTAGATGAGGGCACAGAAGGGGTTACTGGCGCGGCTGTAGATACAGCTACCGCTGGGGACGTTATTGCAGATGTAGCTTCCGCTTGGGGTGGTGGGAGCTCCCTCACCGATGGGACTAGTGGCACGGCCGTAGATGTAGCTGCAGTAGGGGATGTCGTTCCAGATGTATCTTGGGTTTGGGGTGGTTGCGTTACTGGAATTCCCGGGTTGACCTTTACATGGTCTATCACCGCTCGAAGGATGTTCCAGCGCATCTCACTGTGTTTCTGCCAGATGAATCGCTGCCATGGGACTGTAGGTCCGACATAGACCATGTTCGGGTGTTCGCTTGCTAACGGCCAGTGGTCTTCGAGGTCTGATGTCTGCGATGCTAGTAGAGAATAGAGATCACTCCACACAAGACTTCCGAGAATTCGCATCTGACCGTTGTAGCCCGGAGACTCGTCGGGTCGTGTGCTGCCCTCCTCTGGGTCGAAATCTGGGTCAACGGCGAGAAGGAAGCCGGTGAAGTCACCGGGATTGAGCCGGGACGCCGCAGGACTGTAGGATTTGGTGGTGTATGAGGCAAAGGACGCGGAGTCAACGGCGAGGAAAGCGCCCTCTTCTAGCTTCGACCAGTCGCCGCTGCCCTTTATTGTAGTTTTGAAGTGTCTGATTGATGAGATCGTTAGCTTCAAAATTCAAAAGCGAAGGGGGTACACCTACTCCTTAGATGCATGGACATCGCCCTCGGAAATACCCAATTCTTTCCCATCAAGCCAGTGGAGTTTCAAATGCTGTTTGATAGCACTGCTTCCTGTTTGGCCTTTGCCCCAGTCTGAAACATGAGCTTCGACTTTGCGAACGAATTCTGTCCATTCCGACTCCGTCTGCCCATAAGTCAACCGATACACGGCCAACCCGTACTTCTCGTCCTTCCCCTCCTTCTTTCCAGACTCCATGTTGGAGGCACAAGCAGCGATCCAAGGCTCACGAGGAACAGGTTCAAGAGGTGCACCACGCACCTCTTTCCTCAATTTATTCTGGCCTTGAATCTGGCTCCGGGATGTGTCATGGTACGACTCTCCGGACGTAGGAGTTAAACCTCTCCACGCAGGTGCATTAAGGGATATAGCTTCTCGAGTAAGCAGCCTCAAACGCTCGTGGTATGCTTTACTTCTCGTCAGCAGATTCGCTGCATGAAGGGCTGCCGGGCCTGCCCGCGGGGCATCCGCCCAGTACCCTTTGTAACCGTTCATGGGGATCATGATGGTAAAATCAGCCTTCGCGGTGATTTCCGTCAGCATATGCAGCGAATCAGTAATCTTCCACTGCACAGCATCAGGCTGGGCTAACGGGCCGCCATCTCCTCCTGGTGGCCGATACTCCAAAAGGGACCGCAGTAAGGGAGCTCGCAGTGTATTGACATGTACGGTAACCCATCTATGGGCGCGCTCGGTCATCATCTCGAAATGCGCAGTCATGTACCTTGTCCAGAGACCTGCGACACTAACGGGCTTTTTCTCTTGCTCCGCTCTGCGCTTGTTGAGAACAGCGTCGAGCTCCGTCCAATGATCGTAGATGTAATTGAACGTGTCGCGAAGATATAATCGCACGGTTGGTTCATTCAAGTACTGGAACACGGCAATCACGGCCGATAGATGCTGACAAGCAAAATCAAAATGCTCGGGTCGGTCGAGACCTTTTTCCTGCCACACCTGATCGTTCAGGGGGATGATGCCCTCCCATAGACGAGACTTGAGGGATTGGATATTTTTTCCGACCATGCAGAGACGGGTGGAATCTCGCTCGGAACCAATTCGGGCCATGACACTGGCCATGATGGGCTCGCCATTGGAGTCCGGTGGAAAGTGTTGGTCATGTTGGATGAAGGTTGCTTCCTCCGTGGACAAGCGCTCGATATTGGGTTGATTGCCATTGGGCAAGGGTTTACCGAATGCAAATTCAAGAAAATGTACAATGGTTTGAGGCTCAAGAATGCGATCGACTTGATCGGCGTTGTCCGGTTAGTACTATTATGGAACACTGAGACCTTGGGGGAATTTAGGGGATCGCGAACCAATTGGTAGGTTCTGAGCTTTGCAATGAGCGATAGTGACCGAAGTGCCTTCAGCTTCAAGATGTGAATACATTTTGAGGAATAAATTAAAGAACAAAAAGAAAACAAAAAGAAAAAAGTCAAAAACAAACAAACCAAAGACGCGATCCCGGACCTTTTTGAAAAGTGGAGAGAAGGTGATTTGAACGCCGCGAAGGCAACTAGGCGTTCTGGTTGGTGAAGTTTCAATTTAGCGCAGGTTTACATAGGTTTACATAGGTTATTGGATCTAAATCTCAATGGGGTTTGGCTTTACTTTTCTTTATTTGACTATTTAATTCTTTAATTAGTTATGTTGTTGTTATAGTATTATCTAGTGTTGCCTGATATATATATCTTACAACAATAACCGGGAATATACGGAAACAGAATTTATATAGCCTGTAAAATCATAATCTTCATTATAAATTAGGTATCAAATCATTATTTAACAAATTATTTCCTGGCTAATAAACCGGAATCCCGAAATAAAACCAAAAAGAAAAGCAAAAGAAGACAAGAAATGCTTTTATACCTGCGCAGGTGTACTTGACCCACTAGCCCTCAGTTTCTCCTCCAAGAGCAACCTCTGACAGAAGGGACTTCTCTCCCGAATCCAAGGACCCCAACGCATCAAAGCAAAAGGAATCGGAATGCAAGCCAGACTAATAAACCCAAGGAGGGAAGTAGCCCACGAAACCCCGAAGGATTCATAGAGCGGTTCAGCGGCCAGTGGGAAAAGTGCTCCAGCAATACTCCGCACAATAACGGAAGCTGCCAGTGCACTAGCAGAGTAGATTTTGTATGCGTCGGTTACATAGGTAAGAAGCGAAATGAAGATGGTCTGGAATCCGAACCCGAAAATAAACCCTGACATCACGGGCGCTGCCCAATGCATCGTGGGCTTTGCTGTCCAGGCGAGCCAGAACATGCTTATTGTTAGACAGGGTCCCGCGATACAGGACATGGGGAGTCGGTGGTACTCTGGGCTAGAGGTCCACACTTTGTTGAGCTTTTTGGCTTTTTCGTAGATCATGTCGTAGTAGAGGGCGACGAACCCAGAAGATGCAGCGCCGACACCAACTGTAATCTGTTAGTTGTGTCTGGGGATATAGAGGAAAAGAGAACGGACTTGGGATGTATGTGAGGGAGGTTTGTTCGACGGTGAAATCATAGACACCTGTCAATGTATTGTTAGTATTGTACACGGATCCATGGCAATTCCAGGAGTATTACCTCCAAAAATGATGGGATAAGCCTGGAAATAGAAGAAGACTAGACTATATGCGATGGCTATATAGAAGGATGTTGAGGTGATGATAGGCTCAAAGAAGAGCATCGTGATGGGACGAGTGATAATCTCCATCGGGGTGAATCTCGAGTCCAGGTTGAGCTCCTGACGCGAGAAGTATCGATTGGACCCCGAATCCTTTCTCAATTTGACAGCTTGTCGCTTCAAGAGTGCCGGGCCAAACGTTTCTATTTTGATTTGAGATTAGTTGATGCCACGATTTGCCGGGGCCAAGTGATAATCATACCAGACGTGAAGAGCAGAGCCAACCAGGTGATACCAGTCAGAATCAGGTCGATCCTAAAAGTCCATCTCCAACCATACTTGACCGAGCATCCAGAGATAATCGGGCCTAGAATAGGACCAAAACTGCAAGCCTAGAATGCATATATCAGTGCTATTCAAACATTCCACCCGTAGAAGTAGGTGATCACAACATACCGACATATACATCGCCATCGCACGACCACGACTTCGCAGATCGAAAAACAGGTCTGCATAAATACCACCAACAACAGTCTGGGGTGCAGCCCCCATAAACCCACAAATAGTTCGAAAGACGAGAAGAGAAGACCAATTTGGCGCGAAGGCACAACCAAGTGTAGCGAGAACAAAAACAGTGAAAGACCAGATGAGAACGGGTTTCCGACCAATAGTTTCACTCAGTGGACTAAATAACAGGGGTCCAACAACATAACCAATGAGAAAGACGGCAGTTGGTAAGACCTTTTGCTGGTCTCCGGACTCGTGGAAGTCCTGCATAATAGCGGGCACTGCATTGCTAGGAAGTGCGGATGATATACCGCTATTGAGGACAATGAATAACCCCACAACCGCATTGTAGAACTTTTTCTTCTATTTGGTTTCAATCTTGTTAGTGAATATTTCTTCATAATACATATAGACCTACGTACAAAGGCCCAGTTTGGGGGGCTTTTTGGTGAGTTCTCTTGAAACTCGACAAGTAGTTCATCTTGAGACAATTCAACTATTCGGTAATCGCCATTTGACCTTGGATTATTCTCCGTCGAAGCAAGGGACCTCTTGTCAGAACTATCATTCTTGTCTAAATGTATGATGTTAGAGCAGACCGTGAAATATCGGTACAGGTTGATCGTACCTGAAGAAAGGATGGCGGCTATCTGAGCCGTTAAAGATTGTTTCGTTTCCGCCATATTGCACCATCTAATGTGGGGTAACTGTTCTAAAAGGGAAGAAGATTGGAAGTATGCTTTTATTTTGATTCTCAAAAGCTCCGGTAGATGAGGACCGAAGCTCTATATAAGTCATATAGAAATAATTCCATTCCCATTACAACCAGCGGAACCCATAGTGAAAACCCTGACAATTCTTTGACTCACTATGCCTAGAACCTGTTTAGTTTTGCGTAATACCTCTATTTACCACGTTGGAGTAGGGAACAAGCCAATAGGAGACTGGTATACTTCGATTATTTTTGCACGGGAATCCGGGGCCGGTACGGGACCGGGGTTTAGGGCAATCCACTCGCGGCGCCGGGCAGGATCCGGACATGGATGGTTGCTCGCGACGCACAAATTGATTGCTATAACTGCCTTGTGAGTGGATATCTAGACCGATGTGACTAAAACACATGTGAATAAAGAAGCATACTGCGATGTGCGTTGCGGCCCAATTTGTTGTTCGTTGAAATAAGTATCAGGATTGATCTACGAGGCTAGAGCTTGGTCCTTACGCGATTTACTCAGTTTGAACAGTGGCATTGGAGTGATATAATACTTCAATAAAAGGTATATTGGGTATGTTAATATTACTGTGGCATCGACGGCATCATAGGTAGGAAATCGAAGATATCGTTCTGCCCCTCCTCAAATAGACCGAAAGAATCTGCAATAGAGTTCGATACAGTCCAGTTGGGTGCTTCCATCGTGCCGGATAGCCGAGATACCGGCGCTCTGGCCACTGCAGATGTGTCACTACTTGGCATTGAGACCATATTTGAATCTTTATCGGCCTGGATGGTCGGGCCAGTTCTGGAGCGGAGATCGTCGAGGGGACCCACCCCTGATGGAGGCGGGCCGTTGATCATGGGGTTGTTCGATCCCTCAAATGCTGGGCCCTCATTTTGACCAGGCATGATGGGTACATCTGCACTATGACTGCTCTGCGGACGCTGGCTGGCAATCAAAGCGCGTGCATAGTTCACGAAGATGGAGACAGTCCGATGGATGTCGGGATATGGGGGCTGTTTGAGGAAATCACAGATCTTCTCTGCTCTTTCAAGTAGAAGACTTTGATTGATCAGATTCGGACGCCATCTCGCGATACGAAGAGCGAATGTTGCTATGGCTGTATTAGCAAATTGTATGTAGCTGATTGAGGAAATGATCAACTTACTGACAAAAGCGATTGTGAGAGCTGGATACGTTGGCGCCCAAGGCAATTGACAGCGATAGGATGGTTCATTGATCAAAAAGCCTAATTGCTCCATGATGTTCGTCACAAGGGACTGCCACAAGTTCATCACATTCTGGTCGAGCGTTTCGGAGCCTGAATCCGTGTACGTTGGTTGTAATTTTTGAATCCTTGCCAGCGAGGCACAGAAAACAAAAATCCTAGCATAGTGAAGCATAAGCTTGAGGCTACTGCGTTGAAAGGCCCCTATGTGGAAACTGTTGTCTTCGAGTTTTGTTCAAGTCAGAATTCATCCGGATTGTGGGTGCATTCAAAGCAAGGAAAGGCCTACTTTCATGGATCTCGTCCCACGTCGTCCACCAGTTTTGCAATCTTGTCATAATGGCCGGTAGTTCTGTAGACACAATATCACCAATATTTGAAGTGTTATCAATAATCACACGAGAATTCCCTGCCACGTGTTAGCCATTTGACAGACAAATTGCATCTGCAGCTTTGTTCGCATTACCTCGAAGTTGATGAAGCTCAATAATACACACAGTGCGCATATCACAGGGCAGGGAGAGTGGATAGTCAAGGAATTTGCGCAGCTTTACCACATCGACCTCGGCAATGCGTGATTTGCGTCCCGTGCCAGAGGCGACGTCCAACTCCAATATGAAGGTGATTAACCAGGTTCTTGTCTTCCATACTAGTTCACGTTCAGCCATAGAAGCCGAGAGCGAACTCCGGGGTACGTTTTCTTGGGACAACAGAGTGTCCAAAGATTTCTCTAATCCAGAATCCAAAGCGGTGCGAAGAATGAGAGCAATAGAGAACCATGTCTTTTCGGAGTACGCAGCTAGGAGAATCATTCCTTGGACTGTTTCTAGTTTGGTGGGCCGCTCGAAGAAGCTGTCTTCGGCCAAACGTTGTGCCTCATCTTGTAGCACACGCTGCATATGCGTGTCTCCGCGCAAATCCGTCACTGCACGACTAGCCAGATAGATAATCACCGTAAAGCAAAACAAGGACCTTGAACGGACAGAGTCGAATGTGTCTCTGATCGGATCAAAAATAGGGAGAAAGTTCTTCGACCCACCCGTAAACCTGTAGCAGAGGAGTTAGATTTGATTGAGTAGTTTCGTTTAGTTGTTAGTGCCATACCTCTCATACATGACACGAGCAAGCTCCTCACTAACGATTCCTCTAGCGATGACATCTCCTCTGGGATCGCCCTTAGCTGAGTTTTCCATAAATATCTTGCTCTGTTAGATGTATGCCCGATTCCGTAAGTGGTCTGACTGTGACTCACATCATTAGTGCCTAACAGGTTCACCGACATAGAGTGTACCGCTGACGCAGGTGCGATCATTTCATTAGGGCTGAGCTGCTGAGAGTCCGGTCCATTCGCCTCAGACGTATAAGACCGTTGGAGGCTACTTAATCCAGTAGAATCGGGCAAAGAATCAATCGGAGTGTCAAAGCCACCATCTTGCACGGTGGCAGGTGAGAACCCCTGATCTCTTGAGGCCGGAGTGTGATATCCAGTCCTAGGATCCAGCGGTGAAGCAGTGTTTTGATTTCTGTGACAGTATATTAGCTCGCGGCCTTAATATGCAAGATCGATATTTCAGTTGTCACCTTGCGGGGGTGGTTGTTTTCCGCCGACGATCGCTGCGAAGCGATCGTCGGCCATCATCGATCGGATCCAAAATGCAGTCCCGGCCTGTAGAGCGACAGCGGAAGCAAGGGACTTGGCTACGGGCATCACAACGCATCTTTTGCCTTCTGCACCATCGACATGCTTTAAAGAAGCGTATCGGGACATTTTCAGCCCGGTAGACAATTTCCGACCCTCTTTCACTCATGATAGCCGTTTCTTCTTGAGATTCTAACAACACCACGCCGGATAACTAAGCCCACTAGTAACAGAAGCAAAGATCTGCCGAAGTGTATCGATCGAAGACTGTGGCTTAGTCCTAATGCATGTACTGCCTGTTGGGGATATGTTTGCCGGTTAACAGAAAATCCGGTCACGTGTCCGGTTAACTGTTCTATTTTAGGAAGGTCAACAACAACGCTTCGTGTTGCAGATGGAAGAAGAAATTATTCCATTTTTTTTTCCCAGAACTGCAGCTCATTAATTTGCACGTCATTTCAAAACACAAAAGAAGGTCTTCCCCACCTCAAGAAGAGACTGATGGATCCCTGAGTACTGGGAGTTCACAAGGCCTTTTATGGCGCACAGCCACTCCCAGAAATACGGTCCGTCATTCGCATTCATGGGAGATACATATGACGAGGAGCTGGAAACCGAGAGGCAATTTTGGTACGACACACCGTTTGGGGTTTGACGCACCATCGGAGTGTATAGATACATCAGAATGTCTGGTTTTACATGGAGCAGTCCTCTGTGCGGTTTACACTGTTTACTGCCTTCGTATACATCTAAAAAGAAACATGAATAAATACATTGAAGTGTTCCGACATATAACATCCCTAATATCATGCTAAACCAAACGAACCGGGTCTATATTCTTATATCATCAAGGACAGAGGCCGGATAATCGGCCAAATATTCTTGCCCTGGGATATTGGGTCAAAAATGTAGTATCAAAGTTGCAATATCAATCCTCCATTACGCAACCAATGCCAAAAGCATTTTCGAGTGAGAACTACCCCCCCCTGTATCTACTGTCGTACGCCTTTTGATATTCCAGACTCGACAGCCTTGATCTGAAGTGCCAAAAACTTGGAGTAGATCCGACACAAGGCGAGGTTTCCGCCGAAGTACCAGAAGCCCGGATGACCACTGGGACGCCACATCTGAACGGTTTAATTAGCATGTATTTAGGGAAGATCACAGGTGACAGTCTAGAGATGAGTAAATAGCGGCTTACAGCTTGAACCTCTCCTTCTGCATCCAGGTCCCAAACGTCAGAACACCGATCCGCAACCTTGTCGCCCAAGACCTTCCTTACTGTCGTGCGCATATTATCGTATCCAGTGGCAAGGACAACAACATCCGCTGACAGGGAATCACCATTGGCCAAAAGCAGCTCGCGATTTCCAAAGCCATTGATACCACCCGGGTTGTGATTGATCTTGATCTTGCCATCGATGATAAGCTGGCTACACCCGACGTCGATATAATAACCCCCGCCACGGGTAAAATATGCGCGACTGATACCAGCCCCATCTGGCCCGAAATCAAGTTCGAAGCCAGCCCGACGGAGTCCGTCTAGGGTCTCCTTTTCGGCGTCGGCAATTTTCTTCGTCGTGTGCACACTCAATGCGAGTTGAACAGGCCAGGGGAGACTCTCGCAGGCGATATCACATTCTTCAGTCGGTGGACTACAGTGTTGTTAATATGACGTGAATCTGGGAGATGTGAGTATAAGAAAACGTACCCGCCATCCTCGTGCATTCCACTGTGCATCATAAAGACACCTTTGTCGGCAGTTATAACATATGTCCCGCTGCGCTGCAGCATAGTGACATCTGCGCCGTTCTCATAATAGTTCTGTGCGATATCATGACCGCTATTACCAGTCCCGACGACGACAACTTTCTTACCACGCACATCACTTTCCGACGCATCGCGGTGCTGGCTGCCATGGTACACCTTGCCCTGGAAAGATTCTTGTCCGGGGAAGGAGGGAATCTTCGCTTCACCTGAGTGTCCTGTGCACCATACAAGATGACGAGGCCGGATTTTGCGTTGAGACCCATCGCCGCGAGCGAGGACAACCGTCCACTGGTCTGCACCTTCGTCGTACTCTGCTGAGACGACTGACGTCTGCATCCAGATATTCAACTCCATAATGCTGGCGTATGCTTCAAACCAGTCACCTAGCTTGTCTTTCGGTGTAAACTGTGGCCAGTTCTGTGGGAAGGGCAGATAAGCCATGTGTGTGAATTCGGCTGGATCGTGCGTGACAAGTGTCTGCATCGCGATAAATCAGCATCTCTCTCCATCAATTAAATCAAGTTCCTTATTTACCCGGTACCGATTACGCCAGTTGTCTCCAATGCGCTCACTCTTGTCGACAATCAAGCACGACACCCTGAGGCTCTGCAAACGCGCACCCATGTTCAATCCAGCCTGTCCTATTGTCCGTTAGCATTCAATTATAGATAGTCATCTTCACAGAGAAATTCCTTACCAGCCCCAACAACCAAGGTAGTAGGCTCCTCGTCCAAAAATACTTTCTGTCGATTCCTACGCTCAATCCAGGTGCCCCCAGCCAGACCACCAGGCATCGACTCTGTCGTCCCCTCAGCCCGACGCTTCCCGAGTGGCTCCTGAGCCGAGTTGAGTTGCTGCAACGACGTGTACATGGCGTAAGCCTTCCAAATTCCATCCTCCGCCTGAGTCAGACGCAACATGCCCGTTCCAGTTCCAACGGCAGTCTCGAAGAAGAACATGGAAGACATCCAGCTCAATCCGTCAACGACCCGCTCCAGGCGTGGCTGAAATTTACCCTTATCTTGGAGTCGGAACTTGGTCAGTTGTGCACTAGCCTGTTGTTTGCTCAGGAAGCTTTGAATCTCGGCGGCTGAGTGTACGGTGCGCATGTCCCAGTCCAGCGCCAGCATGTCGCGCCACCAGGATTCAGCGTGGAATAGCTCCTTGATGTTCAAGTTCTCTGAACGGGAGAGCTGGACTTCGAGACCCGAGAGCCATTGCTGGACGATGCTTTTCGGGTCGGAGGGTACGTCGGAGGGTGTCTTGGGCAGTTGGATAATGTGTGGATTTCCACCGGTTAATGTTGTTGCCATCCTGAGGGTGGCTCACTGGATTTGCTTAGTTGCCAACTTGAACAGGCGTTATAAGGGTATGTTTTGAGCAGCGACACCGAGATATACTTTCTGCTTCAATTGTAGACCATTGTATGAACCCTTATTGACAGTTCTTATATCCTCTGTCTTCCCCCTATTGCCATTTTGCCGGGTAAGCCCATCTCAGGCAACTGAGCCGAGTTCCACGGTGTGCCTCCGAGCGAGGGGCATCTGGGAAACGTGGAGTACAATGCAATGTTCATGTGGAGTTTAACGTCAGTCATCCCGGCCTCCTCCCCGAGATTATGGGGAGATCGGAATGATATCCCCCGAGCTGACCCTTTCGAGGCAGGTTTGCCGAGCAGATCGGCCCTAACAGGAAACACTGGCGATCGGTTCTAGAAATTTGCCAAATTTGGAATCTGCAGGCTCGGCACATTTACTCTTTTGTAAATATATTTTGGAACCCTTCATGTTTCATGCTTCAATTGGAAGAAGCACCTATATAGTCCTATTCTCTACCATTCTGACTCAATTCTGTTATTCGAATTCTCATTGAACTTTGATTGAATTGATAGAGTTAAATACCCTATCATCTATAAGTGATAAGAGTGCTTCGGTTTAAAACTTGCTTGCTAGATAGAATATCTAGGAATAGTTCTGCTTTAAGGAAGCCTCGAGTATCTCGTAGAGCATGACTATTACCTTTCCTATCGGCGCCATTATATATACGAACTACACTATAGATATATATCCGGAGGTAAGCTGAGGGCGAGACTCCTAGTATATTGGTACTCTTTGTTGATATTAGTTTTACATATATCCCACTCTCAGCCAATGTCGCACATTTTCAAATTTATATTTACTCCGAGGTTACTTATAGTAAACGACGGAGTAAATGATACAAAATCACCCGCATTTCGTTCATACATGCCCTACCACAGAGCGCTCAACAGAGGATCTATCTTATCCTCACCTCCCTTCTTTTCACTCGGGGCTTTAGTCACCGCTCCTCAAACCTGAAAATGGATGATCCAAACCAGGACTCTTCGAAATACACTTGCAACAGTGCCAGCTGTTTGGGAAATTACAGTACCATTTATGTGGGCTTGACTGTCGGTGCCGTGCTTGATTCAGCAATTTTGCGGGGGAAACTCACCGAGTTGGTTGGATTATGGCCAATACTTGGCGGTGATTTGATCAAAGATGTGAGTTCATTTTAACGCTACTACGGCTTGCTTATATTCCTTCTAGACAAAACCATGGTCCTTTACTTGTGGTTCTACTGTCGATTACGCCAGTAGGGATATTGACCAGTCACTGGCTACCTATCTTCCAATTCGTCACGAGCAAAATAGTCATAAGCCAAAAATCTTGGAAAGCCCGGAAATATCCGCAGTTGATGAGAAATTCATATTCGACGTCCCTCCCAATCTCACAAACAGTTTCCGTCTTCGTGTTACTCTCCTACAAGATGCTACCTTGCTCTGCTTTGGAATCACGCACTATATCTCTGACGGCAATGATTGCTGGGTAGTGGTTAAAGCATTCTGTGACCTACTATCTAATAAGCCAATTCCTTTGTTTGCTCTTCCACCTGACGCCGGAAATATTCGCATGTCTGACCTGATGAAAGTCAAAAATGAGTGCACTGAAACCGAATCCAATTTCCACTACCAGACGCATGCGCAGAATTTCGAAAGTGGGATATTTAAGCTGGCAGTGACTGTGTGGCGTATGCTGCTGACGCTCCTTGCTGTGAAGTTTGGATTCCTTGAGGAGCTTACGACCAAGTTTATCTACATTCCAGGCACATGGGTCGACGAATTACGAAGCAAATCACAGGGGGAGTCGAAAGACTGTTCCCCCAACATTCAACTCACACGAAACGATGTTATCGCTGCATGGTATCTGAAATCCGTCTATTCCCATCAACCTACAGCTACGTTTGATCCAGTGGACTATATTGGGATTATCAATTTCCGTCGCTTTCTTCAGCCCCCAAAGGCCGGAACATACTACATTCGCTGTAGTGTTGGTGCCCTCCGGTGTAAATTCTCTGTACAACAGCTGAAAGAACAGTCAGTTGCTGAAATTGCTCGGAATATACGCCTCACAACACAGCAATATACATCTACCGGATCTGTCCACCAGAGTCTTCGGTTCTCGGAAGATCATACATCCAAGACCCTCAAACTAGCTGTGCGTGGCACTGGAAAACTAAGGTTTGCTGTGGTATCCCACTGGACAACATTCGATTATACGGGTCTGGATTTCTCTGGCGTCAGTCGGAATGGTCGAAAAGCGTCAGTCATATTTGTCAATCCTATGATTGTAGACGCATGGAACCTCAAGATGATAGCACCTGTTGCTGTTGTCACGAAGAATGGGTCTGGAGGCTACTGGATTCGCGCTGCGAATACATCCACTGGCTGGGCTCGGTTCAGCGAATCTAACAATGTGGAAAGTCCATTCCGTACACAATGATTGGAGTTTGGCCTTCTCGGTTCACTTTCATAGTTCAACTATCCAAATGCTCACAATGCTCCAAATGAGAAGTCTGTTAGTGATGCATTATATTGCAACCTCGTTCAACAGCCCAGCCGGGCTAGCTCAATCGGTAGAGCGTAAGACTCTTAATCTTAAGGCTGCGGGTTCGACCCCCGCGTTCGGCTATTCCTAAAAACCAAACCTGAGATTTTCTTTTTTCTTTTTTCATTTCATCTTAAGATGAAATACAGACATCGACAGTTTTCTAGTTCGATCTTAGGGCGTTGGTCTATAAAAATATCTACATACACACTTCAGATTTCTGGTTAGAACATAATTAACATTTGTTGTTAGTCTATTTCAATAAATACCATTGAGCAGCTCTTGGATCACCAAAATATAAATATAAAAGAAAAGAGAAAGATATAGCACACAGACAGTAAATATCTACCCATACGTACTACTAGAGACATGAAATAATCTCTACTCACCAGGGAACCAAGGCTCAACCCCAAGTTTAATGATATAAACCCCATGAACAATCGACTCGGGTGACACATCAAGCATCCACCTCCAGAGATCCTCTAGGGCATCTTGATCACGCTTCTTCTCCTTGTGATTAACAGCAAAGAGCTTATACGTATCAAGGCTGTTAGGCGCCTGAATCCACATTATACGGACTGGCGAAGGGGGAACATCTAACGTGCGCGAAGTATTTCCTTGGATTTCAAAACTCGTAGCAAACTGTCTCCACTGTGGACGCCACAACTCAAATGTATCTTTCCAATCCGGATCAATACCACTATCTGCAAGAAGAGCGCACATGCTCCAGACCAAGTGGCTTGCACCCACATACTTCTCGAGGTAGCCGACAAGACCGGGCTGAACCCCGTTTTCGCGGTGCAGCTGGAAACGGAACTGGTTAAGGCTGGTTCCAGGTGCAGCATCCGGGGATATACAAAGGAGATTGCCAGGTGGGGAGCCAGTTCGCTGCAATTGACGGAAAATATCATCCTCGGGCTCGAAGGCTTCTGCTGCCTCGAGTGGGAAGCGTTGAGCCTGCTTTTGACCCTTTTCATGCTTCCGAGGCCCCATAATTGCAAGCTCGTCTGGATCTACTTCGTTATTGAGAATTTTTAGGCAGTATGAGAAGAGAGCTGGCGTCCTGGTTAGTCAAAAGTGAACGTTGATGAGATATAATATTCGAGGTGATTAGGACGGTTTATATATCCATCAGGGACTATTCACTTTGACATGTTGAGTGTCTATACTGTATTTGATCTCAAAGATGCTCTTTGTCGTCTTTGTATCTATCAGAAAAAAGCAAACTTGCATCCCAAGCGCACAATGCCTTTGCTTTGTATGCAAGGCATGTTCCTCTTTGTTTGGACCAATAAAGTATACCAAGTCTTATGAGATAACACAAAGAGACTCTTTTTATCTCGCTAGCTTCGTTTATAGCTGGTGGTGAAGTTGTCAAAACAGAGAGGGTGCTCCTGCTGGCTCTAATAGGGATTGGGTCTGGGACCATAGAAATCCTCAGGTTTTCTGCTTTAACCGACTCAAAGTACATTTAGTTCCTGAGGAATTACAAAACAAGGTCACAAAAATTAGACTAGAAGGGGAAGTCATGCTAGAAATTCACACATTAGGCGCATCTGACCGTGTGGATGAAATGCATTGCAAGGAAGATATTGCCACAATCCATTCCATACACTCGCAGTATGAGGCCTTCAAGTGTCCGTTTCGTAGACCGCGCATGACCGATTTTCCAGTGAGAGTGCCGAGTACGGAGTATACGGAACAGACTCATATTACAGGCAAGGAAATAAACATACAAACATGGATTTTCGAAATAAAATATGGAACAAGAACCTATGTACACCGGAAATCCCACGGCCTGACACGCCACCACGCTACCGAGGGTAATTAAACACATACACATGTAGTCCTAAGCGGATAAAAAAAAAAAAAGAAAAGAAACAATTACTGGGTCCGTCGGGCCATGAAGTAGGTCAGGAGGTTAAGGGATCCTTCACGAGGAGGCTGGGTGACTTTTTGCACTCGCTCGGATCCAAAGGTGATGTTCAAGAATGTGCAGAGTTCAGTGGCGTTCTTCCTGACACCGGGACGCGGGTGTCCAAGCTGTTGCATCACCACAGCACCAATGCGAGCCAGGAGCTCATCATCGATGTCAACACAGGGGCGCGATAGCGACTGCTGGATAGTACTCAAGCTCATGATAGTGGACCGGTACGTCTCATCATTCTCTGCGTCTGCTCCAAGATCCAATCCCTGCAGAACACCAACGATCGCCGTCTGGGGCAAGGTCAAAAACACCAGTTTATCTACCACTTCCTCTAGGCAAGTGACAAAGTGGGAAGTGGACTCGTAGTGGCGACGGGCACGGATAATAGCTGCCATAGCACGAGTGTCATAGGGGTGGAAATGCTCGCGGGTCCGTAGGAGCATGGAGCGGATAGTGGCCAAAACCTGGGTTTTCACGTCATGATCCTTGCGGTTGGAAGGGGTCGCTTCCAGTTCCGCAAATAGAGCTTCCAGCAATGCATTGTAGTCCTGGCTTTGGGACACAATCTCATCGCCGTGGTATTGGATGAGTCCCTGTAGCTTCCGATATCCCGAGGGCTCCATGGTTCTCGAGATAATACGAGCGAGGCCTTTATGGATCATTTCCTTAGCATTGGCCGGGTCCTTCGAACGTGGGCTAGGGCTGCGGTGACGATCAACCCACTTTCGGGTGCGTCGGGTGGAATCTTCAGACATTGTTGATTGGGACAACGTCGACTGGGAGAGTGATGGAGGTATCGACTCAGCTGATCTCTGTCTCGCTTCTGGCGAACGCGGTGTAGGTTCGTTTGCCGTCACTTCTTCGAGGGCACTCGGCTTAGCTGCAGACCGCGGGACCGCGGGCAAGTCTACAGTCTTGGCCAGGTGTGGAGTCGCATTCTCATTGTTGCCATCGGTCCTGTTCGTTCCCACATGATGCTCTTGGGGAAGCACAGCCTCAATACCCATAATATTAGAAGCCGCTGGCTGGACACGGCCCCTCGTTGGTGACGGGCTTGGTTGAAGCGGCGCCCGGCGTGTTGGAGATGGAGTTCGAACCTCAAAGTTCATACCAGATTCCTGCCTAGGGGCCAAATCAGGCGTAGGCATCCTAGCTGGGGCGACTACCGGGACTGAGGTATCCTCCGCGATGGGTTGAGCCTCTGCTGCTTCGCCTTGTTCGGGTTGATCAGGGCGGCTGGGGGACGACTTTCCAGGGGTAAAATGTCCCACCGAAGCGGCGTAGTCAGGAGTCTCATGTCTGTCTGCAGTGGGCGTGGTAGGATCTTCGTAGATCACCATTGACTCAGGCTGGGCTTTCACAGCAGATACAGGGCCAGAACCGAAGTCCAGATCTGAATGCTGGTGAGCAGGAGACACGGGTGCGGGAGATACCGCAAAATTTGGTTCGGGGACATGAGGTGGAGGTGCGGCAACAACAGGTTCCTCCAGTATCATCGGTTCTGGTTCTTCAACAGGGACTGAATCGGCGTGAGGGCCATGCGGTGCTGCGTACAGAAGAGGCTGTGATGCATTGAGGGGAGGACTTTCCAACGCGACGGATGCGGGGGAACGTTGATCCTCGGATGCACTGAGGTAACTTTCCTGACGGGGGGTTCTTGCAGATGGTTGATTTGCCAGACTTTCGTTCGAGTCGCTGCGAGCACGACTCGCGGCCATAAGATCATTGTGAGACTTGGACTTGGACAAATCGAGTTTCTTCGGTCTGCCCTTTGTTGTAGCAGCTTGTGCCGATTCATGTGGGCGCGTGCGAGGCGCCGTTAGGGGAACCTTTGATGTAGGTGTTGATGGTTTAGACCTCACAGCCCTTGGGGAAGTGGTTGATTGCCGGGTAGATTGGGTAGAATTGGCACTACTAGTCTGGGCTCGTGAATCAGGGCGACGAGCATAGGGGTCTGCAGTTGCAGGACGACTGATTTCTGCCCGTCTAGGCTTCATGGCGGGTCTCATAGGCGCAGAAGATAGAGACGAGAGTGGAGCCCCAGTTGGGACACTCCGAGTGGACTTGGAGGGAGGGGCAGGTGGCTTCGCCTCAGCAAAGGTTGGCTGAGCCGACTCGGGTCTAGAAGGCATCTGGGCCTTCTTCCGAGCAGCAATAGCTTCTTGTAAAGCGGAGCGGCTCTTAGCGGGGCTCTTTGCAGGCAATGAAGGTGCACCTTTCGAAGGGGGTTGGGGTTCGATGAATCCTTTTCCAGCAAGTTCCGCGACTTGTGGTCGAGGGTGTCTGCTATCACATTGGCTCGTTCCGGCCACACACTATAGAACGTCCAAAAGGTGCTCCGCATTGCTTCACGCACACCAGGGTTCGCATCCCCCAATCCTTTCGTAATTGACTTCTCGATGAGATCAAGGCCACCGCCATGTTCGACGGCGCTTTTATGATGAGCTTGGCGGATGATCAAAATCTTTAGCCACCCCGTGGCGAACAGACGCACTCCAACATTTTTATCCTGTGCTGCGAAAGAGATATGCTGCAGGAGGCGAATGCTAAATGAAACATTTTGAATGACGACTTCAACGGTGGCATTTCCGTTTTGGGCGGCAATCTTTTTCAACGCCGAGCAAAGCTTCAACAGGTTCTGCATAATAATCTCGACCACTGAGTCAATTCTAGGGCCACATGTTCGGACAATATCTTGGATTAAAAGACTGCCGTTGCTAGACATTGTGGTTCGTAGAGAGTTGAGAACCTTCAAGATACCATCAAGGAGTGTCTTTACTGCATTGATATAGGTCTGGGAGAAGTCGTGTGGCGCATTTCCTCGAGTCAGTCTGCGGAAAAGAATCACATTCTTTTCACGCTTTGACCAATTGTCCTCGGATTCCTTTCCTTCGAACCAGGGGAGCATATCGCGCACAAGATCATCGACATCCCTCGCCGAGGCAACATCGAACGGTTCCAGACCATCATCATCTGGCAACGGTTGCTGTGGTGCTGGCGTCGGGGCCGGTGTGCGGGGTCGGTTAACAATTGGTGGCTCTGTAGGTGCGGAGGAGGCTGTCGGTCGCTCACGATGCGCTCTGGATGCTGGACGGCTCTTTACAGGCTCCATCTCTGCAGGTAAGTTAGTACAACCAGCGGAAATCTCCAAAGATATAAATAGAATGAAGCCACTAACCATCATCAGTCTGTTCCATAGCATGTGAACGTGACGACATCACCGAAATCGAGCGTTCAGCCCGAGACATTGGACGCGTAGAGGATGCAGTGTCGGGTTCAACGGATCCTAAACCAATGCCCGTGAGGACAGCATTTGCGATGGATTTCCTCACACCGCGTGTCGCCATTTGCTTTTGCAGGTCGGACTTCGCTCTTGCAGGGCCGTTTCTGAATTTGGTTAGAGGCATTCAATGAATATAATCGTTAGAGGGATCTCACCGGAACAGATCGATCACAACCAACTTCGCCGTATCTCGAACGGCGCTATCGGCGTCCTCTAAGCAAGAAACCAGGGATGGGACATATTGACGGAACAACAAACCATGGTTCTTCGTCATCTGCAGGTCGAGATTAGTAGCTGAGACAATCCTTGCAGGGTGCATAAGCCTACATTTGCCAACCAAAGCATGCCCATTTCTTTCGCTCTGTGATTTTTCCCAACCAGTGCAACTTCCAGAACATGATATTCGACTTCGTTACCTGCAAATGGCCACAATTCAGTGAATATCGATGCGGCCTGGGCTCTTATACGTTCTTTGGGGTCATTGAGACGATCGAGGAGAATAGGATACAAGCCTTGAGCGTGGTGGACAATCCATTGCTCCTGGTCTTGGATTGCAAGGCGCTTCAAGAGATGGCCAAGTGTGGAGAACCCCGCCCCGAGAACAGAGTAGTGTTGGGAGCTGATGGCGAGGCGCAATGTTTCGAAAATGGTACGAATCGCTCCCTCGGGGACATTTTTTTGTTTGATATCGGACTTGACGCTAGATAGGTAGGCGATCTTTGAATCAACAGACAAGTTGGGGTTCTTGAAGGCCGCCAGTAGCTCCGCTGCCTTCGCCTCCATTGTCAACACCGAGAGATCGATATCAACTCGGGTCAGACACCGAAGGGAATGGACAGAAGAATGAGAGGGTATGTAATGGACGATCCAGGGGAATCAAAATGCGACAAGGCCAATGGCGGATATGAGAACAGACTCGGATTTCGATTTGGTCACTAGCCAGGATGAAAGTTAGCAGCAGATTCTACCAGCGCAAGAGAGCAATAGCTAGCAAAAGCAGAGAAATTGAGATAAAGGTAAAGATAAAGAAAAAGAAAAAAGATAGCATGGACGCGTGTGGGTAGTGAGAGTGTCAAATAAATAGTTATGGTAAGGGATCGTCGCAAAAGGGCATAGGATATCGGGAATAGATGAATGACGAGAAGCATCGTGAAGGGTTCAGAGACAGAATAGAAGGATCATAACGTACAGAATCCGATAAGGTATCGACAAAGACAAGTATGAGGAAGAGAGCAAAGTTGACCTCGATATGGTGGGGATGTTGAAAAGCGGATGGAGTGAAAACAAGGGGCGATAAGCGCGTGACGATAAGCGCGAGGGATGTAGAGGGATATTAAAAGGGGGATTGTTGCCCTTTGGTTTTTATTGGGAAGTTGCTACCTACCTACCTATGTTGTAGTATATATCCTCTATGTACCGAGGTTGTTACCTATCTATTCCTATCTACACCTGTCTAATATGGTGAAGTTGTGCCCGAAGCACACATATTAAGAGCCCAATATTGGTTTGTTTATTAACTGGGGATCACTCGTCGCAATGGGCAACCAACAGCGTCATGTTTACAATATCTCAATGTCCATCCATGGATATTTGGTAGTAACTACCTAGGTACTTCCTAAGTAGAAATACCTGAATTGGAATTTTTTCCTTATTACGGTCTACAAGCAGGGTGCAAAAATAGCAATCAAAGCCATACTATATTGTAGTAACATAGACGACTACAAGATGTTCACTGCATTGGTCCAACACGCGTTAAGGATCAATATAAGGCTCAATTGACATGCAATTGATTACATCTTACTCCATACTTATTTTTTCACTCCAATCAATGTGAATCAAAGCGTCCTAGCACCCCGCGAGATCGCCAAAGTGGAGCATGACACCTCTTAAGGATCACCGGCGCCGACAAAGTGCGTATTTGATAAACTGCAGCTTTCAAGTTTACCCCGAGAGGTGGTTTATCATACAAGATAGGTACCTAGGTTTAGGTAGGATATATCATGCCTCGGGCGAATGTCGATCTAGTCAGCGTAACGTTGACTCTTAGAACCCCCCGCCTTCAGCAAACCTAGACTTTCGTACACCCCAGACAAATATAGCCAGTCGAAGAACTCCAATAAAATATCTGCTCCTAGTCAGTCGCTATTAATTAAACCAGATACACTATGACGAGCTCCGCCCCCACACCTCATCCCTCCGCAATTCCCAAAGGCAACACTCAAGAGCAAGAGCCACACACTTCGAGCAAAGAAGAAAAGCGAACAAACTTGGTATCCAATCTCACCTCACCAATCCCTCAGCCAAAGCTGCGTCTTCACGTGGAAGACCTACGCCATCCAGCCTCAAGTGCCTTCCTCACCTTGATCCCAGACCTCGCATCAACACTCGACAAGGCTCTAGCAAACATCATAAAATACCTCTATACTTCACCCGCAAAGTCCGAGAACCCCAACCGACCCGCTTTCACACCCAGCATCCCGCCAACAAGATCTGTAACAGTCTTCCTCCGCGATTACAGCGGGGTAGCCTATACAACAGGCACAGAGCTCGACGACGCGCACAAGGAAATCCACGTATCGCTCCCGTTCATCCAGCACTGTACATCCGGTCCATCTGCGAAGGATGACCCACTCCATGAGCTAGTCGGGGTTTTGACCCACGAGCTTGTGCATTGCTATCAACACACCGCGCCGCCTAGTTCCCACGAAAATGGTAACGGGGGAATTCCCCGTCCGCCGGGTGGACTAATCGAGGGCGTAGCTGACTTCGTGAGGCTCAAGGCTGGTTTGGAGCCGCCGCACTGGAAACGTCCCCTGTCTGCGGCGGAGAGGCCGCCGAAGTGGGATATGGGGTATCAGCATACGGCCTATTTCCTGGAGTGGCTGGAGGATGTTAGGTATGGGAGGGGTGCTGTGGGGATGCTGAATGATCGGCTTTTGAGAGTTGGGTATGTTGGCGAAGGGGAGAAGAAGGATGTGGACCAACAGAGTATTGGATTCTGGGAGGGTCTTTTCGGGATTGGGATTGGGGAGTTGTGGGAAGAGTATGGGCAGTATCTGGACAGTCTTACGAAGGAAGGTTTCGGGAGGGGCAGTGGGAACTGAGGAGATGAGATTCTTAACCCGGAGTGAGAATGGATGTAAAGCCCATATGAATAGGCATTTGTAAGTCCATTTGTTCAACTGGATATATACAACCAGCAGGACCAAAGGACTCAAAAGGACCAGAAAGCTTCCATTAATATTGATTTTGTATGCATTCAATAGATATCCGAGAGCAGCTCTATGTTTGGATCGCAGGGCCAAAACGAAGGCCATGACAGGCCTAGTTTTGCCCGATGTCTAACTGGAGAAGAGTAAAACAGCAGAGAGAGAAAACAATAAGGGAAATTTCGAAAAAAAAGACACCAGGTGAATCGAAGGGATTGGAATTCCCATAATGTACAGGATCCAGTCATGCAGGAGACAGGATAGATGACTCTTTTTACCGCCGGCCAGCTTCCCATGCGAAAGAATAGCACACCGGAAAAAGAAAAGCGAGATGACAAAAAAAAAGGGACATGAAATAATATGTTACCGTGCCTTGAACCAAGGCATCCCATTGCACCGAATATCTTAAACAATGACCTCGCCCAGGTCAACGTGGACCGGTTTCCACGGTATGGCCGATGGCTCCTCCATCGCACTAGGAACGCGCACAGAAAGCGGGCTGTAGAGGTACCAACCCTTAAGCGCGGCAACAGCAGCACGCTCGCGGCCCTCCATCAGACTGGCGCCAGCGCCCTCCCCAAGCTTGTCCTGTCCAGAGAAGATACCAACAACAAATACGGGGTGTCTGCTCTTACGGCCAGTTTCACTGATGACCTTGGCGACTGGACGCTCGAAGCTCTCGCGAGCGCACAAACGAGTCAAATCACGGGCTGGCGCCTGGAAGTTGAACAATTCTGAGATGTTGAGGTGTCGTGAAAGGAAGTGTTGCTCGAAGAATCGCTTGGCAGCGGCGCGGCCAGCGTGCAGGTAGATGGCGCCCATAACAGATCGGACGAACTCAGCGCTCGCTTGCTCGGTGGTGACACCTGCCGCAGATGGCTTGATCCCCTTGAGTGGGTCACCAAATTCATCATCATAGAAAATCTTAGAAGTGACCGTTTTCCTCCAATTCTTCTGTGCTTCATATGGGCGTGCTGTCGGGTGCGTCGGGCCCGAGGGAAGCTCGGTGCCAGGCTCAAGCCTTTGGAACTGCAACAGACCGGGATCAACCTCTCCACCGGGCAAGGCGGCCAAATCCACACCCCATTCTCGTGCCATTGCGGCAAGGGTCTTGGGCCCAGCGTATGCGTACATGGCGGCAAAGATCACGGTCAAGGGCAGACGAGGGTAGGTGCAAATAAGGTGCTCGGTTGCGTAGTAGGAAAGGAGGTCGTGACCGAGAGTGGCCAGCGAGGCATTGTTGAAATTCGGATTCGGGTCTGCTGATGCATCGACTAGTGTCCGTGCAAGTGTCTCGATAGGTAATCTGGAAGGTAGGTAGAGTCGAGCGTGGAGAGCGGCAAGTTTTGCAGATTGTCGAGCTGCTTCGACTGGGGGAGAGGGATATTGGAGCTGCGAGGGGCGGGTGTGGGAGTCCTTGACAATCTGAGCCAATTGCTCATCCAAAGGTGCTGATTCCTCAAAAATCGCTGTTGTCTGATCATCACGGGCTTGGGCCGGGGGAGCGGTCGATTGATACCGTTGCCCGTAGATGTGTTGATGCAGACGGTTAACAGTCCGAGCCCGCGGCGAAAGGACTGAACTGCTCCATCTTTGGAGTTGCAGTCTCTTCATTTGGGCGATTGTGGTATTCTGAGGGCCGTAAAAAGATTATACAATGGACGGAAGGAAGATTCGCGACGCAATTAATTAGCATACCAACAACGAGAGAGAAGAGAAATTGTCGCGGCAGTCACGGGATGGCCAAGTCGTGTGAGGTTGCGCTAAACCCAATGAATCCCTAGCGCCTTGGCATCAGACCTGCGACCGAGACGGCCCTTTCGGCTTCCACCTCCAGAACTACCAGCCCTACGCTCGCTTTATTTCCCTAACAAACCCTTCAATTGCATCTTCGTCACAATGGGTGGAGGTGGAAAGATCCCGTATGTTCCCGTGATTTTCATAACCACACCAGGTGCTAATGGATTCGATCTGGCAGGTACCCCAAGGAAGTTTGGTCCCCCTCAGGTGGTTGGTACGCCCAGCCAGCTAACTGGAGGGCCAACACTGCGATCATGGGCGCCTTTGTCATTGGTGTCGCTGCTGTCGCTTTCAGCATCAGCGCTGACCGGGAATATCGCGACAAGATGCCCGAACCCGGCCGTTTCTTCCCCAGCCGATAGTCCGTTACCCGAACCCCATGTCACTCGGTATACCTTATGCTGACATTTACTTTTCTTGGATTATAGCTGGAGCAGGCAAATTCGGGAACACGAGAACCAAAAAGCCGCCAAGACTGACTCATGAAGAAGGTCCAGCATATCGGACGGCGGTTGTAGGTGGATTCTCAGCAGGACGGAACCTTTTCTTTTTGTTTTTCTACTATTTGATCACTTGTGTGCTGTACGACAATAAAAGGGCGTTCCTCGTTGGGCCATTGGTCAATTGGCCAAGAGATGTCTCTGAGGAGACTCTTCAAATGTCCTCAATAATCGCTGCGTGTACAGGCGGACACGTTCCGTGAATTCAGTCTGATTCCACAATTCCTTTCCGTTTCCATCAACATCGATTTGCGGTACACCGATTTGCTCGACCACAAAGCCAGCTGCGACGGTTGCGCAAATGAGCGCCATGGGATAGTGTTGGTAATTACCCCAAGAATCACGGGCTTTCTTCCAAGCTTCGGAGTTTGATAGAACAGAGCCAATGACCTGGAATGGCTCTCGGCCTTCAGTGACCATGCCTTGGGCTAGAGCACCAAGGAAAGAGTTTCCCGCACCCGTGGGGTCGATTACCGGCGTAGCACCCGAGGTATCGGGTTGATGATATGCGGGGAGCCAAACCTTGCCAGACTTTGAGTAGGCGTAGCTACCATCCTTTCCTGCCCTAATAACCAGCATGCCATTTCCATTAGGGCCAATTCCCGAGTCTGTAATCCTTTGGACTAGCTGCTGGCCTAGTTGGCTCTTCTCAGTCCAACCAGGATGTTCAAACATCATGCCAAGCTCCATGTGGTTAGGACTCACCACATCCACCACTTTATTTGCGGCGAAGAACTTATCCTGTTCTTCTGGAGTGCAGAGATCAGGGACTGGCTCCCAGACGAAGATGGGGCGCTTGGAAGCATGCGCGGCAGACGGCGCTTTCCCTGCCTTTTGCAATTCATCTCGTCGCTGCAGAATATCATGCACTATAGACATACAACGAGATGCAGAACAGACCATATGGAATGTCTTGGACCAAACCTGTGAATCGGACAACATTTCAGGCTCGAGTCTTAATTTCGGAGTCAAGTATTTGAAGTCTGCTCGGTCAGTCACCGCGGTACTTTCCTTTAAAAGATATCAACGGAAACTTACCTCGTTTCTCATCGGGATGATACCCGTTCCAGGCTCTCGTTGTTAGCCTGCTAGGGTCCTCTCTAAAAACACAGGCTGTATTCCATGACTGGATTACATCAAGCGTCTCAGCAGGGAAATCGGAGCCAACATCCACGATCCAGCTCACAGATCGTGCATACTTTGAGCCTGAGACCAAGCGGGCACCCACGACTGCAAATGATGCTGCACCACCGAGAATATTCTTAACACCGGGCCTTGAGCCGCCGAAATCAATATCATCTGAATAACAATACACTTGTGAGTTTACATCCCACTTTAGGGGACGAAGTAAACCATACCGATTATGAACATTCCCAAGGTGCAAAAGTCGACCTCAATGGGCTGAGCTTGGGCCACCATACTTGTAGCTAAAGCTATGTATAGACACGACAAAGAAAAAGGTTGTTCAGAGAGACAACATTGAAATAACCGAAGAAGTGTTTGGGGGAGGGGAGTTCAATGTTTCGACTATCACATTACAGTGGATCGGATGGTAATATAATTACCAAAGATACCCCGCAACGTCATTTCCACCAGCGGATCCCGCTGTAACGTACCATACCACGTCTAGAGCCGTCATCTGCGGACCTCAGGAGCTCCGGCCTTTTTGTCTTCTTTCCACTCCCTATCATCCCGTGTGTTTTCGGAATTCGAGTGCGTAAATCTCAATAGAAGGGGGTTTTGCTATTCGAAAATCCCTCGGTTTCAACCTACTCAAATTATCCTCTTTTTCTTTCCACTTCCACCGTTGGAGCAACGTGTTGCCTATCATGGCGTCCGGCGGCCATATGCATAATTTCACCACCCTCATCAAGCGGTATGTATACATGATGCTAGCAGTGTTTGACTCATGGAATTTTGCCTTCGGTTTAATCCCCGCTAAGCCGTTTAACACCTACATCCGGCACACTTGACTAACATGGAACCCATCTACAGGCTCGAGGCAGCGACCTCACGCTTGGAGGATATGGCGATGTCATACGATGACCTTAGCACGACAAAGTCATTGACCAGCTCTCCTTCTTCTACACCCGCTGTTCCACCACCCCCTAAGCCTTCCCCTCCTCCGCCTGCAGCCCCTGTGGCTGCCCCGGTTCCACCGCAAATTCAGGACTTCGATGCGTTGATCAAGGGAGATGTTCAGAACTTTGTCAACCTGGGAGAGCAGATCGGCGGTCTGGTTGCTGAGCAAGTATGTTTTGAATTCTGGGAACTTGGTATGCCGTGAGTATTTGCTGACTGGATCTATAGTCCAAAGCCGTCCTTCAAGCCTTCCAAGCTGAACGCACCTATCTTTTCGTTGTGACGAAGGCCAAGAAGCCTGATACCCAGCCCCCGGAGTTAATGACGGATCTTCATAAAGCATCTGACAGCATTAACAACATTCGTGAATCAAACAGAGCATCACCGCTATTCAACCACCTGAGCGCTGTCGCGGAGGGTATTGTCGCGCTTGCTTGGTTCTTTGAAAGCAAACCCGCGGAGTTTGTCACGGATATGATCGGTGGCATTGAATACTACGGAAACAAGGTGCTGCAGGAGTACAAGGACAAGTGAGCACTCTTGTTAATGACGTTTTTGGAGGAACCCCATTGTTGACAGTTTGACAGGGACAAGGCACATGTTGACTACATCAAAGCCTACTATCAAAACTTCAAGGCTCTTGCGGTGTACCTCAAGAAGCATTTCCCCCAGGGTCTGACATGGAACAATGAGTCAGGCATTGATGCCTTGGAAGCTTTGAAGCAGGCCAAGGGCGGACCTGTTCCAGTCAGCGGCGGTGCCCCTCCTCCGCCTCCCCCTCCTCCCCCTGTCCCTGCCCTCAACGTCCCTGGTGGCGGTGCTCCTCCTCCACCTCCGCCTCCTGGTATTCCCCCGGCTCCGGCCCCCGCAGCACCAGCAGCAGACATGGGCGCTGTCTTCAACCAACTCAACCAAGGAGAGGGTATCACCTCCACCCTTCGCAAGGTCGACAAATCGGAGATGACACACAAGAACCCCAACCTGCGTGCCGGATCAATCGTTCCGGAGTCCGAAGGATCCAGCGCCGTGCGGGGCAAGTCGCCAGCACCTAACAAAAAGCCCAAGCCCGAAAACATGCGCGCGCGCAAGCCACCCCGCAAAGAACTCGAGGGCAGCAAGTGGCTCATCGAGAACTTTGATGCCCCTGGCGAGATCATCGAGATCCCCGCTCAGCAGAACCATTCCATCCTCATTAGTCGCTGCAACAAGACCATCATCAAGGTCTCCAACAAGGCCAACGCTATTGCCATCGACAACTGTGTTGGTCTCTCCCTCATCGTCGACTCTCTCGTCAGCAGTCTTGATATCATCAAGTGCCCCAAGTTCGCTGTGCAGATCGACGGCACAGTCCCCACTCTGCTGCTGGATCAGGTTGATGGTGCTACCGTTTACCTCAGCCAGCAGAGTCTCAACACTGAGGTCTTCACTAGCAAGTGCTCCGCTATTAACATCAACCTTCCACCACCGGAGGGCACCGATGAAGATACCAAGGAGTGCCCTCTGCCCGAGCAGTTCAAGAGCTACATCAAGAACGGCGTACTGGTGAGCGAGATCGTGGAGCATGCTGGTTAAGCTAGGCTCTTGGTTGAAGAGGACCATGAAGTTTTGTTTCCATGGACTCCAAAGAATTGTAATACATCATGTTCGACAGGTCGAGCTCACATAGACTTCTTCCTAGGTGGCTTGGTCCTTGTTTTCTGGATAATTTAGTTGCTGTATGTAGCGCTCTGTAGATATAAATTGCAGAACTCCAACTCGCCTATTCTTATACATTTTATAAAACCCCACCTTACGTCTTTCTATAAATCAACATTCTTGAATGTGAATACTCCTAAATATATATGTACGTTGTTGGCAGACACGCACGAAAGTCAATTTCGCAGGAAAACAGTTCACATGGCGAGATATACTTAACTAATTCCAAAATGCATCAAATTAACCTAACTAACAGATAAGCTTAGTGTAAACGGTAAAACCACACGCAGAGAGAAGAAGATACCAAAAAGAAATATAGAAAGGGGGATATAGTCAATGACCCATGCGCCTGGGCTCCCCAATATATCCATAAGGCACTGGCAATGAAAGCAGATCAACTGAACACCCAAGTGATAGAGAAAAGAAATACACACATCGTCTGGGCGTGAATCAGGATGAATAAAGAATACTCGATGCTAATTATATGGGTTAGTATAAACAGGGGACCGGCTGCAAGCCAGCTGCGCCTATTGCCATGCTGTTCTGTGTTGTTCTTTGAGAATGGTGTAGACGGGAAATGAGATTATATGTCAAGTCAGGGCCAAGATACACGTGGGAAAAAGGTGCTAGGTGGTGCTATGGTTATACTGAATGGCGAGGTAGAGGTTCTTGGAGTATTTAGCGAGGGCGGTGGTTGTGCGTGGGAGATGGTCGATCATAGAAGCCTAATTTGTGTGGATGCCGTTCATCTACTGTGGACTCTAACCTGTGCACATCGAGGCCTCGGAGTCTTTTGGCGAGTAGGCTCTCACTGGCTTCTGAACCACTTGGATAACGGCCGTAATCCTTATCATCGCTTGTGAGCTTGTTGTACCGAGACACATTATGTGATGGAGGAGTATTTTCAGGGCCACCCGTAACATCCATGGGGTTTGGCACATCTAGCTGCGAGGGGAACTCGCTAGGAGATGACACATGTGGATGCAGATGAGGGATCCCTCGCTGGGCTACACTCCGTCTGCTGGAAGTTTGTTCAATCCCTAGGCGCGCATTTGCGCTCGCAGTACTCGAGATGGAAGACTCTCGGGATGGCTTGTATGGTGTGTACCGAGGCTCGGGGGTTTGGATCTCATTCCGTAATTTCTCCTTGCCGTCCGGGACGCGGTTTGCAAAAACTACGCGAATAGTCGAATGTAGGTAAAAGCGACCGCGCGCGGGACAACAAATGTTCAAATGAATGAGGTATCGCAAAGTGGGTTTGTCTTGAGGGTCTTCTGTGGGATTCAAGGAAGCTTCAGGGCGATCGGTCCCAAAATTCTTCCGTGCATTGAGCGGCATATCGATGATCGGACCTGCCGAATAGCTGCGTTGCCGAATGAAGGTCTTTGTGCCAGGTTCCATATCACCGAGGTCGTATGGAACTAGGAAAAGCTTGACCGCTGTCTTGTGCGGGTTCTTGATTATGATTTGTAGTTGACCTTGTTGTGGAATCCGGTAAGACCCTCCTGGGGGACATTTAGGTGATTCTGACCTGCGATTCTTTTTTTCCCGACGGCGTTGTGAGTCAGCACCACTTGTACGAGTGTCAATTGCTGCATTTGTGACGGGAGTGTCTTCATGGAGTCCCGTGGCGTTTGGATGTCGCCTGCGACGTCGAGTCGGACTGGGATTCTCTTTGGGGAGAGAATTTTCCAAGTCAATTTGTCCCACATAGGGACTTGGATTGTCGTCCGAGATTGAGCGGCCACACCCCGAGGTCGGATAGCTGTAGAAAACAACCGAAAATGGCACCGTAACATGTGGCGGACATTTGAGATGGCCTTTGCATTTCCCCTTGCCTAGGACACCAATCTGAGCCGTGAAATCCAGCGGCTTGGAAGGATTCATTGACATTCTCCCGCGCAAAATTGACTCCTCGTAAGACCCTACCATCGGTGCGTGGGAGTTTGACAAGATATCGGAGACAAAAGATGGCCTTCTTACTCGCGACGGTGGTATCCGCCCCCCGGGGGGGGGGCGAGTTGAAGACTATATGCTGAGGTCAATGACCGGCGAGGCGAAGATGTTTCATTGGTGAAGATATCCTGCTGCCGTCTGGGTGGAGATGGACTGCCAAGGCTGGGAATTTGATGGCTTGGTAGGGAGAATTGGAGATTCCCAAATGTCTCTGGTGGCAAAGTACGGCGACGGTTTTTTCTCTCCAAAGGCTCCGAAACGTCCCCATGGTCAATACGGGACGAGAAGTCCAAGTCGGTATTATTCGCTTGGTATACCAAGGGACTGGTGGGAGCTTTCAGAATATAGCTTGATGAGAATGAACCCACTGACGGCGCACGAGCGCGAGCATTCAAAATATCGTCGGATTGACGATGTTCAGTTGATGTGCGTGTCTTTCGCAAATCGGGTGGCAAAATCGGTGCTCCAAACCAGGGAGTAGTAGGAGAGGAGCTTAAATTAGCAAAGGGAGAAGCCGAACTGGGCCCGGGAAAAGGAGATCCAGGAGCGTTTGAGTCATGGGGATCTGTGGCGCCTTCCCTGAAATCACCGGAGTGTAATGCAGATCGAGGTCTCTGGATATCGGCCGGCGAATCCAGTTCCTCTGTCTCTTTGGTGTGATGTTCTCGGCTAAGAGAACGGCTTTCATGCCCTCTTCCTGCTGTCTGTGACTGCTCCGGGGAAATTTGAGTGTTAAATAAATCATTGTTGTGCCTATCCGGGGACTATTGGTATGTTAGCCGATGTATACTTGAGATAGGTTGGACTATAAAGGAAGAGACAAAGAGAATTTAAGGAAAATAAAGAAAATGGAAATATATGATTGATATTCACGAAGAGATTCACATACCATATGCTGAAGTCTCCAAGGCGAAGATTCTTTGATGCGGTGTATGAGCTCCTCCCGGTCATTCGCCCACGACTTGGGCGGATCCAACGCCGTTGAATGCATAGAGTTGGTTGCCATTTCTGGAGCAGCTCTCTCATGGCGATTGAGATCATTTAGCGGGGACTGGGAGGACCCTGTGGTCGGCTGTTCGCCATTGCCAAGGTCGGGTGACCATAGATAATGACGCCGCCGATCTGGATCTCGAAATAGGGGCATGGTGGCGTGATAAGGGCAGACTATAAGGCCTGAAACGCTAAAGGTGACATTTCAGGAGGTCACCCACGTAGCACCTTTTGAAACCAGCACCGAGCTGTGCCGTGGTGGGGGGGTCCAGGTTGAATGCGGTGTGCCAGTATGATTCGGGTATATGCAGTGATTTTATTGATCGGCGAAGGAGAGGGCGGGTTATATAGAAGAGAGTACTTCGTACATCACGTCATTGGCCTGGCTTTTGCTGTCTCAAAAGTATGAATGCCCAGTTTATGCCTCAAAAGAAAAGGTTGGATAGGTCGTGTGCATTGTGTCGTTGAATGAATGGGGTGGACACCCGTCGATCTCGGAGATCCGGACTGAGAACGTCATGTGATGGACCAGTGACGTTGTGTTGCAGTGATTGGGTAGAGAGTCCTCCAGGGCTTCATTGAATATGTTGTATATTTGCATTCTTTAGGTCTTAATAAGACTGCCCGATACCTAAACAGTGTGACAGATGTTGGGGAGAAATAGAGGGGAAAAGGGCACATAGTGTGCAGACCAGTTAGAATGACAATAGAATCTGTGACAATGTCGCATATATTGTATTATAGACGATATTCTAAATACTCATATTAGCTATCAGTTCAATCTTTTAGTGCCAAAATTAAGACAGACAAAACGCGTTGTATAGGACTGTTCAAAAGTTCAATATTGTACTTATCTGTTAGTGGCCGAGACCGATGTTCCGTGCGGAGATCGCCACTTTTTTTTTCTTCTCCGAAAGTCTTTCGATTCCAACACACGTCAGGACAAAACACATTTGTTTTGTTTGAATATCAACATGGCACCAAAACGTACTCATGATGGTGATGCTGCTCCAGCATCGAAGGGCGATCCCGCGATCAAGAAGCGCAAGGGCTTCAGTGTTGGACCCGCCAACCTACCAGATGGCACATATCGTCGCAAGAGTGAGCATGCCCGAAAACAATGCCTCAGAACGAGACTAACAAACAATTAACAACAGCCCAAAAGATCAAAAATGACTTAATTCACAAAGCCAAAGTGAAGAAGGCATATGCCAAGATCAAAGCCGAAGAACTTGCCATCGCGCCAAGGAGATCCGTGTACGATACCGCCGATGGAGACGAAATCGCAACCGGCAAGGACGAGGAAAAGGCCGGTGAAGACACAACAACTCTCGAGCTTCATCCGGATCGCATAGCCATGTTGAACGAGCCCGAGGCCGAGCCGGCACCTGCGCCTAGACCAGAACGGCGCCCACGAGGCGAGGGCAAACAGAGAGAGCGCCGGCCAAAGCCTTCTGCATTCTCAAGGGAGATGGAGTTTGCAGAGAATCGAAGGAAAGCGGAGGAAGCACGACAGAGGGATCGCGAGGCGAAACAAAATGAGCGTGAGAAACTGTTGCGCGCGAAGCGGCCGGACCAGTTTGGGAAGAGGAGATTGGGCAGAGAGAGCAACGCGCTGCTTAGTCGCGTGCAGCGGATGGTTGGTCAGAATTAGAGAGGAAAGGCAAAAACTACACATGATGTGGACTATGTTTTCATGATACCCGGTTGGATGTAAAAAAAAAAAAGGAAATCCAAAGCATTCAATATTCGATTCTTTAACTGTCTTGCTAAACCTATGCCGCGGCCGCAGCGGAAGGCTTGGAGGCTCCTCCGCCATTTGCACCGCCGCCGTTTCTCGGCTTTTTAAAACAAGCAAACTCGCCCTTCGTCCGATCTCTGAGCCGTTTTAGGATAACCCGCATTTCTCCTAGTTCGGCCTTCAGTTTCGTGCGAGCCTCGTTCGTGGTGCGACAATCTAGCTCGACGTAGATCTGGCTTTGTACATTTGATGCCTCCTCAGTAATGTACGCGGAAAGAGTCTGTGCAATGAATTCGGTGTCCAAAGTAGCTTGCATCAAGGCTGCTAGCGAGAAGGAGGACCGAGCACGGAAGGAATCAAGTAATGACGAAGAAATTTGAGAGAGTAGATGTGTTAGTACGGTGGCCAGCAGCGAGGAAGGTGAGCTTGACGCAGCTCGACTAGCACCTGGTGACACAGTAGACGGAATTGTTGTGGAAATCTCCGTGTGGACCAGCACCATGGTCAGCATGGTGTTGTAGACATATGGGCGGACTTGCTCCGGCCTGTCAACAGACGGCTCCCAATCCGGAGATGAAATGCCAGTGGTGATTGTTTTGTCCAATAAGGTAGTAGTCGGGGTGATATATGACTGGAATAGCCTGTCTTCAATCTGGCTCAGCACGTCCCGAACGGTCTTGGCCTCTTCTGTCAGCTTTACTGAGAAGGATGTCTCAAAGTTCGAGATAAGCTGTGGGACATGGTCGGCCTGTAGAGCTTTGAGATTTGAAAGTGTCAGAAGGATTCGAACATTCTGTTTATGTGGTGTCAGTTATGCAGGTCATCACATCGGATTGGACTAAGACTTACCCGATTCCAAGAATCGACCGAATCAGCCGAGAGAATTGACAACGCAGCGTCAGTCGCTTGGCTTGTCATTGCTGGTCGGGCGATAATCCATTCGTTTTCTTCATCTACTGTTGTCAGGCACTCGGCGTTTTCGACGAGGCCGCTTAGTGCTTTGTAAACACTCGATACGAACTGAGAGCGGACCATTTGAAGTAGTTTCGCCGGCGGCTGAGTGACAACATCCACGGAACCTGGCTTTGCCATAGCTTCTGAAATGTAAAGGATCTTTTGCATGCCTCCAAGGATAGCACTCTCAAAAGCCACGAAGAACCCGGGCATCTTAGTCAAATCACGCTTCTCTGAATCCCGTGTCCAGTCTTCCAACATTTTACAGATCTCCGCATCTTTACTCCAGGCAGCACACGCCACACGTGCACATCGTTCCCGGGCAATGCTGACAAGGGTTTTGAGGAGATCGTAGGTTTTTCCAGAGCCGCCAACCGGCCTTAGGGCTGCCATTTCGCTCGCAGCGGTGCCAACTGTGGTGAGGAATTTACTCAGATAATGTACTCCACTGAGAGAATTGGAAAATGGTGGCCAGAATGCGAAATCCTCCCAATGCTCTCCAAGCTTTGGGGGAGGATATGGTAGGTTCTTCGGATCCAGCTTGAACCGGGACTCTGTCGGAGTAATGCCCCTCGACTCTGGGGTTGATGGACTTGCCGGAATTGGCGAGAAGAGTAGGGAGATATCTTCGGTTGGGGGTTCCGTGAAGAGAGCCACGACGTTCTCTCGAATGATATTGACCAATACAGCAATACCATCTTTTAGTTCTTCAATATTGTCGCCTGAAAGGTGGTGATGTTTGCGACTCTCCCCTTCAAACCCGGCGGGCAAAAGCCGTTGTCGATTCCCGTCAACGAATGATTGTGCGACTTCCCAGAAATCCAACACTTCGCCCAGTAGACCACTTTGCGAAGACAGAAGTCGGGTTAGGAAAGTTTGTATGCATTCCCACAACTCAATGACTTGATCTGTGTCTAGTCTCCCTGGTATTTCCACCGCACCATCTCGAGGTGCCAGGCGGAGATATGATGCTGTGGCCTGTGGGGTTGGTCTCTCTCCGCCAGCAAGTCTTCTTCTTAGAATTTCAATTTCGATCTTGCATCGGTCACAGAATCCTGCGATCTTTGTCTTCAAGAATTCATAACGACTCTGAAGCCATGTCCAGATAGGGTTGTCCTCGACACCAAGTTCCAACAAGGCTCCGATCAACTCCATGTGTTCTTCCACAGGTCCTAAGGCGGTGCTTGTAGTTGATGTGGTGGGGGCATCGGCAAGACGTCTCCAGAGATCACGCTTAAAGTCGTGGATTTGGTGATCAACATCCATCCACATCCGGCCCATGGCCAGAATGGTGTGTGTCTCAGAATCGTTTAGCTGCCGGCGAGAGGTGGATGCCTGCTCAGCGATATTTTTTGCCCGATTGGCGAGTGTCCTTGCTTTGGTATACTGCTCAAAGACACTATCGTAATCACGTTGCTGGATGGACTTGGACAAGTGGCTTCCAATTTCATAAACATCGCGGTGTTTCTCCATAGTCTCCACCACCGACTTCAGTACTTTCTCTCGTTCCCGACCCCCAAGAGCCGGTCCCCACACCTCTTCAGCCTTGACAGAAGCCTCAACCAAAGGACCTCTAATACCCTTCATGCCGAACTCGCTCTCCTTGACAAGAGCGGTCTTCTTGGCAGCCATTGGGGCGGGGGATACGCTCCGGTGCTGACCTGAATAGCTACGGAAATGTCCTGACCTGCGGGGACTCAGACGTGGGTCCTTATCAACGCCCTGGTTTCTCATCTCGGTGTAGACGCTATCAATAGTTGCCTTGGCACGCACGAAACGCTCAAAGTTGGCTTCCACCAGTACTTTCAGCGACGCCGACTTCTGGTCAATGGAATGCGACAAGTTATCCAGGCCACCCATCAGCGATTCGATAGAGGCTGAGTGATGCGCCTGTGATAGGAATAGTGCGGGCGAGAATGATGTCGATGACAGTAGGTACCGTGATTTGCCTTCTTCTTCCAATGGCACTCCTCGCTGCTTGAGAATCCGGAGAACGCTGTCGCTTGTACCCAAGGGATCGGGCTCATCTTCCCGCGCATTATCTCTGCCCTCCTTTCCTCTTCGTGAACCAAACTTGCCTCTCCAATCACTGGCACTGCGTTCGAGAGCTATGTATCGGGACTTGCGTGGACGGGAGTCTGTTCGTTGAACCGGCTGCTCTTCTGGCTCATCGGCCACGTCTAAAGATGCCGGCCATTCCTCGGGGAACTCGGAGGGTAGGTTGTAGTGGCTTGCGACGTCGAGGTCCGCCATTGTTGCCAGGTGTGCAGTAGCTAGGACGAATTGAAATACAAAGAAGAATCAGGGTGGTATCTCTGCAGGTGACCGAGATCTGATAGCAGAACCCTAATCAAATGCTGAGACCATATAGCTGGTAGTCAAGAGTGGACACCAGGTCGAAGAGTGGACTCGGGCCGGGGGGGAAAATGAAACCACCAATGCGGTCTGAGGGTCGGTCG